GGTCAGGCATGCAAGCATCGAGGACAATCCAGTGCAAGTTAGTATATCTTATAGAAGCTGTATAATAAATGAGATATGAATCTGCAGCACGACGGTGATCAACCCCGGAAGTTTTGTCTAAAACTGCATCCGCTCCGAAATTAATATTCTGTTTTTGGTACGCTTCCGGAAGAAACGGCAAGTGATTATCAACAACTGTATGTTACGAAATGTCAATTCCAAAGTCTAAACGTAGCCCTCAATTGAAATAAAATTGAGATTCTCCCCATTGGATTCTATCAATATAACAAATATCAGAACATTTATTTGGTGCGACCGCACTTTTTTACGTATTTTCCTCTTGGGCGTCACTGCCTCGACACTTCTTCTCCTCAAAAGCCTGTTCTCCAGTTCCTCCGCAATCCGTACATTCCTATCCTCCGTTTCCTCTCCACCCCTGCAAATTGCTTTTTGCCCATATGCCCCGTCACACTTCAAAGCATGATTCTGCTAGCTCTCAGATCTATTCTACTCAATACTCCTCTTCTGCACAGTATCTATCTGATTCTAGTCAGTCTGGAGGTCACTCTCCACAGTCACCAACAGCACCTTCTTCTCTTTCTCAGTCTTCCCAATCTTCTGCGGCGGCTAATGGAAAGAAAAAGCACGTCTGTCCGACGTGCGACCGTGGCTTTACTACCAGTGGCCACCTTGCCCGACACCTCCGCGTTCACACAGGTGAACGCAATCATAAGTGTCCCTTTCCTGGATGCGAAACACGTTGTTCTAGGCAAGACAACTTACAGCAGCAGTGAGTACTTCTTCTATTCTTTATCGCCGGCCGCTACGTCTATTATTGCCGTACTATCGGTGCCACACAGCAAGTGCACCATTTTGATTCTATCACCATGATCTATTCAACTCATTTTCTCGCTCCATTTCATGCACAACAACTGAGCTTCATTTTCTTCTTTCTTCTACAGTTACCGCATTCATCTCTCCCCTGGCTCACGACGGAGCTCAAGCTCCGCAACGCGTGCTGCGATCGCCCGTGCCGTGGGCATTAGCGGTTCTGGCACAAAAAATAGCCGAACCGCATCCTCATTGATGTCCTCTGACCACAATTCGTCGGATACTCCCTCTCCTCCACCGGCACTCGAGCACGCAATCCCCCCGGCGCCCGACTCACCCCCACCTCTGGTACAAGCATTTTCTGTACCGTCATATTCAGATAGCCTGCATTCTGGAAGTGTGTCAAGTAGATCGCCAACACCTCCCGACAACTCCTTCCCAATGATCAACCAACATTCCCAGTCGATGTCCAACGGTCAAGTCGCATCGCATTCATCACCAATCCAGTCACATTACAGTGACAACACGCCAAGCTATGATGAATCCTCGCAAGCTAATTACGGCTACGTTCCAGCGGGTGTTTCGCAGACTTCCAGTGGACATGCTGTGCATGATCACTCATACGACTATTCTCAGGCATACGGCGAGAAGCCATCCATGTCGCGTATTCATTCTTCCTCTCTTCATCAATCACCCATGGAAAATGTTCATGATGGCTCTACGCAGTCGTCCGCTCACCTTTCGTCTGTATCATCTCGTCTCTCAATTTCACACATCTCGCATCCACACTCCTCCTATCCTACACAGTATCAGGCAGTCAGCACGCCATCACCGGAATCACCGCACTCCGTCTCACCGCACTCCCAAATATCTACGCCCAACTACTCAGCCTACCGGGATGACTCGCACGAAGTTGCATCATACCAAAACGGTCCTGGGATATTGGATCCTGTCTCTGATCATTCAAACATATCCAGCAGCTATATGAACACACAAAACAATGTCGTCCACGGATCATATAGTCACTCTCTTATGTCGCATCATTCGAGCATACCGAGATACGACTCGCCACCGCCAGTTCTAGCGCCGATCCAGGACGAGAGGGTGCTTCGTGGGGACATTAGGATTCCTCAAATGCACCATTCAATAACACCGCCCGCCTCACTGTCATACATACATCATTCTCAAGTGCCGAGTCCATATCCTTATCATGCTCCGCATGTCGGCCTGGGTCAAAGCGCTTGGAAGGCAGATAACGTTCTGCGAGCGCGTCCCTCAACGGGCTATGTATAACACCTTGTTTCATGTTTGCTGTTGTAAATTTCGTATTTTATAGCTGTCTCGTAACCGGATTTTTTTCTGCTCCCGTCGATGTCTGTGTTTCGTGTATGGATTACTATCGTGCATTTCCTGCTATCTCTAGAGCAGTTGTTACGCTGCTTGGTACCACGCCGCCACTGCACACATACCATATACCTGCGTATCTAAACTGCATATACATACTTTGTACATTATGTTGTTCATAGGAATTGCATCGTGGATTCCGAGCCGATTTGACGTGGCAGTACTGAGGCAATAACTGTGCCTCGATGTGACGTTGTTCCCACGGTGCACACGTACTACAACTTGTTGTCGAAGGCCCATCCGAGTCGACGGTCTATCAGATAGGTTGCAATGCCCAGCGATCTCGACAGGTGAGAATCTCACTTTTTTTGTCACAACTTGTTCTCAAAGTACCGCAACAACGTGTATTTGGCGATCAAAAACCGTCTTCTGTGCATTGCATTATCCAATGTGCACGACACACGTCCGGCCGCTGCGTACTTCTCGCCCATTGATCTTACAGGCAAATAGACCAGCTTACACGATGTGAACCCATATCCGAGGAACAGGTCAAACGGCTTTGCTTCAAGGCCCGTGAGATCCTAATAGAAGAAGCAAATGTCCAGGTCGTGGACTCTCCTGTGACGGTGAACGCATTCGATTCCATCCTCTCCTAGGCTAATACTTATTCTGCTGTTCTGATTAAGATCTGCGGCGATATCCATGGGCAGTTCTTTGATCTTATGGAATTATTCAAGGTAGGCGGGTTTTGCCCGGAGACGAACTACCTTTTCATGGGTAAGTACAGCGCCCTGGTGCGTTTCAATCGGCCGTCGAATATTTAATGTCCCGTTGTCACAGGTGATTTCGTGGATCGCGGCTTCTACAGCGTTGAAACGTTTCTGCTCCTCCTGGCCCTCAAAGTCCGCTATCCAGAGCGAATTACGTTAATCCGGGGCAACCACGAATCACGACAGATCACACAGGTATATGGGTTTTACGACGAATGTCAGAGAAAATATGGCAGTACCAACGTGTGGAGATGGTGTTGTGAGGTGTTCGATTATCTCGCGTTGGGAGCGATCGTGGACGGCAGAGTTTTTTGTGTCCATGGCGGACTGAGTCCAAACCTGCAGGCCATTGATCAGGTGCGTTTACTATGTTTACATTACTCCGTGTCGCGCACGCGTTTCTTAGCTCTGCCTTTAGATACGCGCTATTGATCGAAAACAGGAAGTCCCCCACGATGGTCCGATGTGTGACCTCCTTTGGTCCGATCCAGACGGTATGTATCTCCTTAAGTCTTGCTTAGGCATGCTCGATGGCAATGTCTGCTCACACAATATGTCTGTCTTTCAAACAGATATAACTGGATGGGGCCTATCTCCGCGGGGCGCTGGCTTTCTTTTCGGCGCTGACATTACCAAAACCTTCGCGCACCATAATTCTATTGACCTCATCGCCCGGGCCCATCAATTGGCCATGGAAGGATATAAGCTCATGTTTGACAACATGATAGTGACGGTGTGGAGCGCACCGAATTACTGTTATCGGTGAGTTATGATCAAATGGGCACCCTGCATGGGTCTCCGCTTTCGTAACCTATCATGTTTTATGACAGGTGTGGTAATGTAGCTTCGATTCTCGAGCTAGATGAACGCCTTGCTCAAGAATACAAAGTTTTTCAACATGCGCCCTCGGTAAGTTCCTTGCGGTTTGATATCCCCCAAAAGGCGATATGCGGGGATGAAATCTTGCATTTCATCCAGCGCTGTGATCTGATCATGTCGTGCCACTAGGATGTACGCTCTATCCCGGCAAAACGACCTCCTGCGGACTACTTCCTTTGAATGGGAATTTTTACCTTTCTGATTAGAAGGTTGCTCTCTTGGCAACAACTGCCTGCCTGTCTACCGCGTGTCTTGGGCATGCCATAAACGCGACTTTCTCATCAAACGGTGCATTTAAACCGTCCGTTGCTTCTAAGGACCGTGTGGGCGTAGCGTGGTTGGCTGGAGGCGCAAGATGGAGGTCAACAGAGTGCCTGGTTTTATCTCAATCCCCTGTGGATCCTCGTCGATCTTCGTTCACCAGTTTAGAGACGCCCAAAAGCATGACGTATAGTGACCGCCAAACTTCAAGTAGAGCAAATAACCATATAATTGCACCGTAAGCGCTTAACTGTCTGATTTGTGTGCTTAGTGTCTTAAATAAAGGCCTCGTTGTGAGATATCACCTCAGCTCACTTCATCATGTCTCCAAGGGGCCAGACCTGCGTCGCACCGGGCCACCGCACGCTAGCACCCATATGTTCATGCTAGTTTTTTTATCCTCTCCGGTAGGACTGAAAGTTTCGGTGCCCGGTCTATGGTTGTCAAGTGTATTTTTGTAGTGCGATCCGCCGACTCCGTTTATTACCGTGAACCCCGAGTCCCCCGACCGACGATGTCGCTTCGAGTCCTCTTACGCACAGCATCAGCGCGCTGATGCTGTGCCTATACTTTAAGTTGTTTTCATTTTTTTTTTGATCTCACTTACGCAACATTTACGTTTTGTTGTGCAACCTTGTAAGTGATCACGACGCGGTCTCGGCATTGTATTTTGATGAGGCGGTGACTTACCTCATGTATCTTGTAAACCAGGGCTCAATCAATTGCTTGTCGATCAATCAACCCTACGTCAAGCGATGTCAACGTCAAGACATACATAAGTACTTTCGTTATCTTACGCCTCCCCGCGCTCTTTGTCTCGTGATCTCTCACCCGCCTCAGCATCTCAACGTTTTGTCTGCTATTTTGCAGGCAAAAAATTGGTTGTCCTTTTTCGGTTCCGTGCCATCATCTTTTGTGAGTGGTTGTACCGTGATGGGGCCTTGAACCTAATCGTGTTTTGTACCCATTAGTTTAGTAGGGCTCTCATAGTCATTAAGCGCATCTGTGAGGCTTGCATCGAATCGCTCGTCCCTGGATAGTAAAATGTCGATTTGAGCTTTGCTGCATTTAGGCTTGTGGGTGGCACTCCTCAATGTATTGTCTCCTCCGCTGTCACGGTTGTGGGTGCCAATAAACTTTTTGAAGATGAATTGGTCTTGAGATATGTAATATGCTTGAATCATTCTGGGTCGCGTGCGTTGTGGAGCGTTCGTCTCTATGGTTGCGCTCGACGCTCGGTCCCGAGCGTTAAACGCTGTGACGATTTTCTTGTTAGCTGTCCGTCTTCCCGATCGTCCTCTGTGGGTGGTATGGGTCGGTACCGCTCAAACTATTGCACGCTCGGGCAACTATTTCTCTGATGGATATATCTACACTGATCGTGAGTCTATGCTAGCTGTGGCTGATTCTTTCCACCTGTTAATCCTGATTACTAGATCCCACAACTAGCCGGGTTTCTTGTGAGGTAACTGTAGCGGAGGCAGCTGCATTTATTATATTCTTTGGTACGTCTCCAGTACATGAATGATTGCCGTTTGCTAAAGTATCTTTCTTTAAGCTTTCATCTACTACGATACCGACGTCTCGTATGTGAGCATCCAAGCTATCCGTGGAAAGGGAATCTGGATGTCTTCCATCGTCGGCAGCAAGTGAAGCCCCTGGGCCTCCGCTAACTCCAGCCTTGCCTGTGGCTCAATATACTGCAGTTGTCGGCGGTCAAGCTCCACATACTACGCATGGAGGCTACTCTCAAGATGCCCCCCTACAGCTGTACAACAGCTATTCCGCCCAGCCCCTAGATCTACAGTACTACAACTGTCTCCCCGGTTTATCTGCTTTAATGAACCCTTAAACCCCTCCTGGCAGAGATTACCCAGCCTCCCCCTGGCAGATATTACCCAACCCCTCCTGGCAGATATTACCCAGCTCTATCAGGCAACGCGCCCCTCTCACCCCAGCCCAATCACACCCCATACCCCGCCGCCAATCAGGGTCAGATCATTCCCGGCGGATATCAGAACAGCCACACTATGGGATAAGCCATGCGGTCCAGTCTGAAGGAAGTGGATAATACCCGCAACGGAGGACGTTTATGCGTTGGTCCACGAGAAGACAGGAAGCTTTGGTTTGTGCTTCAAATACATTCCCCATGTATGCTTTGTTCCATTTGCATAATTGATTTACCCTTGCGACAATCGCTCGTATTGATACCGAAGAGTTGCTCCTCCACACGATTTGCAACAACTGATTTGATGGAATATGCTTCTTGCGTCCATGCCATGCGGACGCCGATAGATATTCTTTCAATCCTTCAGGCAAGTCTCGCCTAATCGAAGTTGGGTATCATCTTCTTATGATGCGCTGGTAACTTGCGAAGGAGTTGTTCTGCGTCGGGCGCGGAACCCCGTCAGAGCGAGAGACGGTGTCAGTAGAACCGTCGGTCACCCAGTGTAAGTCCAACACGTCAAACTATTTGTCTGAGTTGAAAGTCACCATGTGCATAACATCTCTTTTAGTAGTTGTGATGATTGATTCTGGGCCCCTTGATCGAGAACTCGGAGGATTATACAAGTGGCCACGAGAGTATCCTCGCGTGAGCTGGCAAGACGTGCCGCATCGACAACTTGAAGACCGAACTGGACCTTCAAAACTCGGTACGCTCGATCGATATTCTGGTGACAAATTATCGCAACACACACATCCTCGAGCATTGTTTACCTCACGGACTCGCTCGGAGTGGCCCGAGTCTTCCTCGGTGTAGCTCACTTAACGACGAGAAAGAATGGATTTTTATAGATTGATGAAGGTCATCCAGAGATGTGGTAAGTGAGGAAGTTCTAACTTCTGCATCAGTTCATTGGAGCCTTGCAACCGGGGTGCAGCTGTTGCCAAAATGAAATCCTTGGAAGGTCATATAGCTATAGGGAGATGAGATTACCCGTGAAAGCGCGTGCGTCATTTTGCATACGCGGTTTGTGGACGGGCACTGCAGGCCTAGTGTGCTCCACTGGGATTTACCAGACTGTGAATCCCGTTTGATACATACCATAGAGACAAGTTATTGATTGATTTGTGCCATGGCAATCTTCAGTCATTTTACTGCGAGTGAACTTCGACATTGAATTTCTCGTAATATTTCTCAATTGATTCGTTAACGTACGCCGTCGCGTGTCTGCTAACATACACACAAATTTTAGCCACGTAAATCTGAACTTTGTTGCCATTGCGCTGCTTCAGTTTTTTGTCGCCATCACCGCACGAAAGAGTACCTTGACTGCTTCCTCATCCCAGACACTCTAAAATACATTTTCTCTGACATCTATGACCAAGTTGGGCACGGACGGTCGTTTACATGATTGATATCACGGCTGATCTCAACCTAATCCTTGAAGGAGTGGCTCGACGTTCTCTAGCTGCTCTATCTCGTGTCTGTCGTGCCTTCAAAAATATAGCCTTAGATGTGCTATCGGTCGAGCTGGGGGATTTCAAACCGCTTTTCATTGTGGCAGGAGACCTATGACAGGTGATCGGAAGCTGGTACGTGCTACCTACCCTCTCAGCCTCTTTATGCCAACTGCCAGCTCCTACAGAGACATATAATCACTGCGGATTGGTCGGTCTTCGAGCAATATGCATCTCGAGTACAAGTTCTGGGAGACATGAATTCAAATCTTTTCGGAGGCCTAGTCGTACATGCCATGATAGGTTTTCTTCGCGATCGCTGTTGGTACCTAACCTTCGAGGACTCAGGCGCGGAGAAGGTCCTCATAATCTTCATGCATGCATACGTTGCCGCCTGGATCCTAGCCTCGGGACGCTTTGTCTGCGTCTGGCATCTAAGGAAGAAGATTTCTGGACGTATATCATGTTTTCAGTGGTATCATGTCTCAGCAGATACCATGTTTAAAAGTCGTGGAACCACATGCGACATCTCAAGTCAGCGAGCTCGCTTTCTATGGACTCACGCACCTGCAGAAAGTATCACTTACCTTGTTCAGCAACTGCCAACAGCGCCGCTTTATCTTGTCCAGGAGGTCTCGTTGGCCTTCAAGTATTGGACATCCGGATTGCAGTACCTCTCACCCGCATCAAGTCTCAATCTCGTACCTTCAGCCTGGACAAATCAATTGTCCACTCGTTCGATTTGATCTTGAGCGGTAACCTGATAGAAGGCTGTGTGATTCGACGCAGATGGCTGTTGCTGTTATCCGAGCATCCTGAAACTGTGCTTGCCGTCGAGCGCTCCCTGTGCAAGCTGAGCGATCGAATCCTCTGGAGTGTATCTTAGACGTACTAAAGAGTGGTGAGCATATCGACTATGCATTCAGCTCCGCACACTCACTCCCCCCGTGCAGTTCTCCAGCCGGCGAAAGGTCAATCTTTCGCAATCTTGTGTGGCGTGGCTTGACAATGATGGATCGATCTGCCTACGGCTGAGAAAACCAGGAGGGGGGAGTTGCAGCTGCCTTTTGGGTCAGATGCTCTTTCATCGAACAACCATTGCCAGTCGCGGTTGTGCTTTCGGCGATCTTGCCCTGCTTGAAAGAGCTCTCCGTTGAGCTCGAAGAGGGGGTTTTGGACCAAGATGCACGACAGACCAAGTGGGAAGAGGTATCGGTGTACAGTAGTGTTCTCACCTTGGTCAGGTGGCAGGCCTTGATGTTTGCATGTGCGCGTTTAATCCAAACGCTATGGGCACGGAGTTCAGTTGTGTTACGGAGAAGGTCGACCTGCAGGATCACTCGTCAAGTGTTTTTCTACGTGGTCATTGTAATACCTTGCGATATTAGACGTGGAGCTTGACACAACTGTGACGCAGGACTGACGCCGCTGGTCTGATGTAGTGCCGAGGCTATATAGAGATTGGGACGAGCTTAGCAAGAGAGCGTCGCCACATTTGCAAGTTGGACCGGGAACCAGGGATGCTGACGAGAAGACCAACACCAATGCGGGGCCACTCGCAAGTAATCGCTGTATGGTTTTGAACGGTGGTTTCTATTGTGGGGTGAGTATTTGTATGCTTCCAGTACCAACGGCACCAACCATACGGTATCATGTCGGTTTTTAAGCTAGCCGCTAGTGACACATGGATACCAGAAGAATTAAAATCACTCAAATGACATTACCGATGGCTAGGTAAGCGCGCGAAGGACCTCAGAGGTCTTGCACGACGATACGGAGGGGATGGTTGGGGAGGAGGAAGAGTCATATAGGAAGGGTGCGTGATGGTACGCTAGAGAGGGCATGGAATACCAAGTACAGGAAGGGTGCGTGATGGTACGCTAGAGAGGGTATGGAATACCAAGGAAGGAGGCGTAAAAGGTCTTGTACTCAGCTTGGTACATGTAGATGGTAAGTGGTAAGTATGTGGCCTGGGTTTTACATACACTAGGTTCTCAATTGTGGGATAGACACCGATATGATATCATCAGGATGAACTGTTCATGGACCAAAGGAATGGTATAATCAAATGAGCAAGCATGTTAAACAGCAAATACTAGAACCGAGCTATGTGCGCGCAGCGCCCACGCTCGTCGAAGTCGACTGAAACCGTGCCAGCACCTCGCTGAGGGCTGCAAAATCGAACACTTTCGGCTCCCTCGCAAGTGTCATCGTCGTGGTCGCAAGCAATAATGTATCGCGTCGGGTCGTGGTAGTAGATTTCTTCTTTGAGGAAGGCTTACCGGCCTGAGTGCCTCCTGAGATCCATGCTTGGACAAAGGGGTTGTTAGGCGTTGGAACATATTTGCATGCTGCAAAAAGGTCTAGATGACGGTAGAAGTTGTCTGTGGGATTATACAATGGAAGTGCTGGAATAATACACGCGTAAACACGTATGCTTGATAAGTGTCCAAAGTTTGAGACTTACCAGATTCAAGAAGTTTGAGTGCTTGACGTGGTGATACATGACGCGTGAACATAACTGGTTGACAGCCATGTAGAAAGTATATCCAAGAGAGAGAAACCACTTACAATAGGCACAAACTACGATACAAGCTCTGAGCTCGACGCGGCACTGAACGAGCACTTGGCCTCCGTTGGTGATGGCGTCACCGATAAATTTACATGCTGTCGGAAGCTCAAGCAACAAAGCTTCGCGACCATTATTTGGGATATCAATAAAACAGTGATTAAACAGAGGAAGATCTGGTTTCGGAAGTTGTGCAGATGAGATGGAAAGCACATGTGTCATGCCCAAGTCCAAAAGAAGTGATTCGGCAGCATCAGGATCTCCCGGGAAGTCACTGGGTATTAAAAAGCGTAAACTGCAATGCGGTTTAACTACACAATCGAGGTCCGCACCTACTAAGGTATAATTGATCTGGTATCACGGGTACGGTGTCGGCAATCAGGTCGAGATATTTAGATACTTCTCGTTTTTGCCTGCGCTTCCAGGCGATATACTCGCTGTTTGTGCATGAAGGCTTATAACGGCACTCGCCGAAAGCAATCAATTGCTTCATGAATCCATAATTGGGGTGAATTTTTGGTCGACCTGTGTAGCCGAACGATCATGAGTCCAATGAAATAAGTAGGAGGTTGAATCTTACGTTTTCGTACGTATTGTATTGCTGCATGAGCAGATAGCCGTTGGGTGGACATTACTTGACACGCGAGAGCCCAGCTAAGTGCTCCACAAAGAAAGCAAGTATTAAAGTGACGTAAACTTACGGTAGGCACAGACGACAGTGGGGCTTCTTGAGACGCCCATGGCACAATGAACTAGAACCTTTCCCCCTTGGTCCAAAGCATTTTGAATGAAGCCGCATCCCCGAGGTAGATGTATAAGGAGATCTTCGTACTCTGAGTCTTGCACGGGTATAGTGAGGTGGTTGTGGTCTGTAGACGAATACTCGGTGCAGACTGAAAGGATATGTGTTATTCCAAGTCTCTTGCGTACATCGGTTGATAGAGCGGCAGCAAGACTGAGGCCTATGTCAGATAAGGTCATAGTACTGAACGACGGGCTGCATACTTTCCAATATAAACATTGTCAGCAATGATCGGGTCAATCGAGATTGGTACATCTGACCAGGTCATGCTTGGTGAGTAGGTGAAGGAACGGAGAAGGGAAGAGAAAGGTGGAGCTGGCCAACTAATATGATGCCAACGTTTATACCAGGGCCGGTATGGAACCGGTGGAAGGCTGATCACAGGTTCCGATCGTTTTTGGGTTTTGCAGATGCCCAGAGAGAGCCATCATATCGGAAGTTGCCGTTGCACCGGAGCATGCACCGTGTGAATGTTGCATAAGTGCACTCTACTCCTCCCAGACCCAGTCGCCCGCGCGTATATCGCTCATGGGTACTAGTTTGAATACAGCTGGCATCAGAACTGGAATTATTGGAGCAAACGTACTGCAACTTTTGCGTTGAGTCGGATCTAGGTTGATAGCGATACCATGGACTCTTTCTGCCTCATCCATTGGTATAATTCCCTCAGCGCATTCATTGCCAATTGATACAATTTTCTCCACGGAGCCGAGTAAAAAGCGAATGATACTCACGTACTAACGGCGCGGATGTTCTCATTCTTCACGAGGACTTGCTTCTATGATGAAAGACTCAAGGTGGTAGAGCCACCGCGCTGGTGGACATATTTGGGAATGATGCAGTGTGTCAGTGAAGCCGCGGCGCCGTCTGTGGAATTCAGATACGAATCGTATAAGTTCGAACCGACCCTTGTTAACTGCGCCTTCGAGTAACAATGAGACAGCTTGAACTGTACTGTGTAAACCCTATTTCTGTGCGCACACCCCTGCGGGCCGGCGCGCGCCGCCAAGTTAGGTTTTCGAACCCCGCTCCAAGTCCTAATGTAGACAATTCCACCTTCAAACATTTGAAGTTAACGCCCGTACGACAAGCTGTTTTTCCATTAACGCACAAGAGATGTCAAAGAGGCGGGTAGCTTATTACTATGATGGTGTGCTCATTATAAAATCCACACTTTTTGTTCCTAACGAACCAATACTACAGGCGACACCGGTTCATATACGTACGGTCTTGGTCACCCCATGAAACCGCATCGAATGCGCGTCACGCATGATCTTGTATCAGCCTATGGAATGCTCGACAAAATGCACGTTCTGGTATGCCTTGTCCCCTGAACCATGTATTCTTCTGTTAAGAAAACAGCACATACGTAGCGTCCCAAACGCGCTACTCCTGAAGCTATGACAGCTTTTCATACGGACGAGTACATACATTTTCTAAATCGTGTGACGCCAGAGACCGCAGAAGAGTTAACTTATCATGGCACCCGTTGTGAGTATCAGCGATTCCTCTTTGACGCACTTTTTACCCATGACATACCTCCACAGTTCTGATGGGCGAGGACAACCCTGCATTTGAAGGTGTATTCGAGTTCTGTTCAATATCAGCAGGAGGCTCGATATGTACGACTATGACCCTTTACCTGCGCGCTCTGCACTGACATTTTTCAGCTGCTGCACAACGAATATCTTCAGGAGCCGCAGATATCTCTATCAATTGGGCAGGTGGTCTCCATCACGCGAAGAAACGGGAGGCATCAGGCTTCTGTTATATTAATGACATTGTACTGGGTATATTGGAGCTCCTGAGGACATACCCCCGCGTTCTGTACATCGATATCGACTGCCATCACGGAGATGGCGTAGAGGAAGCATTTTACACCACAGATCGCGTCATGACCTGCTCATTCCACAAATTTGGGGAATATTTTCCCGGCACCGGCACCCAGGAGGATCGAGGAAGAGGAAAGGGGAGGAACTACACGGTGAATATCCCCTTGAAGGACGGAATTACGGACGAGGCTTTCAAGAGGGTGTTTGAACCGGCGAGTACCCGTCAAGTATTCATATACTTCCGCTAACACCGCATCAGATTATCAATAAGATCATGGAAATTTACCGACCTGGTGCAGTCATCTTACAGTGTGGAGCGGACTCTCTTGCAGGGGACAAACTTGGATGCTTCAATCTGACTATGAATGGACATGCTCATTGCGTCCAGTATCTGCGCGCCTTCAATGTCCCACTCATCCTTCTTGGAGGCTGGAGGATATACAGTGAAGAACGTCGCGCGGACTTGGACGTACGAGACTGCATGTGCTCTCGGCATTCAGGACGACATTGACCCCAATCTGCCATGGAATGAGTACTTTGAGTGGTTTGGCCCGCGTTACAGGCTCGAGGTACCAGAGAACAATATGGATGACTTGAATGTACGGGATGGAAGTTTGGACAAAGTGCGCGCGACTGCACTGCAGCAGCTCTCACAATTACCTTGTGCACCCAGTGTCGGGATGCATGAGGTACCAAGGGAAAGTCTGGGGCGGCACCTTGGCTTAGATATCGCTGAAGAAGATGCCGATGAAGACGGTGGCACCGATGATCTAGATCGTCGGCTTGCTCGTAAGCGTCAACCTGTCATCACAGCTTAACAGAGTAAGTCTGACACTTTGCAGAACACTCCCGGTTCGTGTACAAATTGCAGGAGCCAGGAGGCTCCGACGAATCAGATGATGAGCGGTACGACTCTGACGGATCTTCATATCGCCGACGGAAGCGCATGAGTATCCTCTCAAATCGTGTCGTCAATGTTGACCATGACATCGGGAGGGGCCCACCACGGGGACGACGCTTCTTCAAAAGTGCTGTGCGGTGGGACGAGACATATGGCCGTGTCCGGTTGGGTAAGGAGCCGGTACTGGGCTCTCTGAATGGGAGTAGACTGGGGGGGATGATGGATGCGACTGGACGGAGTACCCCAGGTGGAGATGTTACTATGGAGGAGTGGGAAGATGGTACTTCTGTATGATTTAGATGAGTGGTGTTACAGTTTCCGTTTGTACATTCGCTGTTATTAACTACCTAATCTTAAACGTGACGTTCACCTTAGAGCTTTTGCACTGGTTTAGTGCCTGTTTGCGCTTTAGTACAACATAATATGTAGTCCCACAGGTGCCTTGCAAGTATACCCCTCTTCCAATGCGCTGAAAATCTTCACCTCTTTCAGCTTGCAATTTAAGTGGACTCGATCCAGTTGCATACTCACTCTCGCGCATTCTTCGCTCAAAACAATGACTAGAGGTCCATGCAAGGTTGCGAGTACATTCCCTATACTTGCCTGCTCGATGGTATCCATGGGAATTCTGTATATCCAAAAAGCAAAATCTAACAGTCATGCGTTCGCAGAGAACCGGGAAGGCTCACAAAGAGCTAGCGGTGATAACACGCGCTACCGCTGAAGCTTTATACCCACATTTTCGTTCACTGTCTCCCGGAAGACGAGCACTTGTCGCCCACATCGTGGCATCCTGTTGACCAGAATATGTCGGGGAGGTTGCTGTTAGAAGCCCCAGTTTGTGGTGCAGGAAGAATGTGCCATTCGACTTCAGAAGACAGCAGGGACTTCGTTTCTACCTTGAGTCGGACGTATGGCTCAAGCGATCAGAAGCTCTTGTTGGCACTCACCTGTTACTTTAGCTCAACTGTGATCGAGCTACGATGCCTCTCATCGTTCTCTATCCATTGTCGCATGGTTTCTGACATATTTGACCCTTGTTAAAAGACCTTACAGCACTCTGGCTAATCATCGATAAGCCGATTACTGGAAAACGTTTCTCGCAACTGCCGCCCACTCTGCGCAGCTCCAAACTCGAGAGTCCTATTTCGGCCTCAAGCCCTTGCCTTCTTGCGAGCCTGTATGGGCTCACTTGACAATTGTCGAGATCCCCATACATCGCCCGGGCGCAGTCCTCTGCCTGCTGCACCTATGTTCTATCATCTGCTCGTTAGCGATCTGGACGAGCACACCACCAGTATGCTTGACCTTCTGAGGGAGCACCGTTCAACGTAAACTCGGAGCTCAGGCTGCCTCAAAGACATTTGATATTCGGTCCGTGTTCTAGCTCGCCTCAACATTGGAGCAGGAAAATGAGGATGGCATACTGTTTGCAACTTGAACAAGAGCGTGACTCCGTCGAAGTGCAGATATGTCAGTACCAAAGTTCGCTAGAATGCAGAAGAGACGTGATCGACGAAAAGGGATTCGACCCATGGTAGGAGTGTGTTGAGTTGCCAAGGAGAGTCGAAGCCTGATTTTTGTGAGTACCTACATACTTGTCAGACCAAAAACTCAAAATTCAATACTACAATAGGGTGCACAACTCGACAAATTCAAATTCTATAGCCTTTGGTTATCGTCCACATGGGAAGAAAAGGTCTTGGGGTGTGCTGAGGCCACCGGTGAGCGAGATGACCCTCGCATTGATTCCATGGGCCCTCAAGATGGTTCACTTTGCAACAATGTAAAGTTTCTAGATGTGAATGGGTGGTCTTTTGCTGAAGACCCGTCATGGGCAATTACAATAGCAAGGTGGGTTTGTCGTTGGCAAAGCGTTATGATCTAAATAGGGACGCTACGGTTGACAGAACTTCCAACTTTTCATTTCCATCTCCAATATCTCAACCTCCTTCGCATTAATATGCAAACAATCGAATCAAACGCCGCTTCATCAGAAGGCAGTTCTCACAATGCACTTCATTCGACTATTTGTCGCTTTCCCACGGAAATCCTCTGTCAAATCTTTCTGTACTGCATGCCAGAAGACGAAGAATGGAAATTGACGCCTGAACCAGATCCGAGTCTGGCCCCCATGCTGTTGACCACAATATGTCGACGATGGCGGGACGTTGTTGTGGACATGCCGAGTCTATGGCGCAAGCTGCGAATGGAAGTCGACGGTGACTGGCAGAAGAGAGCTTTCTGCTATGAATCCTACCTCAAGCAATCACAAGGACGTCAGTCATTGACACTCGAGATTCATGACGCAGACTGGATGGTGCCACGAAGCCTGCTACAGCCATACGTCGACCAAATATCGAATCTGTCTATCGAGTTATTCCGCGGTGCTGATTCCTGTCCAGTGGTGGCAGCGGACTTCGGCGGGCTTCAGGAGCTGAGCATCTACAATTGTGGTACTGCAGGAGCCATCGCGCATTCTGTCGCACAATTGCCTCCCAACACGCACAGTCTGAAGTTAACGAATGTGTGGCTTACCAAGTCGGAGGTATCTAGCTTCGATCCTCTTGCATGGGCCAGTCTCACAAGTCTTGAGATCATGGTAGGGGGATTAAACTTGATCCCCTGCTTGCTCCGTCTATGTCCCAATCTCTCGTCCTTGACGATGATGGGAACATTCACGGGTGAGATCGAGACCTCAGAAACATTGGAGCACACCAAACTTCAATCTTTGCGCCTATACAGTGCCTCGCATTTCAATACGCACGAGAACCCGAGCAGAATTTTCGAGCTATTCGATGCCGTGACGCTCCCCAATCTACGGGAGGTCGAGGTTTGCAATATAGGACGATGGCCTCACGAAGAGTTCAAGGAGCTTTTGGAACGGTCGCAGTGTCCCCTAGAGCGCCTGAACTTTGGTAGTTTTGTGATAAGAAAGAAAGAAGAGCTAGCAGAATACGTCACCCTTCTTCCTTCACTCAAAATATCGATGTATCCTCATTATTAACAGACCAAACTCCCCAATTTGGTTTCAAATAGTACATAGCAGTATAGTAGCTGATGCATAGCGGACTTACGATACTAGTTAGAAACGACAGGGGGTTGTATATAATAGTGCTCGATTTTGTGACATTACGTCATCCAATCCAGTACAATTTCAACATTGCCCCTACGAGTTGTGTTTGCTACCTTCAAGATGGAGGTGGTTCAACAGCTAATCTCATTTGCACCGCCTATGACTACGTTTTCCACTCATCTGCATCAACCGCCGGTGTGGAGGGCGAAGTCACAGCTTGATCAGTTGGTGCCGATGGACCTCCACGAGCAGCCATGGGTTGCACAGGGTGGTCTGAATATCGAGGAGATATATATATGATATATCAATACTTGCTTACCCGCATGGAACTCATCGCTTTTTGTGCCAGCTAAATCCATGGACCACACGGACCGTGATATCACCCGGGCCATCATCAAGCTAATTCCTCTCTTCATCATCCGAGTCTGAACATCTACCTTGAGGTTCATCATTCGAACTCGAGATAAGGTCCGCGGTCGTGGTAGGCAGCCGAGCAGGTGGCGGGCCAACAGTTGGTGGCTCGGGTTAACGGTGGATGGTGGATTTTTGGTCATCTGTCAAGCCGGTAACTAATTAACTTATTTCTTCCGACTATGCAGTATGCTTGTTCTGATATATTGATGCCATGTTATTGACGGTGATCGGATCTCTATGGCAGACCTCAAAACTTCGTACTCCTGCATATCTTCTATCAACCACTCTCATCGAGTTCGCCAGGTGCCATCCTGCGGATGCCATCAATCGGACTTCGTTGTTGATTGCACCTCCTGATGCGCGACACAGTGGTGGTTGACGTAGATGGCAGGGGTGGCTAGCCACTGACGGTGGTAGCTGATTGGCGCATCAGTGTCACATAGATCGTGGCGGGAGTGATGATGTCAGACCAGACAACCCGGAATTTGCCGACAACACATGTCCCCCGGACTCTGCCCAGACGTGTCCCCCAGACTTTGAGGCGGAGTCTGCGTAGACTTAACACAGACCGGCCATTTCCTACATGCCCTCCCGTTCGTACCTCTCGTCTCGGCGCCTATCTCAACAGAGATCACCCAGTCCATCACTCTGCACAAGCGACTTGCATCAGGTGTCTGGAGCTTGCCAACCAAAGTCATATCTTTTTTAAGCATTGCCTATTGAGCCCCTATACCGGGTGTCGAACAATCCGACTGACGGGCATCCACACACAAGTGAAGTTCGCTGCCTCTCTCGCATCACCGTATCCGCACAGTCGAATTGGACCGTGAATTGGGCACCATTTACATTGCAACCTGCATATGCGACGTAGTAAGTACATAAGTAGTAATCACATCTTTTTTCCGAATCTCATTTTGCCCTTCAGACTACAAGCATTAGACATGCACCGCTGTCTTCTGTTGGATGAGATCCTCGAAGTGATATTTGATTTTGTCTTCAATTCTATGAAATTGGTTGACTTGAGAAGTGCTTCCAATTGTCACCAAATCCCTTATATCTTACCGTCTTGCTATCACCACGATAGACGCTCTGTCTTCTGCCTCGCGCTCACATGCCACGCATTCCGTGATATAGCATTCGGTCTCCTTTATTCTCACCTGTGCAGCGTCCGGCCTCTTATCAAGTCCCTGCCTCACTCGGAATTGGTTTTCTCGGGCACAGCGTCCCTGGTGCTTACATCTGAACAGTTCAACTCATCGATTCCCTACGCCGCACGCGTCAAGTTTCTCTTTATGCAATACGACTACCACGGGACTGTATATGCAACCCTCCTTGCAAGTGCGCCCAAAGACACCCTGATATTTCCCAACCTGCGCTCGCTTACATGGTACGATGGGCGCATCACCTCCATCCCAGTTCTCAGACTCTTCCTACCTACCCTCGAGACCCTCTCCATCGACATCACAGAAACATCATTTCGCCAGGCCATCATCCCTGACCTCCATATTACTGCCCCTCACCTCAAAGCTCTCGAGCTTATGGGCAATTACGTCGCAACTCAGTCGGAAATCAAGTCGTTGTTGCTCACTTATCCTGAGGGTCTCACAAAGTTTTCGTTTCAATATTGCACTATCTCAAGTGGCTTGCTCGATGTTATTGCTACATGGCCACGCCTCCGATGGCTCACTCTCCAGCTGGGTCCCGAAAGCATCCCTTCTGTACCATTCCACGCGCCACAGATGTTTCAGGCACTCACTCACTTGAATATCTCGTGTAACAATCTTGGAATTTTCACATCTTTCCTGCGCGCCTTCCGAATGCTCCGGATGGATTCTGATACATATTCTCTCGGATGCTCCAACCTCAAAACAATCCATATCAACGCCAAAGAGTGTAACACATCCAGCACCTGGTCCGAACTCCTTAGCAGTCTCACATGTACGAAGCTAGAGCACCTTATTATCGAAGAGCTGTGTGATTGGTTCTCCTGCACGTTAGCTGTCTTTGATTTCCATCCCCTCCTTGCGCACCCCATCGCCCTCGCAGAGCTCAAGACCCTTGTTCTCATCCCAAACGGCTACACTTCAACCATCACACTCACTGATACGGACATCATCACGCTTGCTCGCACATGCCCATATCTTACTGTCCTCGATCTAGGGGTGCGCAATACGCCTATATCCCTATATGCCTTAAACTTCCTTGTAAGGCGCTGCCGCGAGTTGCGCCGGGCCTCGGTCTGCGTGAATGCGGAGCTTGATGCACTTGGAAGAACGCTTCTAAAAAACGACGTCGACAACGATCAAGGGGGTCTGCAACCCAATATGCAGTTGTTCCAACTACACATCGGGGGGAAGTCGCCTATTGCATGCGTGGGCCCCTTGCGCCCATCGACGGCTCCAGACCTGATGATGTCTATCCCACGGTTCCTGCACATGATGGCGCCGCGGCTTGAGAGTATCATGAAGATATTGCCCGAGGGAAAGTATGGACGAAGATGGGAGATGGTGTCGGATGCTTTGTCGGTAATGGTGAAGGACAGCGCGAAAGAAAGTTGAGGATGATTATGGTATGATTTTATCATTTCGAGTATAGCTACAACGTCAACCACGCCGTGCACTTGCTTACTGTTCCTTCCGTGTGGTATCACTCTTGGGAGTGGCTTAAATAGAACTCTGTTTGAATTGACATTGTGACTAAGGCACACTAGAAGGTACAATCAGCTCAATTAGAAATAGGTTGCATCCTCGAGTCCCTCATCGAGTCCCTTTGATTACGCGCTAGCTCGTGCATAATTGTTCAATTGTTCAGGTTCTTGCATCACCTCGCGGTAACTTTTGTGCCCTCAAACACTCTATATGCATTGAAATACAAACTTCAAATCATATTTGAGCTCATATAGCTCAACAAGAACCGCACATTCACTTGTTCCCGATGTTCTACATATTGTAAGGACGCGGCGATTACCCAGTTTTGCACGTCAATCTCAGCGTTGCATGTAGGGCGCCATCATGGTCCACATAGACAGGATTGCTGCCATGACACAGTTAGTTAAATTCGACAAAGGATAAGAGTCGCATTATATGTCGTTAGTACGATTGCTCCAAATACATCATGTAACATGGAGCGAGCTAAGGAAGCTAAAGACTTACTCGTACATCACCCAATCGCCCAATGGCCACCACATGTAGATAGTAGGCTCGCCAGCTACCCCGCTATATTTTTCAAGGTAACCAGGTCTGCGAAGCCGACATGGGAACAAATAATACCCCATAGGATAAATCCATCAGTTCCTTCAAACGAGTCAGAGCAAATAAACTACAAACTTACTCTTGTGGCACAATTGTCTCGGGGAAATTATCACCCGGCGACAGCTTCAGGGGTTTGCGGCCAGGTTTCCCTTCTATCTTAAATGAAGCTTTCGTGCAAGCTGGAAGGCTAGGCGAAGAAATGCCATACAGAACGCGCCACTTCCACTCAACAGTGTACATATCAAAGCGGAGAAACCATATACGTCCTGCAGGCCATGGTGTTATCACATCAGCACGATGAAAAGAACAAGAAACCTGCGCCACACACCATCTGCGACAAATTCATAATTTAACTTGTGCGTGATGCGCAGGCGTCTCTGGAACTTCCTGATGCGGAAAGAAACGACAAACTGATGGCTGTTGCCCATCTTGACCTCATGCACTTCAATCTCATCCGGTGGACAACCTAAAGATCATCTCAAAACCTCACCCTTGGCTGATGCGAAACATGGTAGATAAGTTAATGCACTCTCACATAGGGTCACTTACCATCAATATTTGCCAATTTCAGGTGCGTAAACGATGCGTGGTCACTAGTCGCCATGCATGCAAGACGCAATTCAGAAGAGCATGCAGGCGAACATTCAGAGATGAATGCAGCAAAGGCAGCCACAACTTCTCACTGGTTGTTCACAATTGCCCAATATAGCGCTGTGTGATCCTCGATATTTGGTGTTTGTAGAAGCTTGGAGAACTCTTGAGTTGTAAGATCAGCAGCACAGACGTTAATAATTGAGGCGGCGGAGGATGGGTTGAAATCTGGAGTGAGAACGATATCACGGATGCGCGATAGAACCGCGGTGCATTTCTGCCTGGCGACGAATAACAAGGAAAAGAAAGATGATTGGAGAGTGGCCGATGATGATTCAGACAGAGGTGTCGTATCGTACGAGGGAGGTGCATCACCGGCACCCACAGACTTTTGATCATCGAAATCTTCTGAAGGATTGGTAGTCATGATGGCTATACTAGAGGGGCAAGTCAGAATGTCGAAGTATAAAAAGAAAATAGGGGCCACAACCAATTTCCTTTTTTGTCATACGAGCACTTTCGGCAATAATAGGAAGTTTGCCCTCCAACCTTGAACCGAACGCCCCGCGCTGATTTGTTTCGGTTCTACCTGATACGAAAGCATCAACTTCTTTGTTCCTCTTACCGTGCAATATCTTCAATTGGCAATTTGGCAAGGTCACAGAGATGGTAGTTGAGCAGGTTCGATATCTCAAGATCCCACCCCTTGTGTCTTCTCAATCCCTAGTCATGTCTGCGTTTTCAGCAGGCATAGTGACCCATGGAACGGATGGACACTTTCTGGTCAGTTCACTAGTGCTAGAATTGTGCTCATCAAACACTTCCCAGAGTCATTCACGTCGTCGCCCTCCTGTACTATAACCTCTTTCGAGGTCTATATCTTTCCAACCATTTAACGCGTTGACGCATATGTGGCTCAATCTTCGCGTTGCATGAAACATAGTCCGGCACTAAGACTCTTATTTCAAGTGCCCCATTGTTGATATTTGTTCCAGAAACAGACCACCTTCGATGACGAGATTGGCTGCTTCCACCCAATTGTGACCTAGAAGCTGAATTGTTCAGCCAGAGCTGCAGAAATCGATGAGGAAGCATGCCTTCTATTAGTACATCACTCCGTTGAAATGGTCCCAAAGTTCTAACGTGATACTATGTAGGGATGCCTTTCAATCGAACCATGTTGGGGCATGACGGTCCTTTGTAACGGATGCCGCTACAGTCTACTTGCTAGTCAGCCTTCACGAGATCCGATTATGTCGAGTTGTCGCATGAGGATTCAGTAAGTAGAAGCAGTTGTTACAGCACGAGAAGGAGCTTCAAGTTCGAAACAGCCATTAGACATGTACGCGAAATTGTGACGTGAATGGGACACTTCGCCACGATTATGGCTCCAGGTGTCCTGACTTGCTAGAGTTCTTACGATGTGTCCGTATTTTCCCCCCTCAATTAAACCGTGCTGATCCTATCATTTCGTCAGGTGCTTCGAGGGCTGCGCAAGTATAAAAACCCTCACAACTTTGACACATCGACAAGTGGCCACCTTCTCGATTACAATCATGCAACTCTCGTTGATTTTCAGGATGCTTATGTTCTTTGCCGCTATTGTTGCTGCATATTCCCCGCTAGACTTGGGGACGAAACGTACATGTGAGGACTCATGCGTCGATCTAATTAGTGAGAGGGATACTGATATGCTTTGCAGCTGTGGCTAAGCGCGAGGGGCTCGACGTTGACCTCACTCGCCAGTTGAACGTTAGGGCGCCTGACGTTAGTCACGTTTCAGCGCCCAACGATCCTGATGATCCTGTCCAGCCTAACGATCCTCTCGAGTCCAACTAAAACGACTGATGAATGGCGACGAGAAGTGTGAGGAGTAACCACGCGTTACAAGAAAGGTACTGTTGCTTCTTTCTACCTCTTTCTGACACGCGACTTATTGCTTTTCAGCTGTATAATAGAGGTGGACCGTGAGGGGTGCTACAACGTCGTCAGTCACCAACTACAGCTTTTGTTTGTAGAATACTTTCTTTGCGTTTCGCTTCGTATCTTGTTCTGAGGAAGGAGATTCCAGACTCATCGGAACCTTCGACCAATTGAATCAGATGATGTCATTGGTCATGCAATGTTCAAATACTCGCAACAACACTGTACTCTCCGCGGATAGTTATATATCGCAACGTTAAACAGCAGAGGCAGTTTCACATCATTTGACTGCCACGTGCAAGATAAGTGATGTGAACACATTCAAGACTGAACCTGACCGCAACGCCAACACGATGGAACGTCAACATTTCAATGCAATAATTGCGCCTCAGAAACTGTAGCTGAGGACAGCTCTTGAAATATCTGAGACAGCTTGCTCAATGCTCGGATGCAAGATGTCACATCCCTTAAGCTTGACCTAATGAGGTGTAAAAGTGCCGGTTTCGGTAGCGAGGCCGAGTTTTGAACGTTCGAACGTTAATCGAACTCACCTACTAGTACTACCATATGTAATTTCTGCACCAGGCAAGCCTCCAATAAACGGCAAAAAATGGCCTAATTTTCTTACGATACGTCCGTATTCTTTTCTCAATTAAACTGTGCTTACCCCATTATTTCGTCAGGTGCCGCGCAAGTATAAAAACCCTCGCGACTTTGACGCATCGACAGGTGGTCACCTTCTCGATAACAATTATGCAGCTCTCGTTTATCTTCGGGACACTTATGTCCTTTGTCGCGATTGCTGCTGCATATCCCTCACCAGACTTGGGGACGAAACAAACTTGTGAGTATTCATGCGTCAATCTAGTTGGTGACAATGATACTGATATGCTTTGCAGCTTTGGCTAAGCGCGAGAGGTTTGAATTTGACCTCGCTCACCAGTTAGACGTTAGGGCGCCTGACGTTTCAGCGCCCAACGATCCTGACGACCCTGTCATGCCTAACAATCCTTTCGAGTCTAATTAGAATGACTGATGAAGGGCGACGAGCAGTGTGGGGAGTAACTACATGTTACAAGGTATTGTTATTTCTTTCTACTTCTGATACGCGGCTCATTGCTTTTCAATAAAGGTGGACTGAGGGGTGCTACGAGGCGTCAGTCACTAACTACAACTTCTGTTTGTAGAATACTTTCTTTGCACTTCGATTCGTATCTTGAACTTTCGATCAAGCTTGGCACTTTGAATCGGATGATGTCACTGGTCAATCAGTCATATTCAACATCAGCCTGAAATTTGCAACAATACTAGGCGTGTTCTCTGCGAATAGTTGGGAAACTCGGGTTTTCCGTCGGACAATTGCATCAGAAACGATACTTATAAGAATGAAGCAATACAGTTTTACATCATGTGACTACCACGTGAAGGATAAATGATGTCAATTCATTCAAGACTGGACCGCAGTACTCAGTACTCAGTACTTGACGAACTCGTCAACATGTCGATGCTCAGAACAATGCAATATCTGCGCCTCAGAACGATTTCTCGCTATCCCTTGTCCTTGCACCATTCTCTTCACACATCTACCCGTCTCTTGCATTCTTCATCAGACGCACCTAAGCCCCACAGTGCAGACAGTTACTTCAAAGATGTAGACGAAACAGCTCCACAAGACCCTACCATTCACCGCGTCGACGCCGCATCAGAGGCAGTACAACGTCCTTACGAGCCACCCTCAGGGCAGTGGAGTCAGGCGGGGGTCAGGACCAGCGAGTATGAACATGTCAGCAAAGACGAGCCGTATGACGTGCCTACTGGGCAAGCAAAAGAGAACAACCTGCGGTACGGTGGCACTGAGAAACTAGGTTCTGAGATTAGTGATCCTGGGGAGGGTCCAGAAGGTCAATCGAAGGGAGGGCGTAAACCAGAACGAAGTGCCTGAACGTAAATTCGTCGCCGAGGTATCATTGTCAGGTCGTTCTTTAGTTCCTTGCAGTTTTTGATCGACTTATGATATATCACAGCTTCGATGATTCATGATAGGCATGTAACGTTAGTGGGATGTATGTATTATGAAGCGCTGGCGTAGTTGTTGTACGAATACTATGATTTTATCTGTAGTCCAGTGTCTTCCTGGGCATTCATTGTTATTCATACTCGCCTTTACCAACCCGGAAGTTGATTTCAGCTGGTCACTCGCACAGACAGTACCTTCGACAGTACGTTCAAGGTCCATTGGGAAGGATGCAGCCAAAGATAGTGCGTGTTGCTCAAGAAAGTGGTTATCCAGGACAACGCTTGACAAGACACTGAATGTTATAACGTTAAGCATATAGACCCGGCTGTTCGATCAAGGCATAAGCTCCAATACAGCCTGACACCTTGTTCCGCTTTGGTCCTTCGTGCCTCCTGGTTGGCACCCCAGTTCCACGGCTCAGCCTCGAGTTTTACAAAGCACAGTAAGATCTGGGAAAGTACAAGCGCAACGCGCAGTAGTTATTCAATCGGACAGCACCTTGGTGATATCTATGCGGCAAACACCTTCGGGCCTCCCAGCTGGCGGACCTACATCCGTAGCGTTAAATACCATACCAAGGCTCTCGATATTGTGGCATGATAGTGAGTTGACAAGGCCCCGAAACATAATCCTGAATTGTGTCGGCAAGAAGTGGGCAGTTCCAAGAGCAAGGCGCTTGAGGCGTACGTAGTCCAGACGGGCTGTGATATGAATGACTGTCCAACTTCCGCAGGGCGCGTTCTACATTGAGCGCTGTTTCGGGATTACCGTATAAGAACCACAACGACTTGCAGTGCACCCAGCCTTCGACAATTTTTCTGATAGGCTGAGGCCAGAGTGGATTATGATTTTGTTAAGGGACGAGCTACTAAGTCGAAGGTTGCTGCGTTCACATGGTGTAGGGACCGTGATATACAATTCGTGAACAGGCGCGCTATATGCTTTGCAGATGTGGAAGCTCGCAAAGAGCAAGCCCAGCGACTTCAGGAGATGTCGCATGTAGTTCGAGAACGTCCAGTCGTGGTGAATGCCTCCTGAGACCTGAAAACACATGGTGTCCGTCCAAAGATATGGCTTGGGTAAAGCTAGGCGAGACAGATGAGGTTGAGACCCAGGAGATAACACGTACACGATTTGAGATCCTGAGGACATTCTTGGTAGCAAAGGACTCGAAGGATTGGCACAGGACGACCATGAAGAAAAGTCCAACATGGCATGGATGAACTCCACATGCTTGCTTCCAAGCCCGTGTCCCAGACTTGCACCGGGATGCGTAACGCTTGAAACCTCACCAAGATGATTCGATAACAGGCCACCATATGGACAGTGACATAGACATAATGAAAGCAGTGTCGATGATCGCACCCCTAGACGTGTAAGTGTACGTACGAACTTCCAATAACCAGTCTCGATCCATATATCTTGCGGAAGACAATGGAAAGCGGTTCCATATTCTCCAGCTTGGCCTAGAGCACATCCAACGCTTTATCTTTGGAGAATCGGTGAACGCAAGAGAGACCAGCTAAAGAATGTTGCATGATCCTGAGGAGATATTAATGTAGACAAAAACCAGAGACTGTGACCGACGAAGAAACACACCTTCTGAGCATGGGCCAGCATGCAGAGAACCTCGGGCTTGAAAAGTTCAGATTGAAAACAACACTGATTCAAATTTCAAAGAAGATGAAGTGGTGAGTGAGTTGAAAAAATAGTATGTGCATCGCACAGGAAGACAGCTGCTGAGACAGTGGAAGAGAAAAGCAAGGTGAGCCGACTTTTTGAAGCACTGCGGTCTTAGACGTACTAAAAGAACCCTAGCCCACGGACTCAGTGGGATCTTCACGTGATCGCGTTGGAGTTAATATTGCTTATTTCAAAAATTCCATCATCCGCGTAGACTCTGAATTGACAATGAGTTTATTCCAATCTGTCGCGCCGGACGAATGTTGAGATAAAAAGACTTTATTAAATTTAGAAGTTAAACATGTAGAGAATGATCGAGCTCTCCCGATCATGCAGAGGTCCTAATCAATTCGCATCAAATGAAAGTACAAAATGTTTTTATTTATTTTTAAATCCAGTTTTGTGTAGTACTCTATGTAAGACAATAATAACTAGTCTAGGGGGCCCCAGTGCCCCCTCCGCGCCTCTAGATACATGAATGCCCCAGTGTGGAGCGTACTCCCACTGGTCCGCCGTTCCCGCCGCGCGTTTTAGACATGCTATCTATCGAAGGAGAGGTGACTTTTAAATATGTTGCGTGCAGTGATATAGCTAATATGAGTAGAGGTCGTCTGGACGCGTTCTCAGTACAAAATGTTAACTGTCGACGGGAGGCTGCTTCTTGTTCCAATATCGGAAATCGACGCGGTCCTCACCGCAGGCAATGACTACAAGATCTCACATTTCTCCAAATGGAATCTACCGTTCTGCTTCTGTCGAGACAGGTCCTGTTGTATGCCGCAATATTATTGCGCGAACGTTGAATGAGATTGTGCTCCGGGTGACTATTGATCGCAATGCTGCAAAGCTGCCGTGCATTGCACACCTCGGTCTGGTGAAATCCCGTCTGCCTGTCCCACCCACACCTCGTGCAATGTTCGAGACATCTTTTTGTGAGACACATTGTGATATTTGTAAGATGGGATTTTTGGGATGAAAAGGATGGGGGATGGCTTAGTCTGATGCTTTGTGAAGTGAGGGGATTACTCACCATCGCGCTGGATTTATACCTTGGATGCTCTCGGTGGCGGCCTAGGACGATCCATACGTCTCACTGGAGAAATAGCCCGATAAAATGTGATCGCTTGGGAGAGTTGCCAAAATGTGAAGGGATGTATACCTCCATGGGGTCGCCGTCAAATTTAGTAGCAGTCGAAATCGTAGCCGGCAAAACAGCATGAGTGACCTGGCCTGCGGCATGAAATGACTGTAGGTCCTTAGGTGGCGGTCAGAGATAAAATACGTCAAAGAAAACCGACTGCGCATACCTGAACTTTATGCTGCTTGGAGGAAAGACTGGTAGCACGACAAAGCACATAATTGCGACAGTGGTACTGATGTGGGAAAAGACCAGTCAGCCTGTCAGTGCAATTAATGTCACTGAGATTTTTGTAAGCGTTAGCAGCTAGGTGCCGATGCTAGCCTCGAGCAAACATGACGCCACCTAGCAGCCATCCTACCGCCCCAAACCCTTTAGCAATGGAGGAACGGGGACGACAGTGGAAGCCGCAAGCCAATGGAAGATGGACAGCCCGCAATAAGCAGTGCTATAGATTTTATGGTGGTATGTGGCGACATGCTTATGCTCACCTTCCAAGGGTGTTTCAAAAATATAAATGATATTCCATGAAGGAAGCGATGGTTATATCAAAATATCTTTCTGATGAAAAAAAAAACAGTTAAAATGTAACCTGAAGTGTATCCCCCCGTATCACGACCATTGATTGATCAATTACCTTGCAAAGAAATAGATCAAGCACTACTCACTTGTACGTTATCGGGGAAAGACAGCTCGACCTGCCGAAAAAGCAAGATATGCGCGCGCTTTGGAAGTTACCAGGTAGAATATAAAACTCATGCTGCATCCATAGCGAGGCTTTGAAATTTGGTCCACCACAGCAATAGATCAAGCCGACGTGGACGGAATGTCAAACCAGTGGTGATGCACAAAACTGTGCAACCTTGTTAATGACGTAAGCGCACTTGAAACCGGAGAGACGACTCGGACTCACTAAAAATATAGCATAGCACTACTTGATTGTACGCCGGTGGGCATGGTTAATCTGAAAAGGAGCGTAGATGCAGTTCTACACAAGGTTCAGGCCAGCAGTGAGAATACATGTTGGCCAGGTCTGTGTTCAGCTGCCATACTTACACTGCACTTAGTCCACACCATACCACTATGTAGTGCCACACACTGCAGTAGTACCGCTTCAAATCAAAAGTTCAAGTTAAATCGGAGTTGATGCAGCGTCACGTGCGTATCATGTTACCGACTTGCTGTACGTTTACGATAGTACTGCACGAGTTCTAATCTCCGGCGGCTGAACACTGATGTAGACCTGAATCACAAAGATGCGGTATATGAAAGAACCACAGGAGCATTACGTCGCAGGTATCTTTTTTCAGCTGTTTCAATCATAACGTGTACAACAGCAAGGTGACCGAGAAGAGGGTTATGGATGGCAGGAGAGGCTGAGTCCAAGAGTGTGAGGGTAAATCCGCGAGGCGAGTGACAGCTCGTTTCCCCTCCTTATCCTCTACGCTACCGACAAACATTTTCCAAGGCATCCCGCACATCCATCCAACTAGAATTATATCAGCAGAGCTCTAACTCTCAACTGAAGCAGTTATTGATCACAACCATAATGCCAGCGCCAGTAGCGGTGTGCGTTGTTGCGGCTATTGCAGGTGTTGCTGCTGTCATTGCTTTCCACGAGGTGATTTTATATCTATCAAAAACTCCCCATTCCGACTTCACCCGTTTTTAACCCTCTAATCTACTCTGCAGTTCGTCTTTGAACCCCACATTGCCCCTGCTATTGAGCGTTGGGCAGAGAACTTCCTCGCCAACCGTCGTGCTCAACGCAGAGGTCCTGTTCCTTTGCAATCAACCCGAGGGTCTGGGCATGGAGACCCAGCGCCTAGTGGTGCTGATCTGAGGAGAAGGACCCCTGCGGGAGAAGAAGATTCTGTCGAACTACAAGGGTTCAACCTCGATGAATGGCGGAACCAGGTCCATCGCACTACCCCAGGCACCGGTATGAGGCGGAGAGGCGGAGTAATTCCTGACACAGACGAAGGGAGTATATCTAGCACAATGGACGAGGTATGTCTGTCTTTCATCTTCTATCTTACCCTTTGATCAAATATGAACAGTCTTTCTCGTCACTCACGCACACTCCGCTCACACCCACCCATTTCATTTCCAATGTCTCCTCCCCATTCGCAGAAGCCACCTCTGTCTCCACCCGCACACCCAGCTGCTCCCACTCCGGTTCCACTCCCCGTACGAATCCTCCCTACTCTACCCACCCAATTTCCCCGGTTATGCGCACTCCCATGCGTTCTCACGTACCATCGAGCAGGTCGTCTCTGCAGCACTTGAGCTCAAGCTCGCACATCAGCGTGGATGTGCAGGGCAGGCATGTGGACATTGACCCTGTTGGCGAGCATGTTAACTTCAACATCATCAGCGGCGTCAATGCGAGGATGCACGTGGATATGAGCACAAACACCAGCATCATGGAGTCACTATCAGAACGTTATCCTGCTCCGCCCACCCCCCCTGTCATGCTCTCCCCACCTTCATCACACACTACCTTCTCCTCCCCAAACACAGACATACTGAGCCTTTGGAGCAATAGCCGCTCCGGCTCTCCACTTGACTTAACCTCCCCGCCTGTTCGTATTAGTGAGGTGCACCTCCCCCCGTCTGCATCCCTCTCAGGTGCTACGAGCGCACTATCTCCCTTGATGAGTGAGCACGAGTTCATAGTGTTTGGCGAGGCATTAGATCCGGATGGGGTGGAAATCTTGGCTTCACGAAGCGGAAGTGCGCATTTGCATAATCCGTTTACTGATTTTGATGAGGAGGGTTCCGACAGTGGTAGTGAAGGGAGTTGGAGACGGGTGAGTGTGGCATACCGCAGGTGATGCTTGTTTTGAGGGTGAGTATGTCAAATTATCAGAATGGTGGTGTAGTGTGCGTTGTTCCTTTCTCTCTTTCTTTCTACCATCTGATTATCTATTTCGTTGTTATCTCATACTCGTTGTTCTGCTGCTCTTTTCCTTCGCACTGTACCTTCGCCCCTCTTGTGCTCGTTGTGAACCCAGTCGTGAATTATGCTACAACCTGTGCATGGTATTCGTGGTATGCAGATTGATTTTAGCTGGATACTAGTATTTGTTGTGCACTTGGGACTGGATGTAGACGATATTCGTCTTGCAAGTCGTGCGCTGGACGTATTAGTACTTTAGTACTTGTGGAGGTACTAATCGAAACATCAACACTTCAAAACAGACTTTATCGGCTATTCATATCATACCTTTATCCCGTACACTATTACCTAGGACAGCTCGTAGAGCACCGCGTCTCAACATTCTTCGCTGTTTATTGCAGTATATGAATATAGACTTTCTTCTCTCTCCAATTGGTCCTCAATTTCACTCTTGTTGCGTGCTTGTCACGGTCTTGTTCGATCTCTCTCCTCGTTTACGTTGTATCTTCAACCCTCGTTCTCATCATGATCATTTGGCGGGTGACTTTGAACATATCATATGAGGTTTCGGATGGATTCAGCTTTATTTTGATATCTGCAATCAATGTTTGATATATTGAAGTCATACCAGGTCATACAGCGGCAGGTGAGTTTGATCGATCTCGTAGTCTACCATGACTATGTCGCGTCCATGAAATGAGCGAAACTCAATTATCTTTTCAGTGACACTATGACTTATAGCCGCCTTAGACGTCAGTGACGAGTGTGGGTGGGTACTATTGTACAATCTGACTCAGTTCCCGCCGAATTCAGAAGGGGTTCGAACCTGTTCGAACTCGTTTGACTACCCGAATCTGCACCCGAATCTATCTTAAACCGGTTCGGGCAGTCACTTGCTATTGACAAGTTGCAAGCCCTATGGGGATAAATGGACTGGTAAGCCATCTCGTTAAATCAGCTCGTTCTGACATAATTATCACCTCAGTCTCTTCCCTTGAGTTCTTCACGAGCGCTTTCCCTGCTGCGCAGCCGCCATGACTCACACAGAAAAACTCATATCCGACATTACTATTGAACGAACGCAGAAGGCATTGGATGATGCCACCTTAAATTTAAAGTCGACCTTTGCTAGAAAGCTCGACAAGTGGGATCAGGCAGGTTCGTCATTCACAATCCATCCCAGTAAGCGAGGGTGTTATTCAGATTACTACGCTCTTCTTCAGAGGACTGCGTCGTCCAGACCGCTCAAGAAGTTGGATCGGTGTACAATTTCTATACTCAGAATGCAACCATCAACTCTGCATCTGATGCGATGGTTGCGGACCTCTCAAAGAAGAATATGGGCGACTTTCTGGGAGAGGCGAAGAAGGTGATGGAGGCCCTGGATGTCCTGCAGCAGGTTCACCCGTTTGTCGGCGGTGTGTTATCACTTGTCGATGTTTCTGCCTCAGCTAATGTTTGGATGAATTTCAGTGGCTATACTCGCCTTCAAGGCTGTCGTGAATCTTGAGCTAACAAGAAGAGAAAACGATCGTAGAGTTGGACTTATGTTAGCTCAAGCATCTGACATGATGACCATGCTCCTCCAGTTCGTGATCCGACACTAGCTTTGAGCAATTTTTACTGACTCGATTCTATGATAGACTCAAGGACACCAGAGATCTTGCCATCGTGGGACCCCATGGCAACATTCGGGGGCGATTGGATCGTGTCCTGGATGGCATCAAGCAAGACATCGAAGATTGCGGAAATGCCATTGACAAATACTACAAGTCAAAATTCATGGGTTAGTTTTCCTCATATTCTTGGGCGTTTCATATAGAGAATCACATTCCCAGTGAAATTCTTCAGATCCTCCCATTGGGCAAGCGAATTCCTCAGAGTTTGCAACAGCTTTTCCCAACGTACGCAGGACCTTCAGCTCGCCTTAAATATCAGGACCGCGTTGAGAGTTGATATTGCCATTGATAAGCTAGACAAGCTAATTCGGACGCAAACCGATCGCGAAGCAAGATTCGAGAAAGAAGTGCAAATGCGCGGTGGAAGAGAGAAATGTTTGGAAAGCGAAGATAAACTAGCAGAGCTACTGAAAATCGCCGAGCAACGGGAAGGGCGTCCACAGAATAAAGCGTATGCTGATGCTCCTACCAAAGATGTCAACAAGCCTACTTCAAAGACCGCTTCTGCGAACGGATCGGTTGGCGAGCAGTCCCGCCTTGATGCATCGCTGCTTCATGAACTACGTGCTCCGTTACGCAACTTACTTGACGAGAATCGCACGCTCTTCATGTTTAAGCTTGATGCACAGACATCTGACATCAAAGATGCCATCAAGGATTCTGAAACACGTATAATGTGGGCCTTCAACAGCAGATTTCGACGGATCAAGGAACCAGTAAGGATTAAGAAACTCAACCTTATGCATCACTGACTTGGTCAATTTCATTAGCACCTACGATATATCTGGAAAGAGATGGTATGTCTTTGTGCAGGCGTGATCGAAGCACATACTTATCATCGTCAAGAAATGGACAACAAGTGTAAAGACACTATACTTCATTGCAGAACTCTATGATTATTACGTGAACCGGTTTTCTCGTCTCCGTCATAACACTCCACCACCAGAAGCAGCTTCAGATGCTTCATCGCTGGTGCTGCGAGTGCCATCTCCAACTCCCACCGTCTCCGTCATGTCCGATTCAGAAGGAGAAGACCGCGAACTTCCGGCAGCCGATCCTTCACACCAAGAACTTCCTACTGTCGATCCTGCAGATAAATGGTGCTTGAAATATTTGTCCGTTTTCTACGTTCCAAGTTTATCCGAAGGCTTCGACGGCGATGCGAATGGCTTGGTCAGTATAAGGGAAGTGAATGCTTTTACGTCCGCAATGCCTTTGGGTTGGACTCTGCCACAAGCACTTGCATACTGGGCTGCAGGTAAGAAGTTTTATCGTTAGTTCGAGCCAGTGCTTATGTCGGTGGAGGTTGGAGAGTGGACAGCCAGTACTATCATGCACGAATCGAAGAGGTCTTGAACAGCATGGTTTACGCGCAAGCAGATGTACTTCCAGAAAACAGGCGGTGTATTGCCACATACTTGAACTCATATGTCATCGATGGTGCGTTGCTCTGCCCATCTTTTGATGAGGGCATTTACACAGCAGACAGATATAAAAAGGCTTGTCCGTTCTATTGCAGAACTTGGATTGGAAGATTCGGACTTGGATCTCGCGCAATTGACTGCTCGGCGTCGTGAGGCTCAAGAAGAGACATTAACGGATAAGCTCAAGATTGTTAAGTATGAAATCGATTCCAAAGATTCTATCAAGCTTTTTGGATCTGGTCGCATCGAAAATGTGGGTTGCTGGCTCGGTGGTTGTACTGAATGCTCACATGAGTCACTGCTTGCTCAGTTCTTGCTGCCTTTACTTTACCTCATAATTAGGAGGCATTTACAGATCATGAAACTTGCTGCCACAGTGATTCTGGTCGAGAGAGAGCTTGAATCTGCAACTCAAACGATAGAAAATATTCTGGAAGGGGTGTCTCTGCGCGTGGACCAACTGGCAGGTGCGTTTCTAAGCTATATCACGGTGTGCTATCTCTTCCACTATCACAGAGTCATTTCGTCAACAGGGTAATGATCCAAAAACGAGATTCACATGGTATGCGCATGGCTTGGTACGTACAAACAGCAACTTTATATTGGTTTCTGGTCTGATACCTCGTAATAGTACAACTTTTGGCATAGCCCAGAATTAACCACAGATGACACCGAATACTGGGAAACTCATGATATTGGGCTTGATGACAGTAAGCTAGAGATCGATTCGACAGCATTGAAGCTTGGTCCTTTCAGTCTGAAAGAGGACAATGAGGGGATAGGAAAACCTGTCAAGTTCGTCGCATTTGGTCCCGTCCAGCAGCCTGAAGATAACATGGACGAATATATCCGTTTGCGGTGCATGAGTGACTTGTCCAATACGTGGGGCTACCCTCACGATATTCCGCCTTACTTATCGTTGGTCGACAAAGAAAGGCTCGATACCTTGTCCCAAGAGTTACCGCCCACAGACATTGAACGCTGGAATTCATTCGCTGAACTTCAGATGCGTAGACGGTTGTTCCAGTGAGTCCGTCTTCTGTCTATTTTATCATTCTTTGAATATCTGCATTTCAGGTGTCAGTGCGACGCATGTCATTACCTTGTTAGTGATATCCTTCATCGTTGTATAGATTGCGAGTCCAGTGAGTATTATGGAGATAACCCTCTCATGCAAGGGGGCTAATCTTCTTACATAGATGACTATGATGTGTGTGCAGATTGCGAATCTCAGCCGGTCTCAGATCACAAATACCCATCCGACCACAAGTCAACACACAACATGCTTGTCTTTCGCATGTCGATACCTCATGGTCGCTACAGCAGAATCCGGTGGTATGCCAGGAATTTCTTATCCACTTGCGTGCCCGCTGCAGTACCGCTAGAAGCACCATTGACTGCGCGAGAAGACGAATCTCAAACACAATCAGATGAGCCTGAACTCACGCATCCGATAGAAGCTACTCGAGCAGACGATTCTTCCACCTCTGTTGATTTGCAGGAAGGTGATGAGAAGCTGAATGGGAACCCGGGAGTAGTATCTGGGGGAATACCTAAAACCTCAGCCGCGAATGGGGATCTACATGCTTGTACTGAATGCGGTGTCAAGATGAAGGGCATTTTTTGTGTATGCCTTACCTGCGCAGGTCAGATTTCCATATCTCTAACGGGGCACATAGCTTAACAATCATCACAGAACTCTATTCCCCCATTGCCCTATGCGGCGATTGTGCTTTTCGTGATGTGTTCAACGTGGCCACGAATCACCACCCTTACAAACACTGGCTGGTCAAGATCAAAGACCGGGTTCAAGATATAAGCATCGAAACATCAGATGAACCTTTGGCCAACGTGGACGAATCTACTTCGCTTTCCTTACGAGTCGATAAGTTGGCTGCAATGGTGGAATCTCGTTTCGTAGAACTGGATCTCCGGCTTAGTACACTTGTCACACAGGTTGAACACCTTGTGCATAGTATGGCTGCATCGACAGGAAAAGCAGAGCTTCCCTCTGAATCCGTCACTGATTGATTGGCTCATAAATTGGCAGACTGTTGTATTTCTAGTATAGATCGATCTATACCAAAGTGTTATATATACGTCCTTCGTACATGTGAAATAAACATGTTTGTAATTGGCTTTCATTGTGCGGAAGAGTATATTTATCTCCTCGTTTGCATTGTATCTTGCCCTCGTCCTCAACATGATCATTTGGCGGGAGATTTTTAACAGATCATATGAGGTTTCGGATGAATTCACTCTTATTTTGATATTTTGATATATTGAAGTCATACCCGGCGGGCCAGGTCATACAGCAGCAGGTGAGTTTGAATCTATCGGATCGATCTCGTAGTCTACCATGACTATGTCGCGTCCATGAAATGAGCGGAACTCAATTCTCTTTTCAGTGATACTAGTATGACTTATAACGTCAGTGACGAGGAGTGTAGGTGGGTACTACAGTACTCAGTTCCGCCGGATTCAGCAGGGGTTCGAACTCGTTTGACTACCCCGAACTATCTCAAACCGTTCGGGCAGTTCAGCACCGCACGGTCCGCACCCCGGCAACTTTATTTTTTTTTTTTGGACAAGCGAAATGTATTGGTAGCAACTGACTAAGCCTAGTTCTACGTATACGCGCTATAGCAGGGTTTCGGGAAACCCCGGTCTGAGGAAAAATGCGTTTATGCACTCCCGTATTATGCGGGGTGTGTGGGACTCTGCATTACCTAGGGGGCCTCGATCGTAGAGGGCCTGGGTGATCTAATACCCACTAAAACCTCTAGGGCGGTGGCCCAGTCTTTTCGTATTTGGGTATTGGGGTTTGTTTGGATAGTGTTTTCCCAGGTATTTGTAACTAGTTTTGTGAATTTTTTAGTTCTTATGATTTTGTTTGCGGATATTCTGTCTAGTTGTAATCTATTATTTATTCTATTAGTCCATCGTTTGATTATCGTGTCTGTTGTGTAAGTTTTTTCATTAATGGTGCTATCGCATCTTATTATCCAGATTAGATAAGCGGATTCCGAGATGAGGATTCTGAGAAGTATGGTTTCAAACGGGAAAAACGACGGTCGGGTCACGAACGGTCACGACGTGACGTTCGTGACCGCCATCTCCTCTATCCTCCCCATAACATAACATATCGAGCCGTCAGCTCATAAGGACTCCAGACACTCTAAAGATCTGATCCTCCCTCCGTCCCGAGTCAACCGTTGCTCGCTCGCTTTTGCAGAGCCCTCTCTGGCAGCCCTGGCAACCCAACCGACAAACAACTCGATAGAAGAGAGGACCTCCCAGGCCAAGAGAATTGAAACTGACGCGCCACGCGTCACGGAATGGCAAGGGGCGGAAATCGAGGATCGTACTAGGTTAAGTTTGTGTTGTTTCACTCACCGAAGGCATCGGGCTTTGCTAATGGATGTAGTAAAGGACTGTGTGGTCGGTTTGTGTGGATTTTGAGACGGTGGGGAAAGAGGAGCAATGCTCTTGGAGGGTGAGTCCCCACTGTTATATGGTTGCGCGAGTGTGCCGTCAACCCCCCTTCCTTTCTTTCTGCTCCCCCCAAAGTTGGAGCTTCTCTGCAGATCTCGTGAGAGGGCAACGCCTCTCTGATCGGATCCGCTGCGGGAGCCGTCAGGACAATTTGGTGACCAACCGCAACAGTGAGTAATGCTTCGATCTTAGGCTCGCCACGCACCTAACTTCAAATGTGTATTGTCAGGGGTGAACAACTTGCAGAGTGCCGCCGATTGTGATGCGACGACGATCGAGTGCCATTGGGCTGTTCTGGTGAGTCACTTGTTCTCGGAAGACTTAGGCTCACGATGTCACGCAGGTAAGACCGTCTTTTTTCGCCAAAGAAACCTCTGGTGGGCGATCAGAACTGCCTGCAAAGCCCAGGGGGGATGAGGGAAAGCAGAGCTTGCCGGACGCGAAAAAGACGGTCCTCGCGGGCGCTAAGACGTTCACATGTGAGTCACAGGACGGTCCAGCTGTCTTATTCAATTTCACTCTGTTATGTCAAGCGTGAGGCATCTTTCCTACCTCTCGCGCACATGCTGATTGTTTGTATTCACAGAGACCCGCCGAATTGCAAATTGGCTTGGCAACAGAGGGGTCTCAGCACTCTTGGACTCGGACGTCAACCACCAACAATGACAACTGTCGTCGACGCTGTTCAGAGCTTCCCAGGTCTGCGTGGCCTGCTTGTGCCTTCTGCTGTCAGCAGTCCTGAGATGGACGATATCACTGAGGACTTCACTGCCGAACAGGAGACTATTCTCGTTGAACCAGGCGAGAGCAACATGAACGGCATATCCACTACCTCAGAGTCCCGTCACGCAGCTGGCGCCGGCTCGATTGATACAACACTGCAGTCCACCCTGATGGAGGCCTCCAAGGGTGTCACGGAGGGCACCAATGCCGAATATAAGAGGTGCGCAAGCTTCTTTCTGTTGATGGGCAAGGTGGCACTCATCCTCAACAGGCTTATGAACTCGTGTGTGTCCTTTCTCAGAGGCCTCCATCTCTTGGGGCCGAGTGAGGATTTTTTCAGCAAAAAGCCACGGCGTGATATGCCGTGGTTGATTGTGGCATGGATAATGAACATGTGAGTGGCAGGTTCTGCCTGGTACCACCAATTACTGATGACAGCCAACGTGTCGCTGTGGCAGGTGCGACTCAATCAACCTCGATGGCACACCCAAGCCATCTCATGTCGAGCGGGGCACCTATGGCCATGCACAGAAGATGCGGGCGTCCATGACGTACGCGTTTGGGAGGCTCAATGGTCTGGGCAATCTGACATGGCACGAGTCGGATATTGGGGGTGGGCTGATGGTCGGAAACCCTTCCATTTCCATTGAGGTATCATCCTATATGTGCTCGCTCCGCAGGCGCAAGGTAAGGTTTCTTCTCTCTCCGACCCCATGATTATCCTCATCTTCTTCATAGGTGCAAGCGGGCGAGGCTGCAAACAGTGCGCGGGCCATCACCTCAGTGAGTTTTTGGATGCTCCCAGCTCTGAAAAGGACTGATTGGGGACATTGGCAGGAGATATTGCTAAAGCTGTATCATTACAACCACCGCCCTGAAAATTGGACCATCCGTGCCTACCAACCTGGTGAGCGTGTGCGCGGCAGTTCTGGGAATGACCCGAGTCGATGGGGTGGTGGACGTGTACGGCGGCTTCTGTCAGCTGCCTACACTGTAGCATTCATATGCATGCTTCGTTTCGACGAGGTTCTGAAGATCCAGGTGCACGATCTTCGTGTGCATGACACCCAGGTAGCGCTACACCTTCCCTTTCGCAAAACTCATCAAAACGGCGGTACGTACGTGACTCCACCCTCCGCTGCGAACTAATCAGACATTGACCCATGCATGTGCCCACTTGCCTAGACATCAAGCCATTTCACCTCTGGCCCTTTTCGTCGTCCGAGGCACACCTCTGCCCAGTGAGAGCACTCGCTGCCTGGTTGAAGGAATCAAAAATCACGACGGGCTACCTCTTTCGAAAGATTGCTTCGGGCGACCGAATTACAGAGGCCAACAGTCCCATGGTACGTCAATTTTCAGACAGCCTAACTAGGACTCATGCTTGACTCGTCAGTCCTCCGAGCAATTTCTGGAGCTTTTTCGGAACAATCTACTTGATGTCGACATTGACCCTACTCCGTACGGCACACATTCATTCCGGAGGGGGGGGTGCCAGTTTTTGCATGTCGAGAAGCGCTGGTCTCTGCGGAGAATCTGTGAGTGGGGAGGGTGGAGCGTGGAATTTACGAACATGACAATCGTGAAGTATCTCATTTCTTCGAATGATGATCCTACTGAGCCAAGGGAGCAATTTCTGAACCCCAATAGACAGCTGATGGTGAAGTGCTCCCAGTGTGGGCGATGCTGTTCTTGTGGCTGAGTTTGAGCTCCGTCTGTACTACATTACTTTTTCTTTCTTTCTTTTTGCCTTGCTTTTTGCCAATGAAAACCTCGTTGAATGTTTCTAGTCCAGGCTGCTGAGGCCCGGTGCTTCTACAGCTTCCAAATCACGATGGAGAATATTCACTCCAAGACCTACTCACTCCATCCTCATTGTCTTTGCTCCGCGTGGGTCTTACATTCTCATCAGCCGCAAAGAGGGTATGTACACCGATTTTGCATCAGCATGTTCCAATTGCACGAAATTAACCAGATGCAGCGCGAGATGTGTCAGTATCTAGAGCGAGGACATGGTCAAGAAGGATTTCGTAGGTCAAGGACCTTACCCAACTTACATTCTTCCCTCATCAGTTCCAATTGCGCGAAATTAACCAGATGGAGCACGAGATGTGTCAGTATCTGGGAGCGAGGACATGGTCAAGAAGGATTTCGTAGGTCAAGGACCCAAGTTATTCAACATCGACGTCTCCAGCATCAACGGCATCTCCTCCAACGCTCCCAGGTATGGAGGATTGTATGGCTCGCATCGTTTCAGCTTCGTCTTCACCAGGTATCCCAAAACACGAGCCAGTACCAGTACCACCACCATCAAAGCACAAGATGTTCGCGTTCGCTTCACCAGCTGTCTGGTGAAGGCGGCTCATTGAGTGCATTGTGGTTTTTGTTGCATTTTTCTTCCTGCCACTTATACACTCACTTTTGCTCGTCTTGATGACACCACTAACATATACACTTTCATCACTGTCGGTTACCATCGGTCGCGGTGTGCTATTTACCAGGACTTGGAGCGCAGCGGGTTAACATAGATACTACTAGTACTTGTCTCGAAGATTTTGAACATTTACTCCTCCTCCTCTTTGACATCCTCCTCCTCTTTGATGTCCTCCTCCTTTCTTTTCAGTATCGCAACCACAGCCTGTTCCTCTGCAGCATCCCGCATCTCCTCGATGACTTCCATTGCCTCCGCATAGTCATTCAGTTGCATGTAAATGTTCCGGACAGTATTTTCATGAAATCCATGTTGTTTTGCAAGGGTCTTGACGGATAGCGCGAAGCCAAGCTGGGCAAAGTGTCTGACATCGCTGTCATGTATCTCAGCATCCATCATAAGTTCAGGCTCCGGACTCGCATCACCCTGGCCCATCACTTTAGTGTAATTGTTGTTGACTGGTGCTGACATGGTGGACGCTATGCCGATCCATCAGTATGGTGGTACCCTCATGAAATGAGGCCTACCTTGTGAACGAGTCTGGTGTTCAATGTAGTTATGGTTGATGTGGGAGGTGGCAAGATACACTGAAAGCCCCTTATGTGAATTGTGGCCCCTTTTTTCCTCAATGTTTTCAAACAAATACACACGCAAACAAGGCTTAAGCATGAGCCCTCCGGGCCTCCAAGTCAACAGAAGGTGTAGCATCAGGTGTCATTCACAGGAGAGCTATGGTATTACTGCTAGTTACTGTCCATTGTCAGTCGTCCACCACAAGTCCAGTCGTCAACTCAATGTATTTCCTCGCGATGGCAGACGGCTTCGTCATCACATGCCCCTCTCCTCCTCGCCGGTAAGTGAAAAGGTCGTCGAACTTGGCATGGAATTCTCGGTGAGCACGCTCCACCAATGCGGTATGTTCTGCCTTGCGCTCATCACGGAGTTTCTGGACAATGGCAGTGAATTTCATCCGCTCACCACTGTCAGTCTTGAAGTCAGCCCAGAAGTGATCTGGGGTGCCCTGCCGGTAGCGTTCGACGACATCCTGCACAACCAGGAGGAGGATCAGATATGTAAGGGAAGCTGTGATAGCGGAGGCACTTACCCGCCAGTCAGTCCACTTGCTTTTCGTGCCCTTCCATTGCTGATTGTGGCCATAGCGGTAGAGCAATGGCCAGTACTTGACAGCGATGGGTGGCCTTGGATGGTGATGATGGACTCGTTCAACCAGTGCGCCGTATTGTCATCCCACATTGCATTGAGACGCAGGATATCATTGGCGAAGCTGACAGCGGGGGGATCTGGGATGTCGTCATCCACCAGTTGGAGAATGGTGCCATCCCCGAGGTTGAGAACACGCAGCTTGTTCGAGCTGCCCGATTCCACCATCGAAGGAGGTTGTTGGCAGGCAGTTGTAGCTGCGCTGATTGCACCCTGTTTGAAACATGCTGCCGAGTCAGTTTAAACAGATTGATTGTGGGGGGAATCACTACTTACCGTGTCTGCTATGTCAGCTGCCTGGGGCCTAACAGACGGCATCAAGCCAGCCGCGCTTGGCTGGAGGGCACCTTGAACGATTTCGATGAGCCTCGTGCCCACGTCCTGGACGATGGCATCCGAAGTAGCGGAAGGGTGCAGTACGCTGGGTGTGCTGTGGCTGGGTGGGTCTGGAGAACTTGCTGGCATCGGCATACCATCCGTCGGCTCATATGGGTACGCGCTGGTGATGGCATCAGCCTGCCCACCAGCATATCAGTTCAGCGGTGTCATATCATCTCTCACGAAGGCACTCACCCAAGGTAGCAGCGCCCTGATTTCTGGTGCCGTTCGCGTGTCCTTGGACCGATTGACGCTGGTGCCCGAAGTGCTTGGTGCAACTGTCACACCAAGCAACTGCTCGCGACGCTGCGCGGATTGCTTGGGGCGGCTGGCCTTGGGCTTGCTCATCGAGCACATGCGTGGGCCTTTGTGAGGTTTGTGAGCCCCCGGCCGGAGCCTTTGAAAGGGAAATAGCAGGTGAGCGTGGCTAGGGTTATGTTTGGGAAGATTCACATACCTATCCCACAAATCTCGGTCTCCACTGAAAACTTCCAGCCGCTCGCGAAGGACGGACTTGGTGCCAGTGGAAGGGAGCCCAAGCTCGTGGCACAGTTACTTCAGTGCTTTGACAGTCATGTTGGAGCTTACCATGGGCGGCATTCATCCGAGTCAGCCATGAGGGAAGAAGGCGAAAGAGACGAGCGACTCACATGGAGATGTACTGGACCTCGGGCTCTCCGTCTGGTCGAAATCGGAGTGGGAAAGGGAGGGCCTGGTCTGCATTAGGTGAGTCCTGGACTCCTCGGCCTCCGCTGTGCGTGTCAGCAGACTCGACGTGCTCGACTTCGCCAGCATCGGCGCTCCAGAACGAGTCACAGTCAGCAACAGAGCCATCCGTGGCAGCAGTAACGAGGTGAGTGGAGAGAGTGGCAGTGGCAGCATGACCGAGCGAGGTCATCCTGACGATGTTGGCGCAGTCGTTTGACCTGCACCGTCGGCGGCGGGGGACCGGAAGACAGCCACAAAAAGAATCGATGGGGATGGTCGGCCTCCACCAGTGATAGGTGACCAGGAGGAAGAGGAATGAGAGGAATATGGCGGCAAGGGCTAGGGCTCCGCCCACGTGCAGGCTGCCTCCTGGGTTGGCAGAGGGGCTCGTAGACGAGGACGAGGACGACTCGTTCGGCAAGGCAGACAAGAGTCCACGCGCGACAGCGAGAGGGATTGGAGGGATTGAGATCTGCGGGGGGAAAAGAAGCACAGGTGCGGATCAGCTTGATTGCGCAGGACGGGGATCAGGGGACGGGACGAGAAAATGGCGGTTCCGGGGGTCTGTGCCATTGCGATCGAAGCAAGAAAGCAAGAAAGACGTTCCAATGCTCACGTCATCGACGAAAACGGCATTCGCCGAAGCGTCACGCCCGCATGCGGACGGTGTTGTTTTCGAGGGAAGTCTTGCTGCACCTTTTGTCTTGTCGTTCGCTTCTTTGTCGTTGTTGTTCTCTCTTTCGTTTGGGTTTTGTTCGTCAGGTATTTGTTTTTTCAATTGCAAATTCCCGCAGCCTAGGATCGTCCCTAATTTGATTCTTGGCCAGGCGCCGAATTTTGTTGGCCATATGTCTTTGGTGAGTTTCCATATTGTGTTCTGGGAGTTGTTCGGGCATTCTAACAGTATATGTTCTATAGATTCAATTTCTGCATGGCATGTTGCGCATTTGGCGCGGTGTTCATAATTAGGGATGTTCAACCAGTATTCTCCTACACGGTAAGCTCCATGTATTGTTTTGAATAAGAATTGACGTATTGTTTTTTGTATGTCTTTATTTCGGCATCCAGTCCATATGGCGCTGTCGTTTTCGAGGTTGCCTGTGATTTCTTGGATCGCATATCTTGCGATGTCGAGGTTACCTGTTGTCGCTCTTCTTGGTGGGTTTTTAGTTTTGTTTTGTTTCTTTATTCCTTTATATGCGAGTGATTGTGATACTGATGATAGTTTTGCTCCTTGTAGGTTCCATTCATTGGGAATCGAGAGGTCTATTTGGTCTTCGATGGGTTTGTTTACTCCTTCTAGGGCTAGGCGGTCTGCCTGTTCGTTACCTTGGTCTCCATTGTGTCCTTTCGTCCATATGAACGATGTTTGTGCTGATCTTTTCCGTAGATGGTACAGTGTGGCTTTTAGGTATTCGCTGTTCGCAATGTTTATCCAACCTTTATCTTCCCATTGACTAAAGTGTTTGGTGAGTCCGTCAATTGCGTATCTTGAGTCTGATATGAATGTTATAGGGATATAGGGTTCTGTTTGTTGTAGGGCGACTAGGATCGCTGTTACTTCGGCGATCTGATTTGATTGCTGGTGTCCAGGTATTCTTATTGTCTTGTTTCGCTCGTTTCCTGCTGATATCCATATTCCGCTGCCCGCTTTTGCGTTGTGTTTTCCATTATTTAGACATGAGCCATCTGTGTAGATGGATATACGTTCTTCTATGATGTTTAGTCCTCTCATTGGGGCTTGCAGGCAGTGAGCTGGTCTATCTGATTGTTTTGATGGGTCGGTAAAGATTCTAAAGCAGTCTCCGAGTGTTGTTCGTATCGTTGTTGTGGGGTCAAAGATGATTTCTCCCTGTCTTCGCTCGTGTGCTTGTTGGTTCTTCTCTTTTCTGCTGTGAGTGAGTGATAAGCTGTCTTTTTTTGGTTTGGATTTTGTATTGAATTTTGGGGCGATTTTGTTTAGTATTTCTTTCGCTATGGTGGCGCATTTATGTGGGTTTTCGCATCCTTGGTCTCTATCTTTCTTACAGTATTTGCATGCGCAGTTCTTTCGAGGGTGGTGTTTTTTGTTGCTATCGGTTGTCTCGTTGTTGGTGAGTGAGATTCTTTTGCTTATTTTAATCAAGTGTTTAATTTTCTGGGCCTTATGATTGTTTTGTAGGCATTCGTTTTTTTGCTTATGATATGTTTTGGGTGGGGCGCCTAGGTGGTACCACGCAGGTAATTGTTTTTTAAGTTGTTTTGAGAGTTTGATTGGTGCGAAGCTAACGTTATATTTTTTCGCTATTTTTAGCATGTTGATTATTTCTTTTGGTATGCTATTCGCTCTTGTCCCTTTTGTTGGTGGGTTCCAGGATTGTAGGAAGGTGTTAAGGTCTGTCGTGTTATTGATTCCTGTTGGTTTAAGGTTATTGATGATTATGTCCGTTAGGAAGGCCCACGCTGGTCTTTTTGTTGATAGGTCGAGGTAGGATCATAGCCATGTCACTTCGATTGCTTCGTTTCGTGCTTTAAGGTCTATCAGATTAATTCCTCCTTCCTCTCTTGGTTTTTGTAGTTGCTCTAGGTTGATGGGTGAGGTTTTTTCGTTATTCCAGATAAATTTCCTCATTATTCTTGTTAGTGCGGCTTCGATGTTCTTGGGCATGCCCTGTGCTTTAGCCAGGAATTGTGTCATGCCTCCTATCACCATTTGGGCGATTAGACGTTTACCGTCTAGGGATGGGTGGCCTTTGTTCCAGCGGTTTAACGTTTTGCTGATGTTGTCTAGGATTGGTTCCCATGGCGTGGCGTCATTTGTTTCGTTGCCTATCCAGGCGCCTAAAGATCTTATTGGGTGGCCGTCTGGGGCTACTCTGATGGAGTTTTCGAGGGGGGTGTCGTCTGGGTTGAGTTTTCTTGTTGTGATCACTCGTTCCCGGTGAGTTTTTGATCCTATCGGTATTATTTCTGTTTTGTCCATATTGAATTTTGCTCCCGAGGCTAGGCACCACTCATTCAGTATATTTTCTAGGTCGGAGTATTTGTCGTTTTTATTCAGGTATATTGTTGTATCATCGGCGTATAGGTTTATTTTAACTCGGTGAGTTATTCCTGGGATGTCGTAGCCTTTTATTAAGTTGGAGTTTCTTAGGGTGCACGCCAGTGGTTCTATGGCCAGGTCAAAAAGTAAACACGACAGTGGGTCTCCCTGTCTTACTCCTCTTGTTACCTTGAATGGTTCGCTCAACATTCCATTTATAGCTACTCTTGTGTGGGTGTTTGAGTATAGGGCTTTGACTGTGTTTATGAACATATTCGGGAGGTTAAAGGTTTGTAGTGTTTCTATCAGATAGTCATGGCTGATTCGGTCATATGCTTTCTCTTGGTCAAGCGCAATGAGGGCGCCATCCTCTTCTGAGATGTCAGCGTATTCAATCATCATTTTTGTGAGACGGATGGGGTCAAATATTGATCTATTAGGTATGAATCCGCTTTGGTCTGGGTGTATTAGTCTCGGGGCTGCTCTGGCTAATTGTATTGCTAACGCTTTTGTTAAGAGTTTGTAGTCCGTGTTTAGTAGCGTTATGGGTCTATAGTTGGCGATTTCGGTACGTTCTTTTTTTTTGTATATAGGGCACATCCATCCTAACGTGAATTCAGTTTTGTCTTTTACTCCGTTCTTTTGTATATCGTTTATGACTAAGGTAAGCGTTTTAATTACATTAAAGCTTGGTTCGTTGTTCTCTGAGTCGGCTAAGTGTTTTTCATGTAGTCGTTTCCATACCTCGTATGGTATTCCATCGATTCCTGCGGCGCTACCGGACTTTGAGGAGTATAACGCTTTGTGGATATGGTGTTCTTCTAGGAGCTGGCTTAGGGGGGAGTTATTGTTGTTGAACTTTTGTTCATTTGGTATTTCGTCCATTGTTTTTTGTTTTGCTTCGTTTTTCCTCATTTGTATTGCAGGGTGTATGTTCTCTTGTTGGAGGGACTCGTGGTATTGTTTTGCGATTTCTGCCATTTTGCCGGAGTGTGAGGTGAGTCGGTTTGAGTTTGGTATTTTGAGTTGATAGATTATGTCTCGTGGTTTTTTTGGTGTGTTTATCTTACACCAGTACTTGCTAATGGTTTCCCCGGTAGCATTCCATTTTGCTTTTGATCGAAGCTGAAGGTTTTTGAATCGTTTTTTCTCCAAGTGGTTAATTTCACATTCGAGCCACACTTTTTGGCTTCTTGTGTTGCTGTTAGTGTCTATGTCGTCATCTCGTAGGGTGAGTTTGATGTCGTTTTCTAGTTGTTTTATTCTAGTGTTGATTTTATGTATATGTTCTTTAGACGTTTTCTTTGCCTCTTGGCGTATTTTGATCTTGAAGTCCTCCCATTCTGACTGTGTGTTAAGTCCGCCTGATTGTTGGTTTGTTTCTATTTTTCGTTGTGTCATTTGTCCTATTTTACTCATTTTGTTTAATAGTTTCTCGTCGTTTACAAGGCCAAGTGGCCATGACCATCGTCCCTTGCCTATGTGTGGCATATTCGGGGGTGCGTATCTCACTAGGATCATATGGTGGTCCGTCGGAATGGCTGACGTGCATGCTGACCAGTCATACAGGCTATTATCATGCGAGGGGGAGGAGTAGATTCTGTCTAGTCTGGAGTAAGAGTTTGCGTTGCTGTAGAAGGTGAATAGACGAGATGTGGGGTGTGTTTTTCTCCAGGAGTCGTGTACATTTAACGTTTCTCTTAGGTCCCTAAGAGCGTCGGTTGCTGCTTCGTTGTCTGTTCGTGCGGGGGCTCTGTCTAGCGGGTCTTCTGTTAGATTGAAGTCTCCTAGTAGTAAGTCAATCTGTTGGTTATTTCTGTTCATTTCCGAGTCTTTAATGGTTGTCCAAAAGTTCTGGTGTTCCGCTGGGTTGTTTGGGGCGTATATGTTGAGGATAGTGAGTTCCTCGTTGTTGTGCCATCGAGTTTTTAGGATTAGCGCTCTTCCCAGTATGATCTCTTTGAACTCGATGTTTTCGGTGTTCGTTAATTCTTTATTTAGTACAAAGGCTACTCCAGCTGATGATCCTGGGCGTTCTCTGTCTTTGGAGTTGATTACTCTTAGTCTGCGGGAGTATAGAGTGTTTATTTGGTCTTCGTGTTCTTCTGTTAGGTGCGTCTCCTGTAGGCACAGGATTCCTATTTTTTTTCTCTCATAACTTGGTGTATAACTGACCATTTTGATATCGCGCTGTGGTCTAGTTGCGAGGATGTTCTTCCTTTCATGTTCAGGGATGCGATATGGAGGTTGGCTCTCATTTTGTTTCGCTTTTTTGGTTGATTTCTAATGTCATTATTAGGTAGCGCATGGTTGTGCGGCGCCTGATGGGGCGTGGGGTTGTTTCCACCTCCAAACTCTCGAGTAGCGTCCTCGAGGGGGGGCCTGGTGGTCTGAAGCCCGCCCTCTCTGCTTCTCGGGAGGAGTGAGCCAAGACCAGGAGTACTACCGTAATGGGGGGTGTTTGTAGGAGTTAGTGGGTGGGTGGTCGGGTTGTCAGCGTCTTCCGAAACGACCATCGGGAAGCGTGGGTTGTCATATCCCGGACAACCACGGTGGGTACATGCTCGTGCTTTCGGAGGTAGGTGTCCAGTCACCAATCTCTTTCGGCGGTGGCTTCAGCTTCTCAGCGCAGCTAACCCTTGACCTAAATAGGTCTCCGCTGTTGGCAATTGCCGTCGAGGCTACCATAGCTTTCCTGTCCTGCTGGGCAGTCAGTAAATTTGGGCTATGGGTTAAGGTGGTCCAGAATGCGCCTCGGCAGACTGTTGGGATCGCATCAATAGCCTGTGGTCAGGAGGTAGGCTATTTTTGATCCGTTTTTCGTTTGTGTTGGATTATGGGTCAGAGTGGGGATGATATTCAGAGTGCGTAGTTACATGGTTAGCGGGTCTACAAGCTAAGTGGGTAGGAAGATATGTATGGTGGAGGTGGGGATGTATATATGACAGAGAATATATGTTCGAGTTATTCTGAAGGGTCATTCCTTAAGAGAAAGTCTTCCTTCCTCGTCCTCTACCCCTCTGGTTGGTTATGGACTTGGGGTTGTAGTGTTTCGGTCCATTCCAGAGCGGTATTTCTGGGAAAGGACATAGACCGCGCGGATGTGCGATTGAGTGACATAAGGAGCAGGCGGAGAAGCCTACTGCTGTGCCAGTGCCTTCGAGTTCGGACGGGTATACGAGGGAGTGCAAGTAGAGGCGGAGTTTGGTCCATACCGCGGGGTTACTGGTTGGGCTGGCGGCGAAAACGTTGTAGCGGGGGAGGGGTATTCCTCCGCTTACTTTGTAGTCAAGGTGTTCTACCCAAAGCGTTTTGATAAGTTCCCAGGTAGCGGAATCTTTCTCTTCATATGGGATATCGCTCTCGGCGAGGATTTCTCCTATGTCCCAGCGTGTACCTCCTTCAGACCAGGTCTCATAGACTGCGTCTTTAACGGTTTTGGTGTCCGTGGTTGAGAAGCCGTGAAGGCAGAAAAGGAGGAGGGGGGGCGTGTTAACGCTGAACTGGTGGGCCGCAAAGGTAATGTCTGGTGAAGACCATATGCGCTGTGAAAGAATGAAATTCTTCGTCTCTTCTGAGAAATTGTACGCTAGGAAACTGATGGGGTGCTCGTCATCGTCTTTGATGGTAGCGTCTGGGCACGGGGGGGAGACTTTCACTTCTTGGTTATCATCGTGGACGAAGTTGGCGATGTCCATGATAGCCTTGCGGAGATGTTCCACAAAGATCGGGCCCTTGGCCGATGGGTTCTTCCCGTCGTGGTCGAAAACTCGTATGAGGAGTTTTGGGTGTGGGACTTTCAGCCACGCCGTAATGACTTTGGGGGCTTGGAAGTCAAAGAGCTGAGCCGCGTGGGATAGGTGGATTTGTGGGAAACCTCCTAGTGGGACGGGGGTGAAGTGCGGGATTGCTGTGAGTGAGTTCGAGCCGTTTAGTTTGACAATGGATCTGTTGGTCTCTGCTACGGCAAGGTGTGCTCTAAGGAGGTCTTCTTCAGAATGAGTGACGGGTTTGGAGGGAGTGGTGGTGGTGGTGGAGAGGGGGGTAAAGGGGTTTGGTATTGTATTTTCCTCGGACATCGCGGTGTCTTCCTCATCTCTGGGGGCATGGATGGATTTGGATAGGTCCTCTGGGGTGTTTTTGGCTACAGGTGTGGTCACTTCTGCTGCAACCGGGGGGGGAGCAGAGGTGGGATTCGCATGGCTTCCAGGGGTATTGGTGTCATTGGGCGTGGGTTGTGAGTTGGGCCTTGGGTTAGGGGTGGGGGTTGGTGGTAAGGACTGTGTTTCCATGAAGTCCCCTTCGTCGGTCAAGGCGTTCGGGGGGAAGTATTGTGAACCAGAGCGGTATGGTCTGGGCAGCGGTTGGCGGATTCCCATCGGGGATGGGCGTGCACTAACGTTGGCAGCTTTGACAGAGGATTGGTCTTTCATTTCCGCTTATGAGGAGGTTGGGGTATTGTCGTTCGAGGTGGTGTGTATTTATATGGTTGCTGGTGGTGTTTTCGTGTATATTTTCCAGTGTGGTTCGATTCTGGCGGGTTGCGTGTAGATAGCGAGGTGCTGTCTTTTGTACGTGTGTGGGCCATGTGTTTAGGGGGTGTTGTGGGTTCTGTGGGAGCATATTCATTTCGTAGTCAGTTAGGAGGGTGTATTGTGGGCTATAATGGTTAGAGTGGGTTAGATTTACATCGGTCAGTGTTCTTTTTGGTTCGTGTTCAGGCTCTAGGTGGGGAGTTTGACGTGTATATTGGTTCTTGGCAGTGGGGTGTGGCTCTTATCAATCCTTAGCGATGTTTTATTGGGTCATGTTCTCGTTTGTCTTATATAGAGTAGCGTTTATGGTGTTTGTTGTCGGGTCAGGCGTTCAGCGCGGTGTGTTCGTTTTTAATTTTGCGTTTGGGTTGACTTGGTTTGGGATGTTATTCAGTCGTTTTCTTTTGTGTGTTCGTAGGGGAGGCTATAGATTGTGGTGGGGAGGCCAGTCTAGTGGACTGTTGAGCATTGTGAGCTCAACCACATCGGGGTGAACGATATTTAAAAGAGGTTTATATGTTGTACAAAATGTGAAGACAATATTTAATATTTAAACTAACATAAAGATGGGTGCACGACTTCAAATTTTGGTGGTGTTTTGTGTGTAATCCAAAATATCAAATATTCACAACCATATTCCCACAGACAATATGTCAACAAACATAAGAAATATAGTCAGATTTTTCATGTCTGCTTCAACTTAAAGTTCAATTTCCATGTAAAACTTTGGAGAAAACTTGAAGTTTTACAGATGACATGACATTAAAACTCGATTTAAATGTCAAGCTTTGGCAAAACTTCAAGTTTTCTCCAAAGTTTTATGTAAGAATCAAACTTTAAATTGAAGCAGACATGGAAAATCTGATTATATTTATTATATTTGTTGACATATTGTCTGTGGGAATATGGTTGTGAATATTTGATATTTTGGATGACACACAAAACACCACCAAAATTTGAAGTCGTGCACCCATCTTTATGTTAGTTTAAATATCAAATATTGTTTTCACATTTTGTACAACATATAAACCTCTTTCAAATATCGTTCACCCTGATGTGAACCTTGCCCGCTTGAGAGCGTGGGAAAAACCGACCATTGTGGTGGTACGAGTTCAAGGGCCCCCTCCCGGTAACTTTATTGTCACTGACAAGTCGCAAGTCCTATGGGGATAAATCGACTGGTAAGCCATCTCGTTAATCGGCTCGTCCTGACATAGTAATTATCACCTCAGTCTCTTCCCTTAAGTTCTTCACGAGTGCTTTCTGTGCTGCGCACAGTGCACAGTCTCCATGGCTCACAAAGAAAAACTCATATCCGACATTACAATCGGACGAACGCAGAAGGCATTGGATGATGCCACCTCGAGTTTAAACTCGACCTTCGCTAGAAAGCTCGACAAGTGGGATCAGGCAGGTTCGTCATTCACAATCCATCCCAGTAAGCAAGGGTGTTATTCAGATTACTATGCTATTCTTCAGAGGACTGCGTCGTCCAGACCGCTCAAGAGGTTGGATCGGTGTACGATTTCTATACTCAGAATGCAACCATCAACTCTGCATCTGATGCGATGGTTGCGGACCTCTCAAAGAAGAATATGGGCGACTTTCTGGGAGAGGCGAAGAAGGTGATGGAGGCCCTGGATGTCCTGCAACAGGTTCACCCGTTTGTCGGCGGTGTGTTATCACTTGTCGATGTTTCTGCCTCAGCTAATATTTGGATGAATTTCAGTGGCTATACTCGCTTTCAAGGCTGTCGTGAATCTTGAGCTAACAAGAAGAGAAAACGATCGTAGAGTTGGACTGATGTTAGCTCAAGCATCTGACATGATGACCATGCTCCTCCAGTTCGTGATCCGACACTAGCTTTGAACAATTTTTACTGACTCGATTCTATGATAGACTCAAGGACACCAAAGATCTTGCCATCGTGGGACCTCATGGCAACATTCGGGGGCGATTGGATCGTGTCCTGGATGGCATCAAGCAAGACATCGAAGATTGCGGAAATGCCATTGACAAATACTACAAGTCAAAATTCATGGGTTAGTTTTCCTCATATTCTTGGGTGTTTCATAGAGAACCACATTTCTAGTGAAATTATTCAGATCCTCCCATTGGGCGAGCGAATTCATGAGAGTTTGTACCAGCTTTTCCCAGCGCACGCAGGACCTCCAGCTCGCCTTAAATATCAGAACAACGTTGAGGGTTGATATTGCCATTGATAAGCTAGACAAGCTAATTCGGACACAAACCGACCGCGAAGCAAGATTCGAGAAAGAAGTGCAAATGCGCGGTGGAAGAGAGAAATGTTTGGAAAGCGAAGACAAACTGGTGGAGCTACTGAAAATCGCCGAGCAACGGGAAGGGCGTCCACAGAATAAAGTGTATGCTGATGCTCCTACCAAAGATGTCAACAAGCCTACTTCAAAGACCGCTTCTGCGAACGGATCGGTCGGCAAGCAGTCCCACCTTGATGCATCACTGCTTCATGAACTGCATACTCCATTGCGCAACTTACTCGATGAGAATCGCGCGCTCTTCATGTTCAAGCTTGATGCACAGACATCCGATATCAAAGATGCCATCAAGGATTCCGAAACGCGCATTATGTGGGCCTTTAACAGCAGATTTCGACGGGTCAAGGATCCAGTAAGGATTGCAAAACTCAACCTTATGCATCATTAATTCGTTCAATTTCATCAGCACCTCCGATATATCTGGAAAGAGATGGTATGTCTTTGTGCAGGCATGATCGAAGCGAATACTTATCATCACCAAGAAATGGACAACAAGCGTCAAGACATTGTACTTCATTGCGGAACTCCATGATTATTACGTGAACCGTTTCTCCCGCCTCCGTAACGATGCTCCACTCCCAGAAGCACCATCGGATGTTTCGCCATTGGTACTGCGAGTCCCGTCTCCAACTCCCACTGTCTCCGTCATGTCCGATTCAGAAGGAGAAGACCACGAGCTTCCAGCAGCCGATCGTTCGTACCAAAAACTTCCTAATGTCGACCTTGCAGACAAATGGTGCTTGAAATATTTGTCCGTCTTCTATGTTCCAAGTTTATCCGAAGGCTTCGACGGCGATGCGAATGGCTTGGTCAGTATAAGGGAGGTGAATGCTTTTACATCTGCAATGCCTTCGGGCTGGACTCTGCCGCAAGCACTTGCATACTGGGCTGCAGGTAAGAACTTTCATCGTCATGTTAAACCAGTGTTTACGCCAGTGAAGGGTGGAGGGTGGATAGCCAATACTATCATGCACGAATTGAACAGGTCTTGAACAGCATGATTTATGCACAAGAAGATGTACTTCCACAAAACAGGAGGTGTGTCGCCAGATACTTGAACTCATATATCATCGATGGTGCGTCATTCTGCCCATCTTTTGATGAGGACATTTACACAGCAGACAGTTATCAAAAGGCTCGTCCGTTCTCTTGCAGAGCTTAGATTAGAGGATTCGGACTTGGATCTCGCGCAATTGACTGCTCGGCGTCGCGAGGCTCAAGAGGCGACATTGGCGGACAAGCTCAACATCGTCAAGTATGAAATCGACTCCAAAGATTCCATCAAACTTTTTGGATCTGGTCGCATCGAAAATGTGGGTTATTGACTCAGTGATTGCGCGGAATGCTCACACGCGTCACTGAGCTTGTTCAGTTCTTGCTGCCTTTGCTTTACCTCGTAATTAGGAGGCATTTACAGATCATGAAACTTGCCAGCACAGTGATTCTGGTCGAGAGAGAGTTTGAATCTGCAACCCAAACGATACGAAATATTTTGGAAGGGGTGTCTCTGCGCGTGGACGAACTGGCAGGTGCGTTTCTGAGCTATGTCATGATAAGCTATCTCCTTACACCATCACAGAATCGTTTCGTCAGCAGGGTAATGATCCAAAAGCAAGATTCACATGGCATGCGCATGGCTTGGTATGTGGAGACAGCAACTTTGTATCAATTCGGTCTAATACCTCGTAACAGTACAACTTTTGGTACAGTCCAGAATTAGCCACAGATGACACTGAATACTGGGAAAACCATGACTTTGGGCTTGATGATAACGAGTTGGAGATCGAGATCGATTCAACAGCGTTGAAGCTCGGCCCTTTCAGTCTGGCAGAGGGCAGTGAAGGGATAGGAAGACCTGTCAAGCTCGTCGCATTTAGTCCTGTTCAGCAGCCTGAAGGCACCATGGATGAATACATCCGTTTGCGGTGCATGATTGACTTGTCTAACTTGCCCAATATGTGGAACTACCCTCACGACGTCCCGCCTTACCTATCGTTGACAGACAAAGAGAGGTTCGATATCTTGTCCCAGGAGCTACCACCCACAGACGTCGAGCGCTGGGATTCATCTGCTGAGCTTCAGATACGCAGACGGGTATTCGAGTGAGTCCATCTTCTGTCTATTTATTATTCTCCAAATATCTACCTTTCCGATTTTCAGGTGTCAGTGCGATGCATGCCATTACATTATCGGCGATGTCCTTCACCGTTGTATAGACTGCGAGTGCAGTGAGGGTCACAGAAACATTTCTTTCGTGCAACACGGCTAATGTTCTTACATAGATGACTATGATGTGTGTGCAGATTGCGAATCTCAGCCGGTCTCAGATCATAAATACCCATCCGACCACAAGTCAACACACAACATGCTCGTCTTCCGCATGTCAATACCTCATGGTCGCTACAGCAGAATCCGGTGGTATGCCAGGAATTTCTTATCCACTTGCATGCCCGCTGCAGTACCGCTAGAAGCACCATTGACTGCACGGAAAGACGAAACCCAAACGCAATCAGGTGGACCTGAACTTCCGCATCCTACAGAAGCCACTCGAGCAGATGATTCTTCTGCCTCTGTCGATTTGCGGGACGGTGATGAGAAGCTAAATGGGAACATGGGAGTAACATTCGGGAGGATACCTGGAACTGCAGTCGCGAATGGGGATGCCTATGCTTGTGCTGAATGTGGCATCAAAATGAAGGGCATTTTTTATGTATGCCTTACCTGCGGAGGTCAGATTTCTATGCGTCTGGCGGGGCACAAATCTCAACAATTATCACAGAAAACGGTTCCCCCATTGCCCTATGCAGTGATTGTGCATTTCACGATGTGTTTAACGTAGTGACAGAGCACCACCCTTACAAACACTGGCTGATCAAGATTAAAGACCGGGTTCAAGATATAGGAATCGGAACATCAGACGAACCTCTGGATAATGTGGACAAGATTACTTCACTTTCCTTACGAGTCGATAAGCTGGCTGCAACGATGGATACACTTGTCACACAGGTTGCATACCTTGTGCATGGTATGGCTACATTGACGGGAAAAGCAGAGCTTCCCTCGGAATCCGTCACTGATTGATTGGCTCATAAATTGGCAGACGGTTGTATTTGATTCTTGCTGTCTCAGGGACCTTGTGCTAGTATAGATCGATCAGTGTTATACGTCCTTCGCACACGTGAAATAAACATGTTTCTTGGCCTTCATTGTGCGGAAGAGTATGAAATTGGGAAAGTGACATCGTCTAGGTGTTCTTGTGTAGGTGATTCATACAGCGGTGCCATTTAACGTCTGTCCTTTTTATATGAGAATATAGGAACAGATGTCCACTTGCTTTTACGAACAACAAGGCAGATGCTATACAAAGGCTGAACCACCATATATAGGTTCATGATGTCCATCATATCGGCATCATAAAAACAGAGGTATGCAACTAATGCATAGAGCAATGTACATCGTCTCTAAACTACTAGTATACAGCCACATAAGCATGAAAAGAGGGGACCCTGTATTGTCAGGTAAATATATGCACCGGATGCGGCAGTAAGTACTTAGTATGCTGACCTCAGTCTTGGTTCACAAGACTGAGGGGAAACAATATCGTACTTGGAAGTTTATTAGAACAGGTTGAGAGGTAGAATGACGTAGGCGGGGGTATCAAGAATGATTGTGGATATAAGATAGATATATAGTGAACCGGACTGCGGCAACATTATATAGGATGGATCGTGATGCTGACCACGTTGTATCATCTTTCAGCCCTCAAGAGTCACGAACCCTCTTCGTCCGGTTACTCCCCACGACTCACATTTTAACATCCTCGTCGCCATCGCTCTCATCGCCATTGCCATTGGCAGTGTTAGCAGGGTTAGAAGTGTTAGAAGTGTCGCTGGTGTGACTAGTGTCATCGCCAGGGACCCGGACGCCCAAGTACTCAGCGTCGCTACTGGCAGAATTGCTGGAGTGACTGGAGTGACTAGTGTCGTTAGAATTACTAGAAGTGCTGGAAGGAGTGTTGGAAGAAGGATTGGAAGGATTGCTGGTGTGGCTGTTGTCGAGGGCCCGAGTGCTCAAGTAGTCAACGTCGCTATTGGGAGGGCCGCTGGGCATGCTCAGTTGACTGACATCGTTGGAGGCCCGAGTGTCCAAGTAGTCAATGTTGCTATTTGGAGGGCCACTAGACACGCTAGGTCGACTAACATCGTTAGGGGACCTAGTGTCCAAATAACCAACAAGGTTAGAGCCAAGCCCCTCACGCTTAGCTAAAGCTGTATTGCATGTCAGCTCCACACCCATCAACAAGAGTGACGCATGTCCTCACAATAAAGTTTCATCCCCGATGGTGTGGGATATGCTGCCGCAATAGCGATAAAAGAAAGGAGTGTTTTGACGATGTGTGAGAGCTGCATGACTGTAATCGGGAGGAATGGTCATCAGATGTCAGAAACTCGCGAAGTTCTTATACCTTTGACCACATACGGACGTATCGTAAGGGGCCAAGTCAAGTATTGGGACGATAACGTGGTTCCGAATAGTCAGAGAAGTTCTTCTATGCTATCATTTCGGCTCGGTCTCCAATGGCTGGTATGAACTTCAAGTTCCTTCTTTTGCTGTAACAGTTGCTTCGACTAGGTCCTAACGGGACGATACAACATCCCAATCGGATATCATGACAGCGAACCAGTAGACTGCGGCATGAAGGTTTGTCATACCTTATCATGAATTTGTGAGGCGTTATAAAGTGAGGTCACAGATAGGCGTGGTACGTTCTGGAACTTCCAGATGCTCTTGTTGAAGATGGTACTCGATGAAACCCAATATCAGAATCTGTCATACGCTCTCGTAATGTTCGAACTGGAAGGTGAGCGGGACTTATTAGTAGCTTCGTTCACAGATAACGTTAGCGGTGCTTTATACGAGGCAAACATCGTCTCGGTGACCTTGTAGGCTTGTATTAGTATAGATCGATCAGTGCCGAATTGCTATAAATCTCTCACACATGTGGAATAAACACGTTTGTTGGTTTCCCCGGGCTTTCAAAGCTTCATTGTGCGGGATGAATGGGAAGCCGAGAAAGTGGCGATGTACCGATATCATTGAATAAAATGCTAATGCACACTGGCAACAGGCCATTCTTGAGTACACCCGGGCTCTATGCCTTCCGAATACAAACTTGAATGATACCCCTGATAGTGTAAAGTTGCAATATGGTAAGCGGGAGACACCTTGATCAATATGGCGCGCCATACCTGTGGCAGCTGCATACTGCAGGCTCGTATCACTCTGCTCCGTTGAACTCCAGTTACATCTCTGTATATAGCAAAATGAGCGTGTGCTGCATTTCAGTTGATGAAAGCCGCTGTGACAAAGAGAAACCAATCAGACCAGTTATCAGACATGACGGTCTACTCAAGCATTGCAGCTTCAGATTACAAACACCTGGCACCATTGAGAAGACTGATTGCGAGTACTTTTGCATACATGATGCATTGAGCAGGGGTTATCGTCAAGTCTACTTGCCTGCATTATGGTCTCGGATTTTTCCGGCGGTACAGTGATGCTGGCATCATTTTCAACGTCCGGTCGTTTTTTGTATACTTATTTTATTGCAGCTGCTTGGCTGACAGCGGAAACGATTTCATCGACAGTGAGGTGATCTAAGTAGCGCGTTTTCGAATTGCGAACACGACGTGCATTGAAGGTTTATTGATATTTATTATTGTTTATTACTGGCAGTTGATTTTGTCATGACCTCTAAACGTAGGCGCTCGACTAGCTGGCTCTAGGTGGACTCGATAGTGGATTCAGTTCTAGTATTTGCCCGCGAGCAGCTGTTAATCGAGGCCAAGCCTGCCTGTCCAATTCATGCCGGCCACAATAAAAGATGCATTTAAGATGCTACGCATCATGCGTAGACAACAGCCACCGGCCGGTCCAGTCCCTGAGTTCCAGCGGACAACAAAACTTCGTGCTTCTCTAGTGCCACAGGGTATGATCATTTATGTAATAATCTGAGGCGCTCGCGATTTAAACCATTTGCCACTCTTCCATCGATAACCACATCAGCGAAAATGGACTCGGACACCTCATCAGTTTCCTCGAACTCAGAGCCAGAGCATGAGCTCTCCGTCTTCGAGCGCATCGGGGAACATATCGATTCTTTTTCCAGCTGTGATGTAGCATATAAAGTACAAAGAGAGACCAAGCTCACGCGTGCGCTCGACAATCTCGCCTGCAGTCCGTTCGTATCCTTCAAGAGCCGGGTAGGGACAGCCACATTCAAGCTGCTCGTCAAGGGAGAAGACGTGGGAACATGGATGAACCCTGACGTCGGCGTATTACAAAAGCACGCCACCCCTTCGCCGTTCGGCAGGGGAGCAGAAACTGTCTTGGACCCAACTTACAGGAACGGAACAGAGCTCAAAGCGGACGAGCTCGCTTTCAGTTTGCAGGGGGATAAGAAATCACAATATAAACAGTTTGTGAGCAAAGTCGAGGATGAACTTCAGACCAGCATGTTCGTCGGGAAAAACGTTTCCCTCAAGTTATACAAGCTCGCCATATACGGCGAAGGAGGCCATTTCGACTGGCATCGTGACTCTACGCATAGCGATGCTCATCATGGAACAGTGCTCGTTGCACTCAACACGGAATGGGAGGGAGGAGAGCTTATGTTAAGGCATCAAGGCGTCGAGACAATTGTCAACATGCATCCAACAAAGCATCCGAGAAAGTCTGGCGAAGAGCTCCATCCAGTTGTGGTCGCATTCTACACAGACACAGAGCACAAAGTCATGCCCGTGACCAAGGGCACACGTCTGGTGCTCCAGTATGACGTCGAAGTCGTCGAGCAACCGCCTGAAGATGGGATTACACCACCTAGTTATACTCCCATGGAACGGGCCTTTCTTCGTCACCAGCACATTGAATCCCACATCAACACTTATCCCAACTTGGACCAAAAGTTGGTGCAGGCTGTCGTTGATGAAATCAGAGACTTGCACAAAGGAGGCACTACTGTCGTCGCTTTCCCGCTCACTCATCTCTACCGTAAGGCAAGCGTGAAGAAGAAATATCTCAAGGGAACCGACTCAGCACTTTCCGATGCTCTCGAGAATCATTTCAATGTTGTCCTCCATCCTGTTCTTATCCGCGCTATCGAAGATGGCAATGATTGCGACTGTCTGGAGGAGTTCTTTGCACACAAGTATCAATCGTCTGAGAATGAAGAGCCTTCTCGTGCTAAGAGGCAGTGGGGCAGAGTGTTTGAGAACGCTTCGTTTTATCTTCCACGGGTCTCTGCAATTCTGCAGCTTTCGTTGCCAAACGGGGCGCACCTCGGTAATGAGGCACAGATCGGTGGCGAGGCAAGGTATTACGGCGCTGGCATGTTCGTGGAACCAAAGATCGAAGAGTAATAGTGTTCAGGGGGTCCAGTTTCAGTGTAAAGAGAAATCCGTGTTCAAATCAGGACTGTTCGAAAAGGAGAAATGTATTAGTACTAGCAGTAGGAGAGATTCACAGTGGATTAAGACTCGATGATCATCAACGAAACAAGGCGGCAGACCACGAATCGTTTTCATGGTTTGACCTAGGACCTGTCATTTTGAAAGCAACTGTTCAGAATACCTAGCATACCTTGACATCAACATAGCATATTCATCTAGTAAGTGGTGAGCCCTGACAATTCGCTCTTGGATATCCGCGTTCTTGGGTGCGCGAGAATGCACGGGTCGACCTCGGTTTCGCAAAATATGTATTTTTGCAAGTACGTTCTTTGATACACGACATTACACTGATAAGAGTAGCCAATCGGTTCAACGTAATCAGAAGGGAGGACAACCCTCCTGAATGAAGTATGGTGCCTCATTCTTCCAGCGCAGTGTATCCAGGTGCTTGAGCTGATGGTTGTATCAATTAATGATCTAAGGGAAGTAAATTCGCGCAATTGAAGGCCTACCTTACTCATCCAACGACGGACACTTTCTGGCGTGATTGAGTGGTCCGGTGCCAACTACGAGATCCGCATTGGGGCATGCACAAAGTGGGGATAGTCGTTCCTGGAGGAAAATAGGCTGTCGGACTCATGCGAGGTTCTGTATTGCGAGGACTGGTTCAAAATGCAGGAATTCATGATATCTAGAGTTGTATAAGTAGTATCCGAGGTCATGCTAAGCTTAGGATCGTCGACGCTCGTTAGTACAGTCGGGGATCGTTGGTAGGGCATCACGTTCCATAATTCAAACTGAAGATTCGTGGACGTCAGGAGTGTGAGCACGAACGTCTTAATAAAGACTTGGTAATCTCGTGAGATGATAATCTAGCGGTGCATTTGTGAGTGTTCTCGTTAGGAAGTAGTAATATGACGGGACAGGACAGACCTTGAGCACATGAACAACCCTTCAGGGCTCTGTGAATGGTACAGCCCGCCATAGTCCACAGTCATGGTCGGGGTATTTACGGTTAGTCTGTTGATAGGGAAGCTGCACGGCCTGATGAGAATCATCTCGCAGCCGCCGAAGATGTTGTGACTGCGAATGTGGGTAATGGGTATACGGGAGTAGTTCCGGGTGAGTGACATAATGTCAGAGGGGGGAGGAAACACACCAGACTGAGTGTTGGTAGCGTAGAATGTGAAGGATGGACGAGATGAGGGAGGAACAACTGTATGTATATATAAAAGCTAGTCAGTATATAAGCATCATAGTTGAAATGGTAATGCGAAGGACGCAGTGTTAAACGTTGAGGCCTGAGGAGTGTTAGAACCGGCCTGGATGCCAATGCAAACGCTTAATATTAATAACTTCTACCTCTTTTCCTCAGTTAGAAAGTTAAAGTTCGCTGCTGTATTGGCTTCGGGCGCTAAACACTGCCGCACCGGGTGGGCGCCAGGGAACTCCGGGAAACGCAAGGCAGTCGAAGGAACCATTTGACGTGTTAACCTTGAGATCTTGAGACTTCGCATGATGTTGGACACGAATGCCAATTGTACTCGCCCGAGGCTGAACCCAGATTACATAATTCAATATCTGTATTTGTTAACTTTATGTCAGCCGTCTTCGTCTTTGAAAGTCATGCATCATATCACGGGAAACAAAATATAGTCCTTACCTTCTGCTACTCCATCACAATCGTCTCAGTTAAGCCAGTAAGTTGAGTAGTAATGCGGCTATAAGCAAGCACACATCAACATGTATTTGCGCTGATGTACCATTCGTTTTCCTTCCACTGAACTGATGGTCCATTATGTTCACTCCGCACCTCCAACCACTGCGCACAGATTTCGACCCATACCTACTATCCAGTTCTTATTCTTTTTGGAACCTCGCAGAGTCTGCGGCTGTCTATCGATACAGCGATGTACCTTGCAGAAGACTTATCACATGTAGCGAAGAAAGAACGACTATTTTCATCCCTTTACCTGTGGTCTTCCAGGGTAGACTTGGTAGAACTTAGGTGTGTTCCTATACTATTCCCTATCACCCAAATAATCACATGTAACGTCCTCACTCCGCGACGAAAGGAGAGCCGCACCTGATGCGACACTGTCAGTACCATGGAAAGACCAGTGGAAATGAGTAACACGGGTCGTGAAAAATTTGGCTAAATCACCGCAATCAGAAAAATACTCGCAAGTTCAATTGATCTAATCTTCATTTACTAACCTCCCATCGCAGTTTTCCTTTTATACTTACTTGCGCCATCCTGCCAGATGGCGCTTGGAGTAAGTATCCAAATCATATTAATACAACGGCACCACATCAACCGCTTATGTACAAAGGAAAGGATGCAAATGACGACATAGGGCCTATGACCCCGAAGGACTCACTCTGACGCAAAAGTTTAGGTGAGTCGTACGAAGTCCCAAGCACTAGCAGCCGATCAAATTTGCATACCAATAATCTTCTGTAACTATTCTGACTCATCTAGGGGAGATTCCTTTGCAGGGTATGCTGATGATGGGATCAGTCTGACTCCCTCGTGATCGTACACATGTAGTACTGTGTGTCAGACGTCTTACGTTCAGTCGCTCCTTGATGATGCAGAATAAGGCTTATCTGTGATGGAGCACGCGATTTGGCGCTTACAAGTGTCAAATTCTATGGATATAAACCTACTCGTAAGCTCGTTGTTTGATCGTTCGCTTTTGATTCACTTACCCTCTTTTGTTGCTCAACAACCTCTTTCTTCTACAGGACCTCCGAGATTCATCAAGAGCAAGTCATGTCCGATATTACCACCGAACAGGCACAGAAGGCGTTGGATGATGCCCTAACAAGTTCTAAATCGACGTCGGCTAGAATGCTCACCAATGTGGACCGGGCAGGTTCGTCGTCGTCACTCCATCCACCCATTTAATAATCAGATTATCGTATCCTCGCATAGGGGACTTGGTCGTCAAGACCACTCAAGAAGTTGAATCAGCGCGCACATTATACAATAAAAATGCTACAGTCATTCAGCAGTCCGCAGCCGACCAGATGGTTACGGACCTGATAAAGAAGAATATGGGCGGCTTTTTTGGAGAGGCAAAGAAGGTGATGAACGCCCTGGATACTCTGCAACAGATCCATCCCTTTGTTAGTGGTGAGTATTTGACTTGTAGACATTAAATACCACCTCAGCTAAGATAACTTGAAGTGGCTATAATCGCTTTCAAGGCTGTCGTGGATTTTGAAATAAGACGAAGAGAGAACGATCGCACAGTTTGTTTGACGCTTGCAAAGGCATTTGATATGATGAATATGCTTCTTCAGTTCGTTGGTTGATGCCCATCCAACACAATTTTCGCTGATTCGATTCGCTGATAGACTTAAGGACACTAGAGACCCTGACATTGTGGGACCTCGCGGCACTATTCGGGGCCGACTGGATGGTGTCTTGGATAAGATCAAGACAAAAGTCGAGCATTGCGGAAATACCATCGACAAATACTACAAGTCGAAATTCATCGGTTAGTTGACCTCGAGCTTTTGGATTTCTCGCCGGATTGAGAACCGCATTTTTAGTGAAATTCTTTAGATCATCCCATTGGGCAAGTGAGTTCCTCAGGATTAGCGGGGACTTTTCCCAGTGTATGCAGGAACTTCGGGACGCCTTGACCATCAGGACGGCGTTGGGAGTCGACACTGCGATCAAAAAACTGGAAGAACTCACCCAGATGCTAAGTGAACGCGAAGCGAAGATCACGAAAGGAGAGAAATTTCGCGGTAAAATGGACCAATACTTTGAAAGTGAACGCGAAAAGAGATTTGCGAAAGAAGTGATCATGCGCGGTGGAATGGATCCACGTTTCGAAAGCGAAGACAAATTAGCAGAGCTAGTGAAATTCGCCCAGCAACAAGAAGCACCTCCACATAATCAAGCGCACTCTGATACACCATCCAAAGATGTCAACAAACCTCCTTCACAAACCCCATCAGCGAAGAAATCGGTCGCGGAGCAGTACCGCCTTGATGCCTCAATGCTTCATGAATTGCGCACTCCTTTAGTCAGCTTACTCGAAGAGAATCGCGCACTCTTCATGTTCAAGCTTGATAAACAGACAGCCGACATCAAAGATGCCATCAAGGATTCTGAAATGCGCATTCTGTCGGCCCTCGGCGGCAAATTTAGCCGGGTCAAGGATCCAGTAAGGATTAAGAAACTCGACCTTATGCATCACTAACTCGGTCAATTTCACCAGCACCTCCAATTTATCTGGAAAGAGATGGTATGTCTTTGCGCAGTCGTGGTCGAAGCGCATACTTATCATCTTCAAGAAATGGTCAACAAGTGTCAAGACACTATACTTCATCGCAGAACTCCACGATTATTTCACGCACCGTTTCTCCCAGCTGCATCGTGAAGCTCCACGCCCACAAGTGACATCAAGTGTACATCGTGCTGAATCTCCTCCAATCGACACTGCAGACGAGTGGTGCTTGAAATACCTGTCAGTTTTCTACACTTCAAGTTTATCCGAGATCTTCGACGACGACGCAAATGGCTTAGTCAGCGTAAGGGAAGTTAATGCCTTTACTTCCGCGATACTTCCGGGCTTGAGTCTACTTCAAGCACTTGCATACTGGGCTGCAGGTGAGTATTTAAGTCGTTGTCGTCAGGTCGAACTTGGAGTGTTTACATCAGCAAAGGTTGGAGAGTGGATAGCCAATATTACCATGCACGAATTGAACAAGTCTTGAACAGCATGGTTCATGCGCAAGCAGATGTACTTCCAGTAAACAGGAGGTGTATCGCCTTGTACTTGGATTCAGATGTTATCCATGGTTTGGCGCTCTTCTCACCTTTGAATATGGATATTTACACATGTAAACAGACATCAAACGGCTCACGCGTTCTCTTGCAGAGCTTAGGCCGGAAGACTCGGATGTAGATCTCACGCAATTGGCTGATGGATGTCGCAACGTTCAGGAGAAGGACTTGGCGAAAAGACTTGACACTGTAAAGTATGAAATCGACTCCAAAGAGTCCTTCAAACTTTTCGGATCCGGTCGCATCGAAGATGTAAGTCATCGTTCACTCGACGCTTGTGCTGAATGTTCACATGAATGCCTGTTCAGTTCTTGCTGCCAGTACTTTACCTCGTTATGAGGAGGCATTTACAAATCATGAAACTCGCCAGGACAGTAATTCTGGTGGATAGAGAGCTTGAATGCGAAACTCAAACCATAGCCAATATATTGGAAGCGGTGGATCTGCGTGTTGAACAACTGGCAGGTATGCTCCCAGACTCGCGATTGTGATGCGCTTTTCCTTCTACTACAGCAGAATCGTTTCGCCATCAGGGAACTGATCCAAAAGCGAGGTTTACGTGGTATGCACAGGGCTTGGTGCGTGGAGACAATAGTGTATTTATTTCCGGTCCCTGACACCCCGCAATAGTACAACTTTTGGTACAGCCCAGAACTAACCGCAGACGACGCTGAATATTGTGAAACCCATAATTTTGGGCTTGACGACACTGAACTGGAGATTGATACGACAGCGTTGAAACTCGGTCTCTTCAATTTGACAGAGGACCAGGAGTTGATAGAAAGGCCTGTGAAGCTCGTCGCATCTACCCCCAGCCAGCAGCCTGAAGATGTCAAGCACGAATATATTCGTTTGTGGTGCATGAATAAACTCCACAGCAAGAGAAAGTCGTACCCTTTCGAAACGCCATCTTACCTATCGCCCGAGGAACAACAAAGGTTCAAATCCCTGTCCAAAGGGCTGCCCGAATCGGATGTTCAACGCTGGAGTTCATTAGCTGAACTTGAGATGCGCAAACGATTGTTTGAGTAAGTCCAGCTTCTGTTACCTATCATTCTTTAACCATCGACTTATCTGGTGTTCAGGTGTTGCTGCGACGCATGTCACTCCCTTATTACTGATGTATATCACCGTTGTATAGACTGCGAGGATGGTGAGTGTGATCAAAAACAACTATGGTGCACGATAAAACTGATCATATCTAGACGGGTATAATTTGTGTTTAGAATGCGAATCTCTGCCGGTTTCAAAACACAAATATCCATCGGACCACAAGGCGACGCACAACTTGCTTGTTTTCCGCATGGTGCTACCTTATAGTCGCTGCGGCCGGGTTCGGTGGTATGCCAGGAATTTCTTATCTACTATCTTGCCTATCACAACACCGCCGGAAGACGTATCCCAAACGCAATTAGATGGACCCGAACTTCCGCATCCGACCGAAGCCACTCGAGCAGATGATTCCTCCACCTCTGTCGATTTGCGGGAAGGTGATGAGAAACTAAATGGGAACACGGGAGTAGCACTCGAGAGGATACTTGGAACCTCAGCTGCGAATGAGGATGCCTATTCTTGTGCTGAATGCAGCGTTAAGATGGAAGGCATTTTTTATGTATGCTTTACTTGCGGAGGTCAGATTTTCATACGTCTGACGGGGCACAAAGCTTAACAATTATCGCAGAAAACAACTCCGCCATTGCCCTATGCGGCGATTGTGCATTTCACGATGTGTTCGACGTGGTCGAGGATCACCACCCTTACAAACACTGGCTGGTCAAGATTAAAGACCGGGTTCAAGATACAAGCATTGAAACGTCAGACGAACCTTTGGCTAACGTCGACGAGATTATTTCGCTTTCCTTGCGAGACGATAAGCTGGCTGCGATGATGGAATCTCGCTTCGTAGAACAGGATCGCCGACTTGGTGCACTTGTAAAACAGGTTGAACAGCTCGTGCATAGCATAGCTGCGTTGACGGGAAAAGAAGAGCTTCCTTCTGAATCTGTCACTGTTTGATTGGCTCGTAATTTGACAGATTGTTGTATTTGTTTCTCGCTGTCTCACTAACTATGTACTACTATATATCGATCTCGATCAGTACCGACTTGCTATCCTTTCGTTGGCAGACTGTTGTATTTGTATCTCGCTGTCAGTAACCTTGTACTACTTAGTGTGCCGAATTGCTATACGTCCGTGCGAGCTCGACGTGCTGCTGTACCCGCTCAACTACCATATGCATGACGCTCATCATATTGACATAATAAAAACAGACATACAACCAATGCAAAGAGTAATGTACATCGTCTGACATCTGGACAGGCTAAACTATTTCAACCGCTATAAGCAGAAAAAAGGGGACCCCGTATTGTCGGGTAGGTATATGCGGACGTGGTAGTAAGTATGCTCACTCAGTCTTAGTTTGAAAGACTGAGTGGAAATAGTATCGTACTGGGAGGTCTATTAGAACAGGTCGAGAGGTAGAATGACGTGGGCACTGCAGAAACGGGTATTGTGGATATAATATATATATAGGACAGATGGATCGTGATGCCGACCACGTTGTATCATTCCTCGGGAGTCACGAACCCTCTTTTGCTCTGCGAAAACAACGAGTCACTATTGAAACAGTAATAGAAAACAAAGGCAGACAGTACCTCTCTTGGATACACGTTTACTCCTCGCGATTCACGATTTAATCTTCATCGCCATCGCTCTGATCGCCATTGCCATTGGAAGAGTTAGCAGTATTAGAAGTACTGCTGACGTTACTGACGTCGGGGGCCCGGACGCTCAAGTACTCAGCGTTGTCGTTGGCAGAATTGCTAGAGTGACTACTGCTATCGTCGGGGGTCCGAACGCTCAAGTACTTGGCGTCATCACTAGCAGAATTGCTGTCATGACTAGTGGTATCGTCGGGGTTCCGAACGCTCAAGTACTTGGCGTCATCACTAGCAGAATTGCTGTCATGACTAGTGGTATCGTCCGGGGCCCGAACGCTCAATTGCTTGGCGTCATCATTGGCAGAATTGCTGGAGTGACTATCATCGTCGCCGGGAGCCCGAGTGTTTAAGTATTCAGCGTCGCTATTAGCAGAGTTGCTGGAGTGACTTTTGTCGTTAGAACTGGTGGAGGGAATGGTGGAAGGAGTGGTGGAAGGAGTGGTGGAAGGATTGCTGGAGTGACTATTGTCGGGGGCCCGGGTGTTCAAGTAGCTGATGTCACTATTGAGAGGTCCGCTGGGTCCGCTAGGTTGACTGAAGGTCGTTGGGGGCCCGAGTGTTCACGTAGTTAACGTCGTTATTGGGAGGACCGGCGGGCACGCTAGGTTGACTAAGATCATTGGGGGACCTAGTGTCCAAATAACCAACGAGGTTAGAGCCAAGCCCCCCCGAACGCTTAGCCATAGCTGCATTGTATATCAGCTCCACACCCATCAACTAGAGTAACGTATAATTCCTCACAAGAAAGTTTCATCACCGATGGCGTGGGATATGCTGCCGCGATGGCGATAAAGGAAAAGAGCGTCTTGAAAACAAGTGAGAGCTGCATGACTGTGATCGAGAGGAATGATTACCAGATGTCAGACAGTCGCGAAGTTTTTATACCTTCAATCACATACGGACGTGTCATAAGAGCCTAGATCAGAATATTGAGGCGATAATGATGGTTCCGAGCAGTCAGAAGGTTTTCTTCTGCTATAATTTCGGTTAGGTGTCCAACGGTTTGCATGAACTTCGAGTTCCTTCTCTTGCTGTAACAACTGCTTCAACTAGGTCCTAATCGGACATCATGACAGCGAACCAGCAAAGTAGACTACAGCAGCATGAATGATTGTCGCGCCTCATCATGGGTTCGTAAGGCATCCCTAGCACTGCGTTATAAAGTTGAGTGAGGTCATGAATAAGCATAGCACGACTTCAAGTTGCGGAACCTCCAGGTCTTGTTAAAGACGGTACTCGATGAAAAAGCTCAACGTTAGGATCTGTCATGCATTCTCGTAATGTTCGAACTCGAAGGTGAGCGGCGCTATATATTAGTAGCTTCGTTTAGCTGAAGTTGCAAGAAGAAAAGATGAGTTCACAAATCACGTTAGGGGTACTCTATCATTACGATACGAAGATGCACAGGCGTTAAAAGCGTTAGAGAAGGGCATGTTTCATAATCACTTTGACGAGTCTGCCAAGGATGTGTTTTGTGAGTACGATTTCAGAACGTAACAAGTGACAGTGTACGTACCATGGTGCCCCGTGCCTATGGTAGTCATGAATGTACCAACAACGCAGACTTGACGGAGTGATTCAGAAAAGGCACAATACTGGCTAATTGTGATCGAATCTGTTAGATAGTCGTCAGCTGTCTCTGCGACTTTGACAATCAAAGATACAGAGAAACGAAGAAGTTCAGGTGCACTGCTGGCATGCGGTGATGTACAAGTTTCAAGATTCCTAGAAATTTGGTAGAACAGAAGTAAGACAGCGCCGTAACTTTCGCGTGTTTTGGGTTCGATATAGACGAATGATATCGTCAAGTAGCATAATATTCTGATAAATTAGTGGATGAGCCGTAGGCGTCAACGACACAAGCTGGATCCAAGTTTTCACATTCCGACCCGACTTGTGATCGAACCGAAACAGCGTAGACTAGCGCTTACTAATAATACTTGCATTCATCAACCAGGGCCTAAATTCAGGGATTTTTTTGCTACCTACCAGTAGAAGCAAGGGGCCGTCTGGGTTGATCCCGTTTGTCGCACCGTGACAACTTGCAACGATGCATTTAATCTTTCTCCTCCAAGTATGTCTGTCGTCGGGAGGTCTCTAGCGCCCTTCACAGTCACCGACACGGACTGCTCAGTCTTCAATGGATATACTCTGAAGCACGCATGGACAACCAACAGTCTGGCACTTGCTCACCCTATGAGGTCGCGTGGGATGCTTGGCACGACGCCCCTATTCTATTGTATCACCACCTCAACGAAAGACCCCTTTCCCATCACTCACCCCGCCATGATGGCTACGAAATCCGAAGTCATCGATAATAGCAAGTCCATTGCTAGCTCGCCTCCATCGTATGACACAATTTCTAACATCCGAATCAAATGCAGACAACCATCCATATTCTCCTTTCTATCAGTCAAGCAGAGACGTGCCACCTGTTCTACCTCGCATTCGTGATCTTGTCTCCACCACGAATCTCAGCCCTTCCTCCATTGAATTAATTGCCAATAAATGTGCTTATGATCTCACAGCTGCAGAGCTCTCCGACCTTCTGCAAACACTCAATATCGAGGGTCACACGGCGCTATATTGGGCAATTGTGAATCACCGGCAAGAGGGACTCTCGGCGTTTAGGTTATTCATCTCAAAATTGTCATCCGAATGTTCTTCCGACCTACGTCTTGCATGCATGCGAACTAACGACCATGCATTATTCTTGAAACTGAATTTGCAGAATACTGATGGTAAGTCCTTTGCAATGCTCACCCGAGAGCGTTTGTATTGATGTATGACGTACTGATCAGCACAGGACAAGTCTTTAAGACAATTTCTGGGCTGTCCACCAGATGAGATTGAAGTGCATGATGCGAGGGGACTGGACGACAACTAGTTCGTTGCTTCCTTCCATATCAGGATGTTCCAGAAACGTCTGTGCACTACACGAAAATTAAACTGCGAGTTTATTGCGCGAGGTATAGGTTCTTATCTTCCGAGCTGTTCCTTACGCTCATAATCATGCCATACATATCCTGCAGGACGTATATGGTCGCTCGGCTTCGAAATGGGGAGAAAGGGGAAATGGATCGTTGGCTTTGGCCTCTCTTCCCCTAGTCTTCCAGTTTCTCCAGTATATTATTCAATTGTGGTAGAAACTCGTACAAGGAAAGGGGAATCTGGGCGTGAAACACCGCCTCAAAGGGTGTTCAAGGGTGGGAGCAAGACATGTGAACAAACACTCGTACCCTTGGGGTAAGTTTAAATCTGCCTTGACACATCCGAAGCCGAGGTACTGATATATCTATGATTCCTATGCGATCCTTTCCTCCCCCATTGGCTATGCAGATACATCGGCAAAGTAGACGGCGAAAAGTTTGAGTGGACCAGTTGGACGTTAGGCGATCAGCTGGTGACATACGAGTAAGTCTTTTGCTTCCTCAATTCGATCACATATTGCTACTGTTCTCCTTTGACGAGTTCAACTGACTGTTTTGTCGTAGCCATCCCACAGATGTAGACTGCGATAAAATCCTACATGCAAAGCTAGAGATGACACTCGAAAAAAATTAGCTCGTTATGGCTCACGGAATAGTGACAATTGACCAGGATACATGCTGCAGAGTGAATTTTTACATCCGCATGGTCAATACCGTTGCTTTGTGACTACGCAATCGAAGTCTGATTTGCTTGTATTTTTTTTATCGTTACGAAGATTCTTTGTGTTTTGTACGAAATCTTGCCATCTTGAATTTCTGAGATCTGTATCTACCTGTACTTAGACATTCGCATCTACACATCTTTTTTTGGGTATGAAGTACCACCATACATGCTTCAATGTAGGCCATTTCTATCTCGGTGAGACGAACGTCGCAAATGATACTGCGATCGCCATGCTACATCCGGAACTGTATTGTCAGTGTTGCATTTTATGAACACAAGGCGATAGCACGGAGTCACGAGTGTAGGCACAAAAATGCCTCGACTGGTTATTGCGAGAGGCCTGACCAGAACCGCTGTCAAGAGGACGGCATTCACGACGTGTGCAGCGGTGCCAAACCTAGCACGCTGGAACACCACAGTCAGTGTAGATACTATCACATCCGAGTCTGATAGTAGGTCGAAGAGATGAGCAGCGAATTCCACTCCAGATTCATCACTCACCATCTGCTGCACGTAGAGTCTTTCTGAGTCCAATTGTTAGGATGGTCAAAATGTAGAAAAGGACTATCCGGAGGAAAGTAGCCCTGATAGCCCGAGGGATAGTTTGATGCGGTCGAACGGACTCTCCCGCGGCAACCGCCACCAGTTCAACACCGCCGAAAAAGTAAAAGGCGTTGATGAAAGTCTGATTGAAAATTTGAAAGCCACCGATGAAAGCTTGACCATTCTGAGAATTCGACAGCCCCTTCCTGTGCTACTGACGAACACTATGCATTGCTTACGGGCCTATGATGACATTTTACTCCACCCCAGTCATAGATGAGCCTGGCAAAGATGAAAGCTATGATCGAAGGACCTTAACCTTAACGAGAGCAGACAAGTGGTCAGACTGTCCTGTTGTGGTCCAACATTAGCACACATACTCAACAATTACGCACCGTAAGCTCGAACGTGAATCAGTTGAAGCAAGAAAACAGGGCCAATGATGACGAGGGTCCATTCCCAGGCTTGGACTTACGGTGCCCAAAACCGATTAAACGTCCTATCAGCAATTTTCTCCGTGTATCGGGGACACGATATAAATAATGTGACAAACTGACTTACCTGTAGGATGTTCGCAACCTATTCGACATGTCACCATCAGCCGAGTACTTCGCTACCCGCTTCTTCCCATTTTCTTCTCGTTCTCGCGTTGATCCGATATATCTAGTGCCTCGTTGACCTTATTCGATAGTCACTCCATACAGTCTCGTAAGAATAAGTAGACTGTTCAAGTTGGTGTCCATGGTAGTATCAAACTGCGCGTGCTTTAGAGTGCATTCATTGCACAGAACTGAGTGGTCGGTGCCGGGTACTGTGAGGAGCGCTAGAGGCTTCTCGACGGAAGACAAACTTGAAGGAGAGATATGGAAAAGTTGAACGCGTCACTGGGCGGCAAAGAACCTAAAAGATCAATCCAGATGGCCTACTTCCAGTTCAGCTTGTCGGCGGTGGTAGTCGTTGATATGATTACTGCGACTGAGGCGGACACCATCCTGAAATACTAGAGTACTGAACGTGGGTAGTCGTGACGGTAGCCGGCTCAACTGAGCGAGCTAATGCTCAGCGCTCATCATTGGGTTACGCGATAGGACAGCATGAGAAAAGCAAAAAGTGATTCTGTGAATCTAGGTTCGGGTGAAAGAGTATATTTGGTGCAAGCTAAGCAGCTGGCATCGCCGAACAACTTGGCGCTGACTAAGCAGCTCAATGTTCTAAATACACTCCATACACCGCGGAACTGTTATAAGGTTAAGCCGCGGTGCTCTAAGAGCTGTCCTGCGGAGAAGTGTACGAGATAAGGGAAATAAGTATAGTCGTGGTGATTCTTGCGCCTGCGTCCGGACGGCGTGATGTTGATTTGATATGATAGAACCCCTCCTCCCCTCGTCACTCAGTTTTCGCCTCGGATCTAGGGTTTATCGTCTTAACCGCTGTAGGTGCGTGGCGTATTTTGGATCGCTGCTCGCATGCAAACACTTTCTTGGTCGGTGTTGACTAGCCGTGATGCCTGCTGGACAATGTTAAATTTATCGATTTATGAGATTTTTTTGTACATTTATCCTCGCACCATAGGCAGGGTCCGCGAGCTATTATAAATATCGTGACACTCACTGGTATTCTGTTGAACCATAGGTGATTTCGTTCGCATACAACCAAAAGATCAAATAGAACAGGGATACAATGTTCTGGTCACAATCAAGTACGTAGGACGACAACTAGTAAGACAAGACATGGAGCAACACAAAACACCGAATGAAGCTAGAGGTACAGCAAAACACAACCTGTATGAAATGTACGGTCTGTGAGCGTGTTATGAACGTGCAGATGTATGTATTGGACTTCAAGTGCGCGAAGGCGAACCTGTCATAACGGGCGGAGTATTTTCGAGTGTGATCTTCAGCGTTGCATGTAGGGTGTCATCACAGGCCAGATCATTGGGATTGCTACAACAACACAGTCAATTGAAATCGTCAGAGGAGAAGAGTGGCGAGATATGTTGTTCACAGCAATCACCATTCCAAGATAAGGTTGAGGAAGCAAAAGACTTACTCGTATGTTACCCACTGATCGCTCAACTTCGATTCCCAATAGGTGGGCTTGGCTTTTCCATCTACATTGCCCATCTTTCTGTATAGCCAACAGGGAAACAAAGAATAGTCGCATACAAATCATAAATTCGTCAGTACCTCAATTTCGAATGTGTCAAGGCAGATTTAAACTTACCCCTTCGGCGCTCGTATTTCCTTGAATTCTGTTCCCTCATCCTTGTGTACCTTTCTGGGTGTTCCACGGCCAGTTGTATGAGTTTCTAGCCGGAGAGAAGAACGTGCACAAGCTGGAAGACTGGGCGAAGAGAGACCACAGCTAGCAACCCATTTCCCCTCAGGCCCCACATTGAAGGAGAATCGCCATATACGTCCTGCAGGAGATGGCATGATTGTGTGAGCGTAAGGAACGACCCGAAAGACATGAACCTATACCACGTGCAACAAACTCATAATTTAATTCTCGTGTAGTGCACAGGCGTTTCTGGAACTTCTCGATATCGAAGGAAACAATGAACTGGTGGTTGTCTCCCCCATTATCCACCGGGTCCGTAACCTTATCTGGTTGACAGCCCAGAAACAGTCTTAAAGACTCGTTCTTGGCTGATGAGTTGTCATACATCAATGCAAACGCTCTCAGGTGGGTATTAAGAGAAACTTACCATTGGTATTTTGCAACTTCAGGTCCGAGAATAATGTATGGTTGCTAGTTCGCATGCATGCAAGACGTAGGTCGGAAGAGCATTCGGGCGAAAATTTGAAGTTATCAACTTCGAATAACTTAGTAAATGCCGAGCGTACTTCTTGCCGGTGATTCACAGTTGCCCAATATGGCGCCGTGTGACCCTCGATATTACGTGTTTGCAGGAGGTTGGAGAGCTCTGCAGCTGTGATATCCCATTTGGCAACGGAGGAGGAAGGCCCGGAAGGGGTGTTACCATCTGTAACAGAGACAAGTTTACGAATTTGAGTTAGAGCAGTGGCACGTCTCTGCTTGGCGGATAGAAAGGAGAATATGGATGGTTGTCTGTATGTAAATTCCGGGGTAGGCATCGGAACAGGGACTGATATCCTACCGAAGGTAATAGAGGGGGTATTTTGCGTTAGGTGCTACTACACTGCATGCGCTAGGTGGTATAAGTACATGCAAAGTATATGAACACCTCGAGGCCCAGGCAAGACCCTCCCTAGACTGGCCCTTACCCGCCCACCCCCTGAAAATGCGCGTCTAAAGCGCCACACCCTGGCAGAAATTAGGCTTCGACACAACCCGGTACCCTCCCTATCATAGAAAAGTAGCTATGCATACAAACCTTGGGAGCCCGCTTAAGGTTTCCTGGTATGCATACAACCCTTGGAATGTTTTCGGAGACATTCTTGAACATACTGTTGTTTGATCTTAGATTCTTCTTCTCCGCGCTTAAATGCCTGCCCCTCTGTGCCCTCCCTTCCTGTCACAGCCACAATTTCATTTTCACCGCAGCTCGATCTAAGTGTTGCTTTCCCATAGAGTACGTAGTACTTACAAATAGCCGATGCTCGACAAAAGTTGTGTTAGCTTGCGCTTGCGTCGGGATGGCGTCATGCTGATTTGCTATGATACAAGCCCTACTCCTTCTGTCGACACCTTCACTTCCCTCTCTGGGAGAAACACAATGCTAAAGACGTCAATATTTTTTTTTTTTCATTTGTAAGGCAACTTGAATGGCCTCTACGATGCGCAGAACCCCTACCTTTGAGCGTGGAGTGATCGTCTGAGCTGCAGTGGGTGCGCGACGTATTCTGGATGGCTACTCGCATACAAGCGCCTTCTGAGTCGGCGTTTATGAGCCGTGATGCCTGCTGGACAAAATAAAATCTATTAATTCATGAAACATCGTTGCACGGTTTTATCCTCGTACTATAAGCGGGGCCCACGGACTATTGTCAATCTCGTGGTTGTTCCATTGAACTGCAGGCGATTTCATTCGCATGCAACTAATAACCAAAAGATCAAATGGAACAGGGATGTAAGGTTCCGGTCACAATCAGGCACGTAGCACGACCACTAGTAAGATAAGACATGGAGCAACATACAACACGGAAAAAGCTAGCGGTACAGTAAAACACAGCCTGCATGAAATATTCTGTTTGAGAGCGTGTTATGAAACGTGTGGATGTACGTACTGGAATTCAAGTGCGCTAATGCATACCTGCCATCCGTAGCTCAGACTCGAGAAATTCTTCTATTTCCTCGATAGTTGGACGACTAGCAGGTCCGCGAGGAGACCAACATCTTTGAATATAACTCCACTGTGCACTAGTGACGTTCGTTTCTGGAGGACATTTGGGTTTTACGCCTCTCGAAGATAATATAAGGACACGGATGTTATCCTTGATATCATAGTAAGGTATTGATCCTGTGAGCAACTAGGGTCGCGATATGGTAAGTGGGTGATGCCACGAGGACATGATGTACCATACCTGCAGGAGAACGCTACCTATTGAATAGATATCAGTCTGCTCCGTTGGGATGCATGGATTGATTACGCCTTTTTGGACGTCGAATAACTGAGGATCTGTCCATCGTATCGCAGAGCGGATACCTCCAGATGGCTGTGCCAAAGATGGGATTTCTACGAGCAACGACATGACTCCGAAGTCGCATAATTGCGCTCTACCCTCATGGTCCACCAGGATATTGAGCTAGACGAGTATTAGCGAACCATACTTCCAGGGACAGTGATCTTACTCCAGAGATATCTCCGTGTACAATAGAATGAGCGTGTACTACATTTGAAATCAACGAAAATCATTGCAATGACGAATGCAAGAAAACTTACGATAGCCAAGGCCAGCTACTACCTGCTTGGCCTAATGCCACGCAAGTGCAAGAGTAAGAAACACGTTTCTACCGAAATGGCTAAAGTCTTACGAGATCCAACTTGCCTCCCAGTGACAAATGATGATTGGCGATGTAGTCATTCAACGACCCCTCGTTCACCCAAGGCGTCACCAGTGACGGAAAGTGCCCAAAACCGTGCGCAATTCCATATAGTGGCAAGACGTTCCTGTGAAGTAATCGTGCCCAAGATGATACTTCATCCATTAGTTTCTAAGTCATGCGTGAGCGGATTTTCTTGAACACAAACGAAAGAACGAACTTGACGATTATTACTTTTCTCATCCTCATTCAAAAATGGAATTTTCACTGACTTGACCGCAACCTTGACAATGTTTAATTTGTATTTTGAGGATTCTAATATGTAAATTTCACTCACAACTCGCTTTTGCTTGTCATGGCACCACGTTGATCGCCAAACGTCACTGTACGTACCCGATAAAGTTGGGTATATTTCGCGCCGAAAAATTTGCCTGGTAAGATCAAGGGCAGAGCCGCACTGAGACTCTCCCGCAGGATGCCCCTGCAAATTGGCTGGAGTGGTTGGTGTCCACCTGGAGGAATCTGATGATGGATTTATCAAGCTATTCTAGAATTCAGCCAATAAACACTGAGAGAAGCGATGTGTGTACTCAGGAATATCAATGTTGTGACCTTTTCTCACGACGGTCCAAGAGTCCGAGATGATTGGATTCGGAACGGCGCCTGGATTCGGGCACAAGCCTTCAGCAAATGAATGGAGAGTTTTGGGTGCCATTTCTCGGTATGACCATCGAATGAACGTCAAAGGTAACTTCACCACTAGTCCGAAATATGAAAGCAGGTCAGATACACCAGAGCCCTGTTGAGGGGCGTGGTCCAGGGTTTTGTTGGACATGACCTCTGGTTATTGAGGTAAGCACGAGATGTGGATGTTCCAAATACTAGACGCTGAATGCAGGCGATATTCATACCTTCGACAGCATGCTATAAATGCAATATGAATGCTGTTTTAATAATGTTTCCTAGTTCACAAAGTCACAGTTCTTCGAACCATCGTGACATGCATCAAGCCGAAGACCCACCTGTGCGGACCATGCTAAGTATGGCCTGTAAAACTTTTTACCATCCCCAAAGGCCAGCCCGGCTGCGATAGACGAGGCAGTTTGATGTGAAGTACATCCATACTATCACCTCATACAGCTTGTGAAATTCCCAGGGCAGTGGGCGTTAGGTGATCCACTGAAGTTTTAAATTGGCTCAATTGGCGGCCAATCGATTCGGGCATTGGTATGTATGGAAAACTTTGTTCTAAAGTTCATGTAGTAATTCTCATGCGGAAAGCTCGGGCCTCGAGGTCTATGGAAGATTGATCGCGGAGGTAGCAATTCATTTCAGCACCTACTAGTATGAAAGCCAACCCGACTCTAGGTGTCACGGCGGCGATTCATTTGAGTACTTATATTGAGTCAAACAAACCTTGGTACACAGAACAAATTTTGGTTTGATCAGTATTCATAACGGCATGAAAAGACTCACCCGAGTCAACCACCATCGACAAGCTGTGCAACTCACATCGAGGTAGACGAATCTGACATGGGGTTGATCGATATCGGTCACTTGCGAAAATGCCGAAGTACACGTTCACCGCCGCGAGGTGCGGACTTTGAAAAGAAGCCGCCAGCAATGCCTTGCTACTATCAGCTCCATTGGAGTATTCGATTTCGAATGCCATTCTTAGAACTGCGGTGATCATTGGCAGGAATAATCCAAGGGTACACAACTCAATCTGCAGAGTAAAATTCAGCGGCTACCAGCACTTGTCCCGCGAACATCCGAATATCTTGTACGATAGGCCATTGTGTACTAGTATGGCCAGCCTGAGGGTATGTCACAACTACCAGACTTAAATTCGCGAGCACTGACTTGGACTTCACAGCATAGAAGGGCATTCAAGCCTGTTTGCTGCGTACATGATAAGTATTCACATCCAGTAGGTACTACGTTACCGTTGTTCGCGGAGAAGCACTGGTCGGCCAATACACAGCACCGAGTTGTACTCCCGAAAGGTTCGTCTGGGCTGTTCTTGTGATATGAGAAACCATCACTCTTCTTATCGAGTTAACAGCGTTGTGAGCGCTCGCGCCAACACATGATTGCGGTTAAACCACTTTGATCATATTACAAGGGTCTGCCACCTGCCTCAAACCTACGGTTACCTGCCACGGTGGATTCATTAATCTGGGCTCAGCCGCCGTGAATATGGTGATCATCCACCTGATGTTTTGGAGAAATCACGGCCAAGAACGCAGGTTCTGGCAGGTCAGAAGACTCGCAAATGAGTGCTCATGCTGATATGTGATGGCAAGTTTATACTCATGGTTTACTTCTGTGAAACCTGCAAGGATGCTTCCAGTCTAATAAATGCGAGTTTGCTCTCCACTTGCTGTAGCTCCTAACACTTCCTATTCTCGAAAGTCTTCTCTTCGTTGCTGCCGCAGCATCATGTCACATCCAGTTGCGGAGAATTCGAAATCTAATGGCAAGTAGAGTTCTACCTGGTGGATCAATACTGATGACGAATGATTAGGAACTGACTGGAAGAAACTGCGCATTATCTGCTCGCAGTCTATCTCACGCTTCACCAGCAGGAGTGCCACTTCAGTGAGTACTTACTTGTCAATGGGCGCCCAGAAGACATTGACCGAATTCTGTGTACCATTAGGGCAATGATTCTGATGAATCAAAAATTGTCCCGGGTCTTACAGCGAGTAGCACTGACTCTGAATCGCCCTGTATTGTCTCGCCTTCTGGGTCATCTTTCAGTTTCGAGGACCTTGGACTCCCGGTTGCATGTGATGACCCTCATTACGAGGATGATCTTCGTTCACCACTGACGCAAACTTTCCTAAAACCGTGTGTATACTTCTCTCCAAAACAGACAGTGCTTTGAGCTATGACTGAACGTCTTCATTTCCAGATACGTTGACTTCAAAAAATACCATGATGAACCTGAGGATCTCACGGCTTACATTTCACGCACCGATGATTTCCCCTACAGTTGTGGCGGATTCGGCAACGTCTGGAAATGCAAATTGACAAATTCCTTCCTCCGAAACGGTACCAAAGTTCGTTTATTAATTGATTTCCTTCCAAAAGATTGGCTCAATCCTAATAGATACTCCCGCGAAACGTCGCAGTCAAGGCTTTCAGAGTGCCATCGAGGAAACCAGAAGACCTAAATAAATTGATCAAGGTTAGCTCTCGTGCAGTCGATGTATGTGGCATTTAACATCACTTTCCATACAGAAATTACGTCAGGAAGTCTTTGTTTGGAGACAGCTGGAACACTCGCACATAGTGCCTTTGTATGGCACTACGGAAAAATATGAAATTATCCCAGCACTAGTGTGTCCATGGATGAAAAACGGTTCTCTCCATCAATATCTGGGTACAATGCGGCGTGAGCAGTCGCCACCTGAAATGCATCGTCTTTTTCTTCTTGTGAGTATTTCTTATCTATGTCTTATAAACGGACCCTCAGATCAGTTGAAATACAGCTCCTCCAAGTCATTTTAGGTCTGCAGTATCGTGAGTGAATTTAGTTGCTATGTAACCTCATTTTGACGATGCACGATGAATCAGTGCATTCTAAAGATATTGTACACGGAGACCTCATGCCTGTATGTCACAATTTTTTCACCAGTCAGTCCGCGTTGCTCATAGAATTTCAGCCTAATGTTCTGATCGATGAGAACGGGGATGCTCTACTTGCAGACTTTGGTCTGTCGTGCCTGCTGGCAGATCATGAGACATCTTTCTTCGCATCTCACAGCTCAGGCGCAACTCGTTGGGCTGCTCCAGAAATTATACCGCTTGATACCGAAAGGCTGGACGAGTGTGTTAGCAAGCCAAATAAAGCGAGTGACATCTATTCATTTGGTTGCATCATGATGCAGGTAATGCCGAGACCCTCTTATCTTCAGTGAATGAATGATTCCAAATATTTCATTAGGTGCTATCTAACTGCTCCCCGTACTTCGACATGAAGACAGAGTCTCTTGTCGTTATGGCCAAATCTAAAGGCATTCTACCAACACGACCCGCATCGCCTGTAATTGCGGATGTTCACTGGTGCTATATTGAACGATGTTGGTCGACGCAGATTGAGATGCGGCCTTCGGTCGATGAAGTTCTGGACTATATAAAGGGAGAGCATGACAAATTTAAACAGAGTTAGCTGTTCCTGCTAGTGATACAAACGAGTTGATCTCGAACACCACATTTTCTCGTGTCCTGACATTCAAGTTGTTGATGGCAATTTCATGATGACATTCGGTTCTGTTTTCAGCAAAGACTTGAGTCTGAGTCCCAGTCCTAGCCATATCTACAACCCAGTACACTCAAACACCACAGTCAGTGGAGATGCTGTCATCCTGAGTCTGATAGTAGCTTAAAGGTGAGCAGTGAATTCCGCTCCAGATTCACCACTTCACCATCTGCTGCGCAGAGTAAGGTGGGGCCTTTCTAGTTAATGCCAAGTGCGGTTGTTGGGATGGTCAAAATTTAGAAAAAGACTATCCGGAGGAAAATAGCCTTGATAGCCCGAGGGATAGTTTAATGCGGTCGAACAAACTCGGATCCCGCAGCAACTGCCTCCAGTTTAACACCGCTGAAACAATAAAAGGCATAGACAAAGTCTAAGCGAAATTTGAAAGGTACCGATGAAAGTTTGGCCGTTCTGAAAATTCGACAACCCCTTCGAGAAAAGGATGTAAAGCAATCGTACTGCTGACGAATATTATGTATTGCTTACGGGTCCAGGATGACCCTTTGATCCGCCCCAGTCGCAGATGAGCCCGGAAAGATGAAAACTATGATCAGAAGGATCTTGACGAGACCAAAGTAGTGCTCAGACTGTCTTGTTGCAGTTCAACGTTAGCACACATACTCAACAATTACGCACCGTAAGCTCGAACGTGAATCGCTTGAGGAAGACAAGGACAATAATGACGAGCACCCATTCCCAGGCTTGGACTTACGGTGCCCAAAACCGATTAAACGTCCTATTAGCAAATTTCTGTGTATCGGGGACACAATATTAATAATGTGACAAACTGACTTACCTGTAGGATGCGCAGCCTACTCGACATATGTCGCTATCGGCCGAGTACTTCGCTACCCGGTCCTCTCCATGTTCTCGCGTTTACCCGATATCTAGTGCCTCGTGAACCTTAGTCGATAATCACCCCATATAGTCTCATAAGGGTAAGCAGACTGGTGTTCATGATAGTATCAAACACGTGTGCTTTAGAGTTCATTCACTGTACAGGACTGAGTGGTCAGTGCCGGGTACTGTGAGGAGCGCTAGAGGCCTCTCGGCGGAAGACAAACTTGAAGGAGAGATATGGAATGCACCGCAGTAAGTTGAACGTGTCACTGAGCGGCAAAGATCAACCCAGACGGCCTGCTTCCAGTTCGGCTTGTCGGCGGTGGTAGTCGTTTAGATTATTCCTGCGACTCGGGCCGATACCATACTGAGCGTGGGCAGTCGAAGATTTGAAGTGATGGTAGCCGGTTCAAGCGAGCTAGTGTTGAGAGTGCGCCTGACCACCAGGGCACCCAGGACGTCACGACGTCCTGACATATATGAATGCAAGACAGTAACAGTACCTTACTCATTTTCTCTTTCCGTTTTCAACCGTATTCTAACTCTATTCTAACTCTATATAAGACTACGAACACGCGCCAACGCACCTCAGTCCCTTTAACCGTGACTGAGGTGTGTATCATATTTTTCCTCTTTCTTATTCCATTATACTCACTATATACATTAGCCTCGTACTCTAGGTTCGTAGTACTACATTGAATGCAGTCCCTTTAACCGTGACTGAGCCTCGTACTCTAGTTCTCGTCTCTCAACAGGTTATGAGCCCTGGCTGAAAGGACAGCGGCATTACCCCATCTCTCGCATCAGCACTTCTCGAACGTCCATTCACCCATCACACTTCCTACCGGGTTCCAAACCAATATCGAAGTGTCACCTCTAACTGTCGATCACTATGACATCATCGGACTCTCTCCCAAAAACCGAGAAGTACCCCCACGAGAAACTCACTCTCGATGGCTCTAATTACTCCCAATGGGCGACAGGTTTTAAGATGTGGGCGGGCGGTATTGGACTATGGTCCTATGTCAGTGGAGACGAAGTAGAACCGTCCCCACCAGCCCAACTTGCAGACTCTGACCAGAATATCCTCCGCAAGGAGAAACACGACGAGCGGGTGAAGCTCTACAGACAACGTCGACTCCTCGCCCTCAGTGCTCTCTCCACCGCCATCGATGCACAGGACTTCGTCTATCTACGTGATATTGACAATCCGCACCTTGCTTGGATCGCCCTGGAGAAGAAATATCTTCCCCAGAAAGCCATTCGATTCAACCAATACCTCGATCGTCTATTCACGGTCCCAAAGGCGCACGACAGCACGTCCATTGCGGAGACATTACAGACACTCATTGTCCTAAAGTCGGACCTCGCAGCACTCTCAGTCGCACCATCCACATCCTCAGTTTCTCCACCCTCTACTACGTCTGGCGCTACTGCTATGAAGGAGGAATACAAGATTCCAGACGCCATCTTCGTGCACATCCTACTCCGTGCTCTCCCTGACTATTACGACCCTCTTCACCAAACACTCGTTAACAGCGATGCCTCGCTGGACTTCAACGACATTGTGAATCGGTTGAAGACCCAGGAGTTGCATCGTGCAGGGACCAGTAGCACGACAGAGCATGTCGCTATGCTCTCTGGACATCGAGGGAACAGTGCACCCCCCAAGACAAGTGATCGCGTCCCTCCCAAGGGCTTTGATGAATCAAAGGGAGACGGCTGGATTGTGGGATGGAGACCTAAGTGTGGCCATTGTCAAAAGGCTGGCCACATCTGGGCACAATGTCGTGCACGCCTCGCTAAAGATGAGAAGAAGTCAGCACCACGTTCGTCCCCTCCCGCTGTCGCCACTAACACGGAATCTCCATTGGCAGACCGACCTAACGCGGATGCTACCTCACCCAACGCTATACCACAATCTCCATTCTTTCTCACCTTAAAAGAGCATACTGCCAATATCTCGTCCTCCCTCACTATGCCTGTAGGCTCTATTCATGTAGACTCAGCGTCCACGGCCCATATGGAGCCTGATATTTCACGTTTTGCCCACTACACGAAGCTCGATGAACCCATCCGTGTGAAACTCGCCGATAATCATGAGGTCCTAGCCCCTGGCTGGGGGACTGTACGGCTCGTCTTACAGTATGAGCAATCCTCAACGATTCGAGATTTTGACTTCCTTCACGTTCCTGACCTGCGGTGTACCCTTGTCTCAGTATCGTGCCTCGCATCTGAGTGCATTTCGTTCATCTCTTCCTCCAAAGGAGGAATGCTTTGTGCTGGTGATGGACACGGGCCACCGCTTGCACACGTCCATTCTCGCAATGGGCTGTACTTACTCGCTGCACAGTACATTACTGGTGCATCCGCTATGCTCACACAGTCGCCTCCTACTGCCTTATCCCTGCAGACCTGGAATCGCCGATTGGGCCATGCTGGATTCTCCACGGTCCTCAAAGCGAGCGAACACGTTGACGGACTGTCACTCCCCTCCTCATCACTCCACAGCACCAGTGGTGATGCTGACCTGATCCAGTGCGTCTCTTGCCTCATGGGTAAGCACCAGCGATCTCCCTTTCCAAACGCTGCACGACGAGCCTCGGCACCTGCAGAACTTGTGCACTCGGACGTCTGGGGACCCGTCAGTGTCGCATCCTCCACTGGCGACTCGTACTTTGTCGTGTTCACTGACGACTACACGCGCTACTCACTCGTGTATCTTATGCGCGCGAAGTCCGAAGTCTTCGAGCTCTTCAAGAAGTTCGTGCCATGGATGGAGACTCAGTCTGGTGGACGTATCAAACGTCTTCGTAGCGACAATGGTGGGGAATACGTATCGAAGGATTTCAGTGAGTACCTAGCGGAGTGGGGCATTGAGCATGAAGTCACCATGCCCTACACACCCCAGCAGAACGGGGTTGCTGAGCATGGCCACCAGACCGTCGTCACTCGTGCCCTCAGCTGCCACCACCAGAGTGGTTTCCCGCGTTCCTTCTGGGGCTGGGCGATCCTGCACTCTGCTCACATCAAGAACGTCCTCCCCTCCTCAGCGCTTGATGGTCGGACTCCGTTTGAGGCTTTCTACGGTCGCAAACCCGACGTGAGCTACCTCCGCCCCTTTGGCTGCCTTGCCTACTCTCACATCCCAGACGACACCCGTCGGAAATACGAGTTCGTTTCCCGCCGTTGCTTCCTCCTGGGACACGTGCGCGACACTGGCTATATCCTGTGGGACCCATCTGCGAAGCGCGTCGTCAGGTCACGCCATGTCCAATTCGACGAAGCCGTCTTCTATGGGGACCCCACCTTATCTCCCCTGGGTCCGCTAATCCCTGATGCGGACTCTGACCAGGGTGTCGGTCCTTCGGTGGGAGGTGCTCCAGGTATCAGTCCTTCAGTGGGAGGTTCTCCCTCATCTGGTGAGCCACCATCTGTGACCCCTGCTACACCTTCTGTGCCACAGGTGTCAGTGGGAGGTGATGTTGACCCACCAGCCAAATCCCATGCATCCCACATATCCCAGGACGCTCCAGTCGAATCCCATCATTCCCAAGACGTTCCAGTCGAGTCCCATCATTCCCACAATGCACCAGCTCCTGTTCCAGCTCCACGTCGAAGCACACGTCCACGCCAACCTACTCAGCCTGGCTATACTGCTCCAAGTGGGCCTAGTGCCACGGCCATACCCACCAAGCGGGTTCCTGTAGCTGAGCGCTGGACCCATGTCCCAGTCCTACCTGACCCATCACCACCTCATGAATCCGCCATGCATACAACAGACACACCTTCGTCACCACCCGTCATTCCAAAGTCGATCAGCGCAGCTCGTTCCCTACCTGAGTGGCCGCTATGGTCGGAAGCCTGCAAGTCTGAGCTACAATCCATGTGCGACTTGAAGACTCACCGTCTGGTACCTCTCCCAGCAGGAAGGAAGGCCATTGGATCCAGGTGGGTATTCTCACTGAAGTCAGATGAGGATGGCAACATCACCCGGCACAAGGCCCGGTTTGTTGCACAAGGCTACACTCAGGTCAAAGGGATCGACTACACGGAGACGTTCGCATCCGTCGCCAAGTATGACACTGTCCAAATCCTCCTCGCGCTCGCAGCAAAATTCGGCCTCGAATTAGATCAAATGGATGTACGTACGGCTTTCCTCAATGCTGAACTCAAGGAGGACATATACCTCAAGCAACCAGCCGGCTTCGAGGATCCAGAACATCCGGATTGGGTATGGAAGTTGGAGAAGGCGCTGTATGGTTTGAAGCAGGCAGGATATGAGTGGAACCAGATGCTTGACGAGTATCTGCGGAAGGAGGGTTTCAAGTTTGTTCGAAGCGAGGCTGATCACAGCTTATATGTTCTCCACGAAGGAGACAAGATCATCTGGCTCGTCGTATACGTCGATGACATGCTCTCCGCGTCGAACTCACGCGATTTCCTTAACAGCTTCAAAGCACGGCTCAACCAACGCTTCGACCTCGCAGATCTAGGCCCTGCCAGACACTTCCTTGGGATGCATATCACTCGCGATCGCGAGAAACGACTTCTATCGGTCAGCCAAAAGACCTACCTGGAGAAGATTCTTGAAAACGCCGGGATGTCTCAGTGTAACCCGGTCAGTACTCCCATGTCTCCAGGCATCGTACTTCAGAAAGCAACACGAAGTCCCACTGATGACGAGGCGACTGCCATCGCATCCATTCCTTACCGTCGTACCATTGGGGAACTTAATTATGCCATGCGCACCACACGTCCTGATATCGCTTTCGCCGTCTCATCCCTCTCACGTTACATGGAAAATCCCACCATTGATCATCATTGCCAGCTCAAGCACCTCCTCAGATACATACGTGGCACGACACACCTGACACTCGTATTCGGTCTCACTAACGACGGACTGATAGGTCACTCAGACTCTGACTATGCCACAGACCGCGATGACAGCAAGTCGACGAGTGCGTATGTATATCAGCTGTTTGGTGGCCCAGTCAGTTGGAAGGCACAGAAACAGTCTGTTGTGGCAACGTCAACCACGGAAGCGGAGTATATTGGACTCTCGAATGCTTCACGAGAAGCCTTATACCTCATCCAACTACTCCACGATTTCCGCGTTGACCCTGACCTCTACGATCCTCCCCTTCTCTATGGTGACAACCAGGCTAGCCTTGCCCTATCGAAGAATCCCAAGTTCCATGACAAGGCGAAACACATTCGCGTGCATTATCACCTCGTCCGCAGCCTCGTCGAATCCAATCAGATCAGACTTGAATATAAGTCAACTTCGAAAATGCTCGCCGACAGCCTCACGAAAGCTCTACCTCGTCCAGCAGTTAGTCGTCACCGAGAGGAGATGGGTCTCCGTCAGACTGCCCTGCGTGGTCTGGCGAGTGGGAGTGTTGAGAGTGCGCCTGACCACCAGGGCACCCAGGACGTCACGACGTCCTGACATATATGAATGCAAGACAGTAACAGTACCTTACTCATTTTCTCTTTCCGTTTTCAACCGTATTCTAACTCTATTCTAACTCTATATAAGACTACGAACACGCGCCAACGCACCTCAGTCCCTTTAACCGTGACTGAGGTGTGTATCATATTTTTCCTCTTTCTTATTCCATTATACTCACTATATACATTAGCCTCGTACTCTAGGTTCGTAGTACTACATTGAATGCAGTCCCTTTAACCGTGACTGAGCCTCGTACTCTAGTTCTCGTCTCTCAACAGCTAGCGCTGATCATTGGGTCATACGATAGAACAGCATGAGAGGAGTAAAGAGGAATTCCGTGAATCTACTTGGGTCATCAAAAAGTTATATTTAGAGCGACTCGATGCTCAGCGCTGACTAATAAGCAGCTCAATGTTCTATGTATATACACTCAAGCATGTCCATATACCGCGGAAACTGTTACTGCCGCGGCACTCTACGAGGTGTACAGCAGTGTACGAGATAAGGGAAATACGTATAGTACGAATATCCGAAAGTCGTGGTGATTTTTCTTAGCTTGCGCGTGCGTACGGACGGCGTGAATCGCTGCGTGATGCTGATTCGATATGATAGAATTCCTCCACTCAGTTCTGGCCTCGGGCCCAGGGTTCATCATCTTAACTGCTGTAGGTGCGTGACGTATTTTGGATGACTGCTCGCATGCAAGCACCTTCTTGGTCGGTGGTTACTAGCCGTGATGCCTGCTGGACAATATTAAATTTATTAATTCCTGAAATTTCTTTGCATATTCATCCTCGCACCATAGACAGGGCCCGCGAGCCATTATAAATCTCGTCACACTCACTTGTATTCCGTTGAACCGCAGGCGATTTCATTCGCATACAACCAAAAGATCAAATGGAACAAGGATACAACGTTCCGGTCACAATCAAGCACGTAGGACGACCACTAGTAAGACAAGACATGGAGCAACACAACACACAAAACACCGAATAAAGCTAGCGGTGCAGCAAAAAAACAACCTGTATGAGATGTTCGGTCTGTAAACGTGTTATGAACGTGCAGATGTACGTACTAGAATTCAAGTGCGCTAAGGCAAACCTGTCATAACGAGCGGAGGATTTTCGAGTGTGATCTCCAGCATTTTATCCAGGGTGTCATCGCAGGCTACATATTTGGGATTGCTACAATAATACAGTCAGTTGAAATCGTCAGAGGAGAAGAGTGGCAAGATGTATTGCTCGCAGCAATCACCATTCCAAGATATATAAGGATCAATTTGAGGAAGCAAAAGACTTACTCGTATGTTACCCACTGATCGCTCAACGTCAACTCCCGCTTGGCTTTTCCATTTCTGTATAACCAACAAGGAAACAAACAATAGTCGCATACAATCCATAAATTCATCAGTTCCTCGACTTCGAATGTGTCAAGGCAGATGTAAACTTACCCCTTCGGCGCGAGAATTCTGTTCCCTTGTCCTCGTATACCTTTTTGAGCGGTGCTTCACGGCCAGGTTCCCCTTTCGTTGTATGAGTTTTCTGGCCAGAGTAAAGAACGTCTACAAGCCGGAAGATTGCGCCAAGAGAGACGACAGCTAGCAACCCATTTCCCCTTAGGCCCCACATTAAAGGAGAATCGCCATATACGTCCTGCAGAAGATATCATAATTGTATGAGCGTAAGGAACAACCCGAGAGATATGAACTTATACCACGCGCAACAAACTCGTAATTTAATTCTCGTGTAGTCAGGCAGGCGTTTCTGGAACTTCTCAATAATGAAGGAAGCAACGAACTGGTATCGTCCGTTTCTCCCCCATCAACCTTGGCTAATGAGTTGTCATACATACAAGTGCTCTCAGGTGAGTATTATGAAGAACTTACCATTGGTATTTTGCAACTTCAGGTCCGAGAATAAATTAATAATGCATGCTCGCTATTAGTTCGCATGGATGCAGGACGTAGGTCGGAAGCTTAAGCGCTTAAGACTAATGAGCTGACACAAATTTGGAAATATCAGCAAACTTCGCCGAGAATGTGTATCATAAACCGGAGTTCGAAAACAAACTTGGAAATGCTCCAGGACCCTTTAGGGGACTGGTACCGGTGGTAAACCTTATATCGATCTCACTATATGGACCCGAATGATAGCTTCTAAAGGACGAAGCAGAGTTGCGACAGCAAGAAGACGATAACAAAGAAGCGTGCTGGCCATTGGACGCCAGTTGTCTGACGTACCTTGGTGTTGAAACATAAGTAAGTAGGTACCACTGGCCCAAGGTTCGGCTCGTCACAAAGCAGTGTATGTACAAACAAGAAAAAGTGTATGAGGGATCCGAATCAAAAGCGCAGGAACAGCAATCTTATACTTTCGTTTCGCGGTGTTGGGTGTCCCAGTTTTCATTTTGCCTTTTCGTTTTTGGCTCTTTAAGGGTACTCAGAGTAGTTTTAGGATCTTCGGTAAAGCTCGCTAAGGCCCGGTAAAGCGCGGGTAGAGCTTACAGAAACACGGCACGATAATCCTCGGCGCACATCGGCACGACGTCGGACTTTCAAACGACACTTAAGATTTTCGAAGCAGAAAGTGAGGAGGAGGACACATGTATTTGCAATGAGTAGCGATAAAGTACATCCCCCAACGCGCTTTGTATTTAAAACTAGCAGCATCAATAAATTCGTGAAAGAAAAACCAAGTCCAGTGGGATAATGATATCAGTGCGTGCTATAGGTGGAGAGCGCAGGATGTGCTCCTTGTCCTGGATCTTCGCCTTCACGTTGTCGGTGGCATCTGATGACTCCACCGACAACGTGATGATGTTGATGGGGATCTGCATACTGGAAAGAAGATGGAGAACGAGGTGGAGGGGAGACTCCTTCTGGGCGTTGTATAGGCGTGCCAACTGGCATTACAGAGGGAAGAGCAACGGGGAGCATTCAGACATGCTTGAATGAGATTCTTGCCCTCCGGTTGAGTGACAAGAGGTTGTAGCTTTGAAGTTGTAAAGGTGTTAACGAGACCCGTTTCTGACATGACGAGTAGAAGGACTTGAGTGCCTGTGAGAGTAGACAGATATAGTTGGGAAGAAGGTGGAGAACGACGTTGTGGTTGGGAAGAGCAGCTTCGAGTAGCATGCCGGCGAAAATGAGACGCCGGATGATCATGTGTGAGGGGAAACCTAAAATAAATGTCATGAGGACAAAACATGGTGAGCTGCAGCTTGCAAGATGCAAGAAAAACACACCTTGTGCACAAAACCTCCAACAACTTCATGAGGTCCGGCTTGATGCTGTCCGAGTTTGAGTGAGGTTGATGGGCTGAGTGAGGTCGATGAGCACAACGTGAGATGCAACATCGGAAATTTCCGAAAATTTTAAACTCCGCTGTAAACTGCGTCACATATGCACCAAATGAATAGGAATTTTGATCCCCCCCCAATTCTCACTATGCCTCGTCAATCTACACGTGTACAGATGCTGAATGACCTTGACCAGGCTGCCCTTGTGGTAGCCAGGGCGAGATACCAGCACGTCATGGAAGATGATGACTCTACAGACTCCATCTCGAGCTTAGACTCTGATTTAGATCTTACCCGTGACTCGGATCTTGAAATCTTCCTGAATATTATGCTTTCACCCCCTTCTCCTCTTTCTCCAGCACTCTCCATCTCATCCAATTTTTCTGACGGGGACAGCTCATCAGATGATGATCATATTATCACTCGCTACAATCGCCTCCAGGATTCCATTGCAAGTCTCCAGGACGAAATTTCAAAGGCTCGTGTACTCAACATCCCCAGTGTACCTCTCCCACGTGCCCCTCAGCTACACCTTCTAGTTCATTTCGGGGAACACCGCCCGCTTTTATTTCGTCACAAATTACGTGTTGATCCTGAAATCTTTGACGACATCCTTGATTTAATTTCTGACCATCGCATTTTTCACAACAACTCCAACAACTCCCAGCTTCCTGTTGCTATTCAACTAGCAATTTTTCTCAACCGTGCTGGCCACTATGGTAACTCCATATCTCTTGTGGATGTGTCTCAATGGGCGGGTGTTAGTGTTGGCTCGGTTGTTAATTGCACTAATCGTGTAATGGTTGCCCTGCTTGACCAGCATGATGCTTTCATGGGTTTCCCTCCCCACAATTCGAAGGATTTCAAGCGTGCTCGGAGGTATAGTGCAAAGGCTAGCACTTGTCCTGAGTGGCAGAATGGAGTCCTAGCTGTTGATGGGACAACAGTTGATCTATATGCGACACCAGGTTTTTTCCACCAGGCTTTTTATGATAGGAAATCCAAGTATTCCCTTGGGTGTCAGGTATGTTTTTTATTGAATTTTTATTGAATTTCTATGGCTAATTTTTAAAAAATTCAAGGCAGCTATTATGCCTCACAATCTTCTCATAGTCGATTATTCTCTTGGTCACCCTGGAAGTGTCCATGATGCATATGCATTTAGATCCACTCGTACCTACCAAGAGCATGATACACTTCTGCCAGCTAATCACTGGGTCTGGGCAGACAGTGCTTATCCACTAAGCACTTGGTGTATTACTCCTTTCAAGAAGCCCCGCAATGGGCGCCTGACAGCAAACCAGAGGACATTTAATTTTCATCTCTCTTCAGTTTGTATTTTTTTTCCTGATTTTTCCTGATTTTTCTAAATTAATAATTCATATAGGTCCGTGTCCGTGTTGAACATGCATTTGCTGCATTAAAAGGCCGGTTTCAATCCCTTCGAGATCTCCGACAGAATATCAATTCAGCCGATGACTTGCGGGCAGCTGTCCATTGGATTCAGTGCTGTCTCATCCTTCACAATATGATTATCCGGTTTGAAGAACACCGAGGTCTTAAAGAATCTAGTGGCTCAGTGAAATGGGCCTATCAAGAGGACAACAATCCAATTCAAGGAGAGAATGAAGGGCCTGATGGTAATGAACAAGTGGGTGACAGGTTGTATGAGGGGACACCAGGTCACACACAGCAGTGAAAAGTTGAAGGATATATTGTTTGACAGTCCCTACTCAAAGGCACACCGCAGAGAAGACTAGGAACAGCTACAAACTCTATTGACAAGCTAGTACAGAAGATACACCAGTGTATAGTAAAGGTAGTACAACAGAACAACATGAGTAACATATGTGCAACACAAACAATAGTATGAAAGCGGCATGAAATAAGAACAAACGACTCATGATCCGGAATTAGAACCCATGATGCGAGCATACTCAATCTTGAGGCGCAGCGTTGTTGCCTCCTCCGAGTGCGCATGTGCCAATGCGTCATGCATTTTCGCCTCCGCCTCACGAAGGCGTATCTCAGAAGCCTTGGCCTCCAGGCTGCGTTTATGTGCAGCAGCAGCTTCGACGTAATCATCCGCGCGCTCGTTTTTGAGGTATTTGTGTTCGTTGGCCTGCCGAGCGAGATTATACTTGGCCATGTAGCGCTCATTTTTGAGCTCCTCCCGCGTGATCCTGTCGGACTGCACCTTCTCGATTTCGTTGTTAAGTACATCAACCCTACTCTGAATATCCGAACGTTGTTTCTTCACCTGCTTCTGTTTTCCTGTGGACGAGGAGCCAACCGGAGACGTCATGGACGTCGACGTCACCACAGGAGCTGAAGACGCTGATGCGGGCTTAGACCGTGCAGAGCCCGAAGAGCGACGAGACGTTAGTTTGAGTGACCCCGTGCTGGTGCGTCGCTTTGGATCCTTTGCACCAGCACTGGATACCCCGAATGATGCGCGACTGTCCCGAACAGAGGTCTGCGATGTGCGTGGTAGCACGAAGTCAGATTGAGTTGGCGGGGGAGTGATGGGGGGCGAAGGGGTTGATGCAGGAAGTGGGTGCTTCGACGATGCAGTGGGTCTCGACGACTTCGGTGGACTGTCGAGGATAGTAACATTAGGCTCGTCACGATAATCACGTTGTGGGGGAGGAGTAGGCCGTGGTACATCACTGAATGAAAGATCCATCACCTCATCATCATAAGGAGGGCTGAAATAATCGGGCATGTTAATGTCGTTGTCGTCGTCATCGTCGAGAGGCGAATCAGAAGCACCGCGAGAGTGCGCAGGGAGCTCGCCAGTTTGCTTACCATACTGAGGGACACGGTCAAAATACTGATTGCCGGTGGGCTGACCGCCATGAGGAAGATAGTGATGACCAGAGGGAGGGTAAGGCTGAGCGCCCAATGAGGGAAGGTAATGCTGAGCGCCGGAGGGGGGAGGGTAATGTTGAGCACCAGAGGGGGGAGGGTAATGTTGAGCGCCGGAGGGGGGAGGGTAAGGCTGAGTGCCGGAGGGGGGAGGGTAAGGCTGAGTGCCGGAGGGGGGAGGGTAAGGCTGAGCGCCGGATGGGGGAGGGTAAGGCTGAGCGCCGGAGGGGGGAGGGTAAGGCTGAGCACCGGATGGGGGAGGGTAAGGCTGAGCGCCGGAGGGGGGAGGGTAATGCTGAGCACCGGAGGGGGGAGGGTAAGGCTGAGCACCAGAGGGGGGAGGGTAATGCTGAGCACCAGAGGGGGGAGGGTAATGCTGAGCACCAGAGGGGGGAGGGTAATGCTGACCAGAGGATGACTGAGTGTTATGATTAGAACTGGCAGGCTCAGGATGAGCGCCAAATTGAGCGCTCCCAGAGCGCAGGGTTTCAGAATAGGAGCTACCCGCCTTAGATGATATGGAAAAATAATTTCCAGCGTGGTCCACGCCTGGGCGTGACGAGACCGTTTTGAGAGACACGGCAGGGTTTCCCCCCATGATGCTAATGAGGTCGTCATACCAGGGGAATTCTTTCAGTATTTGCGCTGTGAATTTAGTTAGTAAGACTACAAAAAACAAAAAGAAATACACACCATGCAAGTTCTGAGCAGCATTTTCATCCTGGGGCATGATACCAGCGCCGGTTGCATGTAACTTGTCGTGACATTCACGAAACTTTTTTCTGAGGCTTTGAAAGGAACATCAGTACACAACACGACGGATGCATTGAGAGAACATACCCGTTGATATGATTGTTTGTTGAGTCTCGAAATTTGTCTGGCACAGTCGCATAATACTCCGCATATTCTTCATCGTCCTCGAAAACGTACTTTGCGATAACAGCGCATACTGAAACCTTATCTTTTCCAGAGGGGCGGTCACCATCACCGTGCGATTGCTTTCCGTCCGAGTAAAATAAGATTCGGCAATCCGCCTGATTGTTGTGGAGGTGGTCGATGACCTTTTGCGTGCGGGATGGCGCAGACAGCCATTGGATTTGGATTTTTGCATGATCTGAGCTACTACCGGCAGGATTTCGTCCTCCTCGACTTTTGCTAACTCTTCCACGAGTCACAGGCCTTTGTACTTGTTCCATGGCCTTTTGGCCCCTTCGGAAGGGCGTCTGTAAAGCCCGTAGTCGCGTAGAGCGACGACGAGGTGATGGTCGAACAACAGGCATGAGTTTCGAAGTCCGCCGGGATGCCGAAGTCTGCCGCATGTCTGAGGCATGTCGAGCCGAATTTGGTGAGTTTCTTACCGAGCTTTACCGAGCTTTAGTAAGGGTACTCTGAGTACCCTTACTATGTACATGCGCTAGGTAGTATAAGTGTATATGAACCCAGCCAAGACCCTTAGTAGCCTATGCTGACCCCCCCTGAAAATGGGCGTCTCTGGCAGAAGCTTCCGAAATACAACCCAGTACCTGGTGTTTGATTTTGGATTCTTCACACTGAAATGCGTACCCCTCAAAGTTTGTGCCCTCCTTCCTGTCAGTCACAATTTCCTTTGATATTTTCACCGCAGTTTGTTCTAAATATTGCTTTCCCGTAGAGTACGTAGTACTTATAACAAATGGCCGATAAAGCTATGTTAAATTTTCCTAGCTTGCGTGCGGATGGCGTCATGCTGATTTGATATGATACAATCCCTCACTCACTCCTTTACTCGTAACTCATTACTCAATCTGCCTCGAGTTCCTACCCTTCACTTCCCTCTCTGAGCGGAACACGATGCCAAAGACGTCAATTAATTCGTGATGCAGTGACCTCTGATGGAACCCCACCTTTGAACGTGGAACCCCAGTTTGGAAAGGGGGAGCTTCGTCTTACTAAATTGTATGTCTTCCTCCGAGTCTCGGACCTAGTTGTGATCTGCAGTAGGTGCGTGACGTATTCTGGATGCGGCTGCTCGCATGCAAGCACCTTCTGTCGGCGTTTACTAGTCGTGATGCCAGCTGCTGGACAATATAAATTTTATTAATACATGAAACTCCTTTGCATGGGTTTATCCTCGTACCAATAAGCGGGGCCCACGAACTATTATCAATCTCGTTGTGATTCCATCGAACCGCATGCGATTTCATTCGCACGCAACCAACAACCAAAAGATCAAATGGAACAAGGATGCAAGGTTCCGCGGTCACGATCAGGCACGTAGGACGACCACTAGTAAGACAAACATGGACATGGAGCAACATAAAACACCGAAAAAAGCTAGCAATACAGCAAAATACAGTCTGCATGAAATATCCTGTCTGAGAGTGCTATATGAAACGTGTGGATGTACGTACTGGAATTCAGGGGCGCTAAGGCATACCTGCCATCCGTAGCTCAGACTCGAGAAATTCTTCCATCTCCTCGATAGTTGGACGATTGGCAAGTCCGTGAGGAGACCAGCATCTTTGAATAAAACTCCACTGTGCACCAGTGACGTTCGTTTCTGGAGGACATTTGGGTTTTACGCCTCTCGAAGATAATACAAGGACGCGGATGTTATCCTTGACATCGTAGTAAGGTATTGATCCCGTGAGCAACTAGAGCAATATGGTAAGCGGGTGATGCCACGAGGCATGATGTACTATACCTGCAGGAGAACACTGCCTATTGAATAGATATCAGTCTGCTCCGTTGGGATGCATGTATTTATTTCGCCTTTTTGGACGTCGAATAACTGAGGATCGGTCCATCGCACCGCAGAGCGGATACCCCCAGATGGCTGTGGCAAAGATGGGATTTCTGCGAGCAACGACATGAATCCGAAGTCGCATAATTGCGCTCTGCCCTCATGGTCCACCAGGATATTGAGCTGGACAAGTATCAGCGAACCATACTTCTAGGAACAGTTATCTTACTCCAGATATGTCTCCATGCACAATAGAATGGGCGTGTACTATATTTAAACCCAATGAAAACCATTGCCATGACGAATGAAGTAAAACTTACGATAGCCAAGGCCAGCTACTACCTGTTTGGCCTAAGGCCACGCAGGTGCAAGAGTAAGATATACATTTCCACCGGAAAGGCTATAAGTCTTACGAGATCCAACTTGCTTCCCAGTGACAAACGATGATTAGCGATGTATTCATTCAACGACCCGTTGTTTACCCAGGGCGTCACCAGTGACGGAAAGTGCCCGAATTCATATGCAATTCCATATAGTGGCAGAACGTTTCTGTGGAGTAATTGCGCCCAAGATGATATTTTCCCCATCAGTTTCTAAGTCGTGGGTAAACGGCTTTTCCTGGACACAAACGAAAGAACGGACTTGACAATTATTGCTTTTTTCATTCTCATTCGCAAATGGAATTTTCAATGATTTGACCGCAACCTTTTAAAAAAACAGTCATTTTTATTGTGAGGATTCTAATATGTAAAGTTCACTTACATCACGCTTTTCATTGTCATGGGACCACGTTGATAGCCAAACATCACTGTACGTACCCGACAACGTAGGGTATATTTTCCGACGAACGATTTGGCTGGTGAGATCAGGAGCGGAGTTACACTGAGTTTCTCCCGCAGGATGCCGCTGAGAATTGACCGGAGTGGTTGGTGTCCACTTGGAAGAATCCGGTAATGAATTCATGGAGCTGTTCTAGAATTCAGCCAATAAAATGCGAGGGAAGTCATTTGTGTACTCAGGAACGTCAGTGTTGTGGATGACTGGACTCGGAACGATGCCTTGCGGACTGGGGTACAAGCCTCCAACAAACGAATGGAGAACCATTTGTCGGTAGGACCATCGCATCAACGTCAAAGGTAACTTTACCACTAGTCTGACATATGAAAGCAGACCATAAATGCCGAAACCACGTTGGGGAGCTGTAGGGGTGTGGCCCAGCGGATCGTTGGGCATGACCTGTAGCTGTTACAAACCAGTATGGGGGGTGTTAGAAATTGGACGTCGAATGCATGCCAGGCCATATTCATACTTGCCAGGTCGCGGCATTGTATGTTGCCATCAAAATGTTGCCATCAAAATTCCCACAGTGGCCATTGACCAATTAGGCTATCCACGTTATCGCCTACATACAGTTCATCAAATTCCCACACTGGTTAGGGAGCTTCAAGTGAAAACCCAAAATTCAGTGTTTGAGGGACTAAATATAGCTAGGGTCGGCTGACGCACCTTTTAAGTCGTTATTAACTCAAGTCAACTCGGCGGCTCCTGTTTGCGACCCACGAAAAAGTGTGCGATCAGAAGCCATACTCGTAAGCGTCCGTAACACGCTTATAGCGTTCATTTCAGTGGTTTTGCAGATTGGCACTATGATACACTGCCAGGGCTTACAATGTCATAGTACGGCTGCTCAATTGAATCATTCAGTTTGCGTTCACCTGGGAGCTGAGTGCGGCCACCGGGTCAAGCTTTAAGCTTTAAGCACTGCCAAGCCTGTCCTAAACGGGACTTGTACCTACAAGTCTACTCTATGGAAAAGTTAGGAAAAGGTTCAGGATTAATGTTAAGCCTATGGATTAGGCCTGATGGCACTATGGCATGATACGAGCGCTTATTGTGTACATATGTTGAGCAGCCCGGGCCGTCAATTGAGTCATATGAACGTTGGCATTGGTACCAAGTTCCAAAGTCGTTTGCAAAACTTTGTATCTAAAGTTTCATTACGGTAGCGCTACGTGCTGTTCGGAATGGGCCCGGATCAGTGTATTAGTGCCCAGGTGGGAAACACGAGTTCTTTAATGCATCAAGAATTGTGTGGTTGGCATATACAATAAGCGCTCGCCGTATCATGCCATAGTGGACGCAATTCCGCTGCCTCGTGTAGGTAATGATGAGGCTCCCAGCAGCCTGGGCCCTGAACGCATGGCCATCAGTAGTGAAGACCTCAACCACCGCTTGGTAAGTATATTTCCTCATCATTCTTACAGCTAGCATTGCAAAGTAGATCGAGATTGGCTCCCAGGATCCCACACCCAACCCAGTACTCAATATCCCCGACTTCAAGCTCAAGCTTCAACGTTTCAACTCCCTTAGTGCTGCCAGCTCTGACGCCACCCAGGGAAAATCGTCGCTGCTCCGAATTCTGCTTCCTCATCTTCGTGTCCCACCCTCTCCCACAAAACCTGGGTGAGAAGTGTAGTCTCCTTCACAATATTTTGTTATTGAAATTTTAATTATGAATCGACTCAATTTTTAGTGTCTACTTGACTGAGTGAGCACCGAGATGAAGATGTAATATACAAATTATGACTACCAATATTCGACAGGAACATGTATATGAACAGTAGGGTGGTACGCACGAGGTGGGACTACAAGAAAAATACAGGATACAGTGGAAATCACTGAAGAAAAAATATGAAGGCACCTGCCGCGAGGTAGCGGTAGTAGTTCACTGGTGGAGAAAGACAGCAAGGGAGAAAATGTCGACAACGAACGCAAAGGGGACCGACGCTAGATCTTGACGCGGACATGCTGCTTGGTCGTGATGCGCTGTTCCGAAAATATTTGACCGGCAGCAACGGCATAATCATGGCGAGACGGGCGCAGAATTGGTGTAACTTAAGGGTTAAGGGGGGACGCGGAGAAGTGGCGCCATTCATGAGCACTAGGGTAGGACAAAAAGGGCAGAGGATGCTGTTCACAGAAACCACGAGCTCGACGAGTAGGACAGTGAAGACGACAAAAAGATTTGTACCACAGTTTGCAGGGTCCAACCTTTACTAAATAACGTCAGCCGAACATATGGCTACTGACATGGTTTCTGAAACTCAGAGAGCTGATAAGACTAACAGGTCACACATCACTCTGCTGCGAGGCTTGTGGGCATAAATGGCATTAGATGTAGAAAGGTAATTTCAGCGCGTATGAAAACCAGGCTCACTGCAGGTGCGACAATTCATTCAAGCACATTCAAACAGGCCTACACAGAACAAGCTTTGGTTTGATTAGTATGCCTGCGTGAGTTCATGACGGGGATTGAAAGACTCACAGGGGTCAAGAAGACACCATCGTTTGAATATCAGGTGGTTCTGATAAGGTCACGGCATTCGCGGATTGGGGGACGCAACCAGGGCACCGGCGTACCTTCGACTGGATTGTATTGTCCTTCATAGAGTACTCTATCGATAGGCCAGATCCATTTTCGTTCATTCACCGCTTTTGTGGAGCTGGACAGTGGTTGGAAATGAACAGGTTCCTAGCCCTGAGTGGAGCATGTTGAAACCTGCGAGTACCAATGCTGAGCTCATGCTGGCATAATCCGAAGTAACAGAGACGATGTTAAGCATACCATAATGAATTGGTGGTAAATAGTCACACGAGCTCAGAGGGGTGTCATCAAACGAGCAGCGTACTATATCATGGTAGAATTTTGAATTTCGATTGCGCAGTCCAGTCACGTGCGAAAAATAAACGGCGGACTTAGAAAAGAGGTCATGGGTAGACTGGTGACCAGCCCCTCTATGAGGCAAACCGTCGATAGAGGGACTGGTAAATCTGGGTTTGAATTTGGATAGTGCGCGCTTTGGAGTCGTCACATGACCTGTAGCCAATAAGAAAACTGAAATTTTTGACGTGAATATTTGAAATGTTGAAATTAATGTTTGATTCATATTGATGTGATGTATACACGGTCGCGTCATTAATGTATGTATCTACTCTACAACTCCAATGGACGTGAACTCTATCATCCAAGCTGTGCAGGAAGCCTCGATGGAAGGACTAGATTCATTTGCTCGTTCGCTGATACAAGAACGGCTCCCTACCGACTATATCGAAACCCTCAGTGACAAGGATAAGACGGATGTGTTACGCGCTTGCCTGCTCGTGTACATCCTCACGGCTACAACCATTGTTCCACGAGTATTCCAGCTAGAAGCCATTCTTGCAACATTGAATGGCCATGACAGCATAATTACAGCCGGTACAGGCTGCGGAAAGACCTTGTGTCTCATAATTCCGAATCTACTTCGTCCAGACACTATCAGTGTGACGATTTCACCTCTGAAACGTCTCCAGATCACACAGGTAAGATTCAAATTGATATTGACTTGTATTACATGCGAGAATAAGCTCATGGTAGGTGAATGAATGCATGAAATACGGCATATCTACAATATCAATCAATGAAGACACCCCAAATGATGCGTTAGGGTCCAGTATTGTGACGAGGAAGTCTAGGATAGATATGCGACCATCCCGCAGTGTTTGGAGTGCGCTGTTGATCCGATCGTGAGTAGACATCCGGTTTCGTCTGGTACTCGGTGTAGGGATTGATGCTGGAGATCCCATGGTAATGTCGACAAAGCCAGAGTCCACGGAGCGATTTAGATCAGTCTCAGCAAGTACTGAGAGGTCTCCGTCACGTTCGAGCCATCCTTGAGACATCCTGGAATCCTTCCGAGTTGAGAAGAGCTTGAAAGTTAGGACCACTAGACACAGTGAAAAAAGATTGATTTGAGGCAGAATACATAAATAGAGCACGTCTCAAACGTTAGGCTGCCCCACAGCAGTTGGAATGAAAGCTGATCACTGCTGGAGACGACGGGCGACATTACATAGAACAACGGTACTTGTAATGTATGATCGAATAACTTAGCAGACTTATCTAAGCAAGGTCTAAGTCCCGAACAGGGTTTTCCGTCATGTGACGACTCCAAAGCGCGCACTATCCAAATTCAAACCCAGATTTACCAGTCCCTCTATCGACGGTTTGCCTCATAGAGGGGCTGGTCACCAGTCTAGGTCATGGGCCCGGGGTACTATATAGTAACCTAATTCAATTGCAATGTGGTATTCGGGACTACGGTGGATAGCGATAGTAGGATGTTGGCCTGACCGATCGATCAGCGCTAGCGCTCAGGCGCTCAGGGATAATCGATAACGAACCAGGGTGCACAAAACCCAATCTGCATAGTAAAATTCAGTGGCCCCCAGCCCAGTGAACGCTTATTCCGCGAACATCCGAATACGATAGGCTAACTCCCCGCTAGTATCAGATCTCGGTAGCATTCTTAGCAGGCCATTGTGTACCAGCATGGCCCGGGTATGTGTGATATGCCACAACTACCAGACTTAAATTCACGAACACCAAGTTGAATTTCACAGGAGAGGCATTCAAACCAGCTTGTCGCATCCATGGCAAATGTTCATATCCAGTAGGAGCGTTATTCGCGGAGAAGCACTGGTTAGCCGCTACACAGCACCGAGTTGTACTCCCGAAGCTATTCTTGTGATACGAGAAGCCATGACTCTTGTGGAGTTAACAGCATTGTAAGTACCAACACTATTGCAGTAAGGACACCTGATGTTACAAGGGTCTACCAGTTGAACTCCGCAAACTTACATCATGGTCAAACCTACTACTACCTGCTATGGTGAATTCATTCATTTGGGATCAGGCTCAGCCGCCGTGACCAAGGTGATCTCCACTGGATGTTTTTAGAAAAATTGCAGCCAGGATCGCATGTTCTGGCGCGTCAGAAAATTCGAAATGAGTGCTCGTGCTGATATGTGGTGGCAAGTTTATGTTCACCGCTTACTTCTGTGAAACTTGCAAGGATTTTCCCAGTCTAATAAATATGAGTTCGCTCGCTCCCCACTTGCTGTAGCTCCTCACTTTCCATTCTCGAAAGATTTATCCAGTCTTCTCTTCGCTGCTACCCCAGCATCATGGCACATCCACTTACGGAGGATTCAGAATCTAATGGCGAGTAGTGTTCTACCTGGTGGATCAACGCTGATGACCAATGATTAGGCACTGACTTGATGAGATGGCTGCGCGTCAATTTGTTGCCGTCTTTCTCATACTTCCCTAGGGAGAATGTCACTCCGGTGAGTATTTGCTTATTAGTGGGCGCCCAGTGACAGACATTCACCGAATTCTGTATGCCGATAGGGCAATGGTTCCGATGATTCAAAAGCTGTCCTGGATTCTCCCCCAAGTGGCACTGACCCTGAATCGTCTTATGTTACCTCGCCTTCTGGGTCGCTTTCAACATTCGAGGACTCTGCTGTTGCATGTGAAGCCCCTTCCTTCGAGAGTGATCTTCGTTCATCATCGATGCAACATTGCCCAAAAATGTGTGTATTCCTCTCTGAAACATGCATCATTTCGAGCTGAGGTTGAATGTCTTTATGTCCAGGGAAGTTGACTTCAAAAGATACGGCGAGGAACCTGAGAATCTCACAACTCATATTGCACGCACCCAGAAGTACCCCCACAGCAATGGCGGATTCGGCAATATTTGGAAGTGTATATTGAAAAATTCTTTCCTCCGAAACGGTACTAAAGTTCGTTGACTAATTGTTCCGCTTTCAAAAAATCAACTCAATTCTAATAGGTATCCCCGCAAGACGTTGCAGTGAAGTCTCTCATAGTGCAATCAAGGCGTCCAGAGGATATACAAGAATTGATCAAGGTTGGTTCTCATGCAGTCGATGTATATGACATCTACCATCGCTCTCTATCCAGAAACTGCGCCAGGAAGTCTTTGTTTGGCAAAAGCTAGAACACAGCCATATACTGCCTCTCTATGGCATTGCGGACGAATTTGACGTCCTCCCGGCGCTAGTATGTCCGTGGATGAAAAACGGTTCTCTCGGTGAATATCTTGATACAATGTGGTGTGAGCAGCAGCCGCCGCCCAAAATGCATATCCTCTTTCTTCTTGTGAGCACTTATTATTTGTGTCTTATAACCGCATTCTCAGATCAGTCGAAATACAGCTCTCTCAAGTCGTTTTAGGTCTGCAGTATCGTGAGTGAATTTAGTTGTGGCTATGTGACCTCATTTAGATGATACACGATAAATCAGTGCATTCTAAAAACATTATACACGGAGACCTTATGCCTGTATGTCACAAATTTTCCACCAGTCAGTCCGTGTTGCTCATAAAATTCCAGCCTAATGTTCTGATCGACGAGAACGGGGATGCTCGCCTTGCGGACTTTGGTCTGTCGCGCCTGCTGGCGGATCATGAGACGTCTTTCTTTGCATCTTACAGATCAGGCGCAATTCGTTGCGCTGCTCCAGAAATCATACCGCTTGATCTTGACAGTTCCGACGAATGTGCTAGCAAGCCAAATGAAGCGAGTGACATTTATTCATTTGGTTGCATTATGATGCAGGTAACGCCAAGAGCCTCTTATCTTCAGCGAATGAATGATTCCAATATTTTATTAGGTGCTATCTGGCCGCATCCCGTATTTCGACATGAAGGCAGAGCCTCGTGTCATTGTGGCCAAATCTAAAGGCATTCTGCCAACACGACCCCCATCGCCTATAATCGCCGATGATCACTGGTACTATATTGAACAATGTTGGTCGACGCAGATCGAGATGCGGCCTTCGGTTGATCACGTTCTGGACTATATAAAGGGAGAGCACGACAAGTTTAAACAGAGTTAGCTGTTCCTGCTAGTGATACAAACGAGTTGGTCTCGAACACTACATTTTCTCGTGTCCTTGCAGTCGTTGTATTTATTCCAGTGCCACTTACATCCCATAACTTAAAACTCCGCGACATTGATGGCAATTTCATACACATCGGGGTGAACGATATTTAAAAGAGGTTTATATGTTGTACAAAATGTGAAGACAATATTTAATATTTAAACTAACATAAAGATGGGTGCACGACTTCAAATTTTGGTGGTGTTTTGTGTGTAATCCAAAATATCAAATATTCACAACCATATTCCCACAGACAATATGTCAACAAACATAAGAAATATAGTCAGATTTTTCATGTCTGCTTCAACTTAAAGTTCAATTTCCATGTAAAACTTTGGAGAAAACTTGAAGTTTTACAGATGACATGACATTAAAACTCGATTTAAATGTCAAGCTTTGGCAAAACTTCAAGTTTTCTCCAAAGTTTTATGTAAGAATCAAACTTTAAATTGAAGCAGACATGGAAAATCTGATTATATTTATTATATTTGTTGACATATTGTCTGTGGGAATATGGTTGTGAATATTTGATATTTTGGATGACACACAAAACACCACCAAAATTTGAAGTCGTGCACCCATCTTTATGTTAGTTTAAATATCAAATATTGTTTTCACATTTTGTACAACATATAAACCTCTTTTAAATATCGTTCACCCCGATGTGATAATAACACCCGGTTCCCAAATCTTTGCAAATTGAAAACGGTCTCATCGACTCATCCCACCGCTTGCTGTGCTGAGTGATGACGAGAGCTCTCAGGTATAGTGGAGTCATCGTGACTGACGACTCTGAGTCAGAATGTCACAGCCAGTCTGGCGGTTTATAAAGAGCACCCCATTACTTAGGGGATGTCTTTGTCGTGCTCGTCTTGCCACCTGCACCACAACCCAATTTATCAGACCTAACTCGTTTTTTTCTGCCGTTACTGCAAGGATGTCCACAACTACCGTTATGACTGCCCCCCTTGCTGCTGCTTCCTCCCAGGACGTCACTCTCCCCGCTATCCCTGAGCTCACCAATCCCGACTTCCTTGACGTTCTCCTTCCTGTTTCTGAGGATGCTAGCCTTATCAAAATGATCCCCGAAAATTCTCCACCACAACTCAATGCTATGATGGATGCGCTCCGTTCGACTGCTCACCACAAGCTTACTGAGAATTATTCGCCTGCCTTTAGTTCCACTCTTTCGGCCACACTCGATGCATTCAATGGCATACGTCCTGGTATATCTGGGTCTGTCGTTGATGACTATCTTTCCAAGGCCTGGGCTGAAGACCCAGCTCTCACCCTCCGAATTATCTGGTCTCTCAGGAGCATCCATGATGGGAAAGGCGACAAGGAGCTCTTTTACATGGCGTTTGGCTGGCTCTTCCAATATCATCCTCGCACGGCTCTTTCCAACCTCCATCTTCTTGTAGAGCCTGTCTGTACTCGCCTCCGTCCTGTCAAAGGCAAAAGTACCAAGAAGCGCGTGAACATGTCTCACGGGTACTGGAAGGACCTGCTCAACATTCTCGCATTGGCTACTGTCGACGAGCTTCATCCTGCCCCTGATCAATTCAGCTTCCTTCATAATTATACACCTCGCAACTCTCGCCCTAAATTCAAGTCTAATGCCGAGCAGGAAGCATGGTCGAGGGAAAGGCGCGTTCAGACCTATGGTTTGAACCACGCACGAATTGTGGAGAAGCTACGGCAGCCAAAGTATCGTGCTCTGTATATCGCGGTCTCCAGGCTATTTGCAGATCGGCTTGTCAAAGATGTCTCGATTCTTCATGAGCTAGCCTCCCTTCCAGCGGATGCGGAACAGAAGGACCGCGTATCTCTCATATTTTCGCTCTCCCTAGCGACAAAATGGGCACCCTCTCCTGGGGGGTCGCATGATAGGGTCACAAACATCACCTCCGCTATCTGCATCCTCCTGCACCATGCTCAAATAACATCTTGCCTTGCGCACAAAATCCCTGTCACACTTTCCCCCAGTGCCCTGGAGTTGCATGTGTTGCGTTCCTTCCTCCGCCGCCACATCCTTTCACCTTCTCGTCGTCTCAAGTCCCTCCCCGAGCCCCTCATGTCCGCTAATCGCTGGTCCGAAATCGTCTACTCCCGTGTTTCATCCGTCTGCATGGACAACAATAAGGAACATTTCTTCAATAACGATCCTGACCGATTTGTTTCTTATCTGACAGATGTGGAATCAGGAACGAAGCAGATTAGTGGTGCAACGCTCCTCCCGCACGAGCTTGTCATGCAGGCGGCGGCATTCGTGCGGCATTCGCCAGTGGAAAGGAGGCAATCCCTGGAAGGTGCCATCGAGGAGCACAAGCGTAAGCTTGTGGAGACACAAGCGCGTGTGGTGGAGGCACAGTGGGCAACGCTTCTCGAGCGTCTGCGCGAGGCTGGGGAACTAGACAGCTGCATTGCCGTCTGTGACGTCTCGGGGTCCATGGGCAGTGTCTACTCTTCCCATGGCGGTTCACGCCGGTACTCTGTATATCCCATCTGGCCTGCTATTTCCCTTAGTCTTATCTTGGCGCGTCTTGCGAAGCCGCCTTTCAAGGACGCGTTCATCACTTTTTCTGCGAATCCACAGATGATCGTACTTGATCCTGAGGGCACTGTTTCGCTCGGCGAGACGGTGATGAAGATGTCGACATCTCAATGGACCATGAACACCAACTTCAACGCCGTCTTCCTCGACCTCCTTCTCCCGCTCGCCAAGAAGCACTCCGTGCCTCAGGACCAGATGATCAAACGGATCTTCGTGTTCACGGATATGCAGTTCGATGCGTCTCAGCAAACGGACAAGTTTCTGGAGACTGCACCGAATGCGGCGGAGTGGGAGACGAACCATGATGTCATCGAGAAGGCGTACAAGGAGGCAGGGTACGAGATGCCGGAGATCGTGTATTGGAACCTGTCCACCGCGGAAAGATACCCAGGTATCACTGCTCCTGTGACCGCCGATCGGAAGGGCGTTGCGCTGCTGGACGGGTACTCGCCGTCACTGTTGAAGGTGTTCATGCCAGGTGGAGAGGAAGAAGAGGAGTGGGAGAATGTGGTTCAGGACGGGGAGGAAGCGACGGTCAAGAAAACGTTCACTCCTGTGGAGTTTATGACGATGGCGTTGGGGAGGAAGAGTTTCGATGGGCTGATTGTCATTGATTGATGATTTGGTTTTAGTCACTGTATCACTAGCATTTCTCACCACTCGTTTAAATTATTTGTATCATATTCAATGCACGCACTTCTCATCCAAATGAAATTCCAAGTTCTGAGCTTGTAATAAGCCTATATCTAATCGCAAAACCGCTAATTAAGTTTGTGATCGTCTGCTTATGGGGAGTGCCCATCCTTCGAACAACTCGGAGCTGTTGTATGAGGGGCCAGGGCCACCATTGCTGGCCGATATCACCGAGATTCATCAGAAAATTGTATTGGACTTCGTGTCATATGGTAACATAAGGTAGGACGTGACAGGCTCGTAATTGACAGGCTCGTAATATACAGTTCTAACATACACAAAATATAAATCGTTACGAAGTAGCTTCAGTAGACATTGATAAGCACTGGATCCGGCGACACCAGCTAAGATCCCGAGCGCCAACTATGAATACAGTCATCAATGTATCTGTGATAGAGAGCCTTTCGCTATTCCGTTGACCACCACTCCGTTGAATGAGTAGATAACAACGCCAGTGATGAAGCCTGCGACAGAGTAGGCTAGGAATACAAGTGGGAGAGATAGTAGGACACTTCGGCGCTGAGAACAGGGTGATGTTAGCATAGGATCATGATGAAGCAAGTGACAAGAACATACAGAGAGAAGTACAAATCCTTCGGAGCCCGACGTGGGCGTCCCGTGCGCCAATTCCGTCTTCTGACGTATGATGGAAATGAACGAGGTGATCATGCTCAATACTGAGCACATGATGGCGACGAGACCTGATATGCGTGCGATACCACTCAGACCGGGTAATGTCATGAGTGTCACAGAAGCACTGAGGATGACAGCGGCCTGGATCATATTAGTTATCTAACCCCAGGCTGAGGGATGAAGCTCACAACTAGACATGCACAAGCACCAGCCAGGAACAAAGGACCACCAGAATTAGACACGACGTTGCCCTCCAAGTCAATGTGGCCACCATATGTTGACCGGTCAACGAGGAAGAATGGAATACCGAGACAGAGAATACCAGTAATGATATCGACAATCATGCGACCTACAGGAACGCGTCGTATGGGGCGTCGCATGACAGGGACATCGTGGGGAAGAGGCTTGTGTGGTCGGAAGTGCATTTGACGCCAGTGAGCTGCAGCGTTATACAATCAAGAAGTGTTCAACCTTATTTGAGTACTACATACCGACGCGAAGCAAGATACGGGCAATCATCCGCGTATGTGTTGTAGTTGACCGCAGGTTGGGGTCTGTACAGGGGATCGATTAAGTGGTCACTTGAGAAAGTGGACGATAACGGACCATTGAGATGGCCTAACAACTTGTGACACTCCTCCTGGGTGAAGGGAGGGGGGATCGGCTGAGGATGTGCCAATAATGGGTCTGTGTAAGACCAATGAAGAGCGTCCAAAGCTTCCTGCCGAGCACTCGGCGGCAATGAATATGCGCAGGGTGAGTCTCCACAAATGACCAGTATCTGTATTCGTCATCAAGTCCTGTGTGTTATCGTTAGCAAGTGAGTGGAATACGAAAAGGCATCACTGACTGTCATCTTCCCCAGAAAAGATAATTCCATCAACACTAGGGATATCACTCGAGACTCTGCGGATTCGATGGTCTATCCAACTGATAACCGGCCCTCCAGTCACCTTCTGTCTTCTCCAACCTCTCTTCACGGCGGGACCTTCTCTGACCCACATTTCACATCCTTCAGGGGCACTACCGGCCATTTCCACAACCGACATAACCGCTTCCAACTTAGCCAAGTTGCGAAGATCAATATCAGTCGTAGCCTGAACACGCGGATTCACAAAGTATTTGGCACCGTGAGGTAGCGCCTGCTCTATCCATCCACGGCCAGCATACGGCCTGGACACTGACCCATACGAATAAGTATGTGCGGAGCCATTGCCATCGAGGCGAGCAGGCTGAGCTCGCTGTGGAGTGGGGTGGCTGACACCGAAGGCATGTGGATGATAAGATTCTGTCTCTGGGCTGGGCTGCGAAAACGTGGTCACGATGGGAGGCGTAGATGGGCGACCTTGGCGAATGATCAAGGGGAGACGCTCGCTGTAAGGTTAGATTAGACGTAGGACCTCGTGCAAATACCGATCTGGACAAACTTCGTTTCTATGGGTATGTCTCTGCTCGGGATGTACCCAGTACTAGCCCCGTCGCTCGAGGTGTAGCCCGAAGAGACTTGCCGAACGGAGCTATCAAGGATTAAGATACGTTGAGGGACATTAACGCACAACTCACTGGGAAAGCATGACTTCATGCAGGGCGGGTAGTGGTACCGCCACTGGTTCAGCAGGAGCTATCATGGTTTCATCTCGTGGTGATCGAGGGTCAAAATGACTAACAGGATTATTGTTTCAAAACTAGTGCAGAAGATACAGCACATACTCGTGAACAATGGGCGATGCAAGGTCAGCCGGCTGTTGAGGGGGGTAGAGATGGTAGCCCGGAGCGCGCGGGCCTGAATCTGCGAACGGGTCCTCTGAATGTATTCTGAATTGCTCATCAGACCATTGTCAAAGAGAACAAGTAGAAAAGACGCACGCTAGGCTTGCCTTGCTTTGGTTGAATTCACTGTTAGGACTACTCCAAGTGTACGTGGTACCAATGATTTCCCGCTCACGAGGTTGGAAGGTCGAGCTTGGCTTCCGGCTTGGTTGTCGCTGGGCCATCACCTGCGCAGAGGAGACCGACGAACCCCGAGGACGGGAAGTGGTTTTCGCTACTTTAGATGTTGCTGGGTGATTGGCAAGTGGGTCGAATTCGGTGACAGGGGCAGGCGCTGGCGCTGGCGCAGGTGGAGGTGCTGACGCAGGTGGAAGGGGAGGCGAAGCTGAAGGGGAGATATGGTCTGCCCAGACGTTTGCTCCCTCATCTACATGCTCATCCAGCGGAGACGACGTGCGGGGAACTGAAAGGTCAAAGTAACCCGTAGTTGTGGCAGGGCCAGGTGCCTGTGCAGGAGGTGTTCGTGGTGCGGAGGGTGGAACACGAGAAATCTCCGATGGAGGTGCTGGAGGTGTCGAAGCTTGTGCACGAGATGGTGCAGATGGTGCAGTGGGCGCAGGTGCTGACGAGGAAGCAAGTTGCCGGGGTGCTGCTGAAGTGGCATCTGCTGCCTTTCCTGCTGGAGGAGATGTAGCAACTGGAACTGGAGGGGTGGGTTCACGGGGTGGGACAGCTGCTGGAGGAGGAGTAGCGGTCGAAGCTGGAGGGGTGGGTTTACGGGGTGGGGCAGCTGCTGGAGGAGGAGTGGCGGTCGAAGCTGGAGGAGTGGGTTTACGGAGTGGGGCAGCTGCTGGAGGAGGTGAAGCGGTTGAAACTGGAGGCGTAGGTTCACGGGGTGGGGTAGCTGCTAGAGGAGGAGTAGCGGTTGGAACTGGAGGCGTGGGTTCACGAGGTCGAGCAGCTGCTGGAGGAGGTGAAGCAGCTGGAACTGGAGGTGTGGGTTCACGGGCTAGAGCAGGCGGAGGTGTCGTAGAAGGGGCTGGAGTAGGTTTCGGAGCGGCACTGGGAGCCTGTGTTGAGGCCGGAGGAGCAGATGCTTGAGCACGCTCTCCGGGTGGGCCAATTTCTTCTGGTTCGTCTGTGAACACAGGGGAAAGGGTATTCTCAGCCGCGGGTCCGGGCGAATTAACCACGACGGAAGGAACTGCGAAGGCGGGCTCAGGTTTGGGCTCTTCGGTAGCTTTACGTGATCCTTCGGGCGCTCGGGGTGAAGGATCCGAAGGATGTTCGGCGGTAAAAACGCCCCCTGAAAGTGGAGATGTACTCTGATTTGGAGAAGCCGCCTCACTAGCAAGGGCAGCTGCTTCACGAGCAGGTGACTCAGGGATGGTACTGGGGGCCATTTGGCTAGGAGGAGGTGTGGTGTCGACCTGCGTAAGGGACGCGGTGGAGGCCTCGCGCTCGAACTTTGGAGAGGTTGATCCTGCTATGGAGGCAGAATCAGGCTCTGTGAGAGGGGGAGTTGCTGAGCCTGAGCGATTTGGCAATGTTGGGAGACCCCAGCTCGTAGAGGAGCGACGCATCGCAGTTCCCATACGAGAGCGAAGGGTCTTCTTGGGAGGGGGCGTCGTAGACATCGCTTCAAGTTCGCTAACAAGCGATGTGGGCGATCGTTAAGAAAAGCAAAAAAAAAGTAAAATGCGAGCAAAAACTATAGATAACACACTAAAGCACACAGTGCGGGTAGGATGTCAAGGGGGTGCAATGTGGACCAACGTCGGACTGTGCGGTCTAAATAGTAGCGATGCCTGGCGGTTTCGACGAGGTGAAAGACGTGTTTTACTCACAAGCACCGGTTCTAAACAGCAGTGATATGATGAGATGCGCGCGATTAGTGGATGATAATCGCGTGGTTGACCATCAGGAGAACACGTGTAGGTTCTATGAGGTGTAAGATACCTCATGTGAGACCCTAAAGCCCGCTGCGGATCCGAACATTGATAATGCTAGTGTCGCAGACGAGAAGGAATGACCCTATCAGAAGTCGGGAGTCATCAGGTGGATATGCTGTAAAGTTGCAGACAGAGATATTGCGCCATGCCTCAGGTCACATTGATCAAAAGCCGAGCCCCTTCCGCGATGGGCACAGCTTCTTAGCCTCGTGAATGTATGTGATGCGGTAAGAAGGGGGATGTATGAGGCGATACGATCGTACACGTTGTTACCTGCCCCAGGACTCGTGTTTTCCATTCCCATCACTTTTAGACCCTGGCCAGCTTCTTTTGTCGCTGTATCAGTTAGACGCCAGCATATTTTCTGGGTCCTGACAGGCTGAGCAAGCAGACATGTCTCGGACACAAATTGTGCAGTGTCTGTATCCCATTCAAATGGAAGAGGGCAGTCGGGTGGTTTTTAGAGTCAATATGAATCCATGATACATTGCTGCGCCCGGCTGGTATGAGACGTCGGAAACCCAAATCTTGCAATAAACCAGTCCTGATTCATCCCAGCAGCTCATGATACAGTAGTTGTTTGTACATATTGAAAACACAGGCCTTTGCCAAACAGAACCAGACAGTATGTACGTCCGTACGCAAGCGCCACCATCAAAGTTGTGACATTAACATGACACTCGACCTATCAAAAGTAACTTATAATTAGGAGTACGGAGTCAATGGTGAAATTTTGAGAAATACATACGCAATCATTCGTACTTGGTACGTATGCACTGTAAGTTAGTGACTGGACACGTACTATAGCCAATTCGATGACAGAAAGTCTAAAAGTGTAACAAATCCCAGAATTTTGACCAGAACCTACGCACGCTGGTTTTGTGTCTTGTAAAAAAGGTATTCTTCCTTGTGCAAACTGATGCTTTAGAATCCAGTGACACTTTGTCAATGGAAGACAATGAGGGAAAGTCGCGTGACACCACCATATAAATTGCTGAATTCGAATCCATGCCAAGGAAGTAATCGGAAGGATCCACTAACGTCTGCTTATTCAGTCCAGTAAGAAAATGCGCGATCTATGTATAGATGTAAAACACGCCGCACTCACCACGTCTGCATCTGCGCTATCCTCGATTAGGCGGTCCGAAGTTGCATTCCATTTGAAGGAGCGCCAACGGTGTTTGTGGCATTCGAGCTCACACATGAGTGACTGACGCTTGAGTTCACGAAATCGCTCATACTCCATGTACGAGCGTCTAATGTATTGTGAGGTCTCATCAGCCCATGGAGCTGCATCGTCAATGGGAAAGAGAGCCTCTTCAGCTTTGTGTTCCACCCATGACGAGTCCCAGTGGATGGTTATATCGACTGGTAATACCCCACTTCGTGTCAGCCAGACCCGCGCATGGTGGGCATAGTCTTTTTCTCGGTTGGAAATTGATATCATAGTCCAGAGAGACTGTGTTTGGAGGGTGAGGTATCGCCAGCGTTTGCAGACGTGCGACGCAATAACAATTCCGGGTAGTATGCGGGGACCACCGAGGGTCCCTGTGAGTTGGAAGATGCTTAGGAGAAGTTCCGCTGGAAGGCAGTTAATATTGTGCAGGTGACTCATGTCCTGCCAATAGTCTTAGACCAGATCAATTCCAATTCTCAGAGGATGGTGCACTTACGACAACAAAAACTTGCAAATGCTTGGGGAAGAGTCAATGTCCTGACGAGAAGAAAGAGTTCTAAACTTGAACTAGTGCCTCAGCGCCCAATTTAAAACTTCCTTGAAGGCCATGCCATAAAAGGCGTTGCGCCTCATGGCATCACTTAATGGAATGCGCGAGGCAGCGACTTATAGTGAGTCCGAGTCATCATCCCACCGCACAGGGCACCACGATGCATCTTCTACAATAAATTAAAGGCTAGATTTCATGAAATTGCTTGCTAACGTTCAGCGCAGCGCTCGGCGCTCACAATTGCCACGGGAGATCCGGGCCCACTCCGCACGAGTCGGGGCGTATATTCTGGTAGGTTAATGAGTTATCAGGACTCCTGACCAAGGAGAAAAATAAGGTACCCTTGATAATAAAGTCCAGATCGTTTCAATAATTGGAGGTGTTTTTGACAGAATTGATCACGAGATTCAAAAGACACTTACCAAATCGTAACGCCGCGTACGCGCCAATTCCCGACGACGCCCGACACCGTTTTGGTTCAACTTAAGCTTTGGTTCGACTCTCAAACACTGTCAGATCTGACATGAGTTAGTGTGTTGTTTTAAATTCGAGGCTGTTCAATGTGTAATGTGTTTGCTAGAGCGAGCCTGCCCGCTCTCGAAATGCCATGTCCTCCAAACAATAACAGCGGTCACGAAAGCTTGCCCATAAACATTTTCAAAGAAAGCAGAGAGCAGCGGGAGAAAAAGACGATCACATTTAACCGGGAGGTTCGCTGATGCAAATTTACCCAATACTTCGGGCACAGACTTCGTGAGGAGAGTCGCACGCAGTTCGAGGAAATGGTGGGAAATGGTGGCGACGAAGTTGGGCTTAGTGCGACGGACGACACGCAAACCTGGAACATGTCAGATACTCTCGAATAAAGTAGAGGAAGTACAGCGTCCAAGTGAGATTTGATCATCTCTTCGGATAAAAAAAGCCAGGGGGGATACTGTACCAACAGGCAAGCAAAAGAAAGAGCTTGGCGAGAACTATGGGAGAGTTGACGCATGAAGGAACAGTGGTGATAACCTGCGCTCTCGAAAACACTAAGCGACAGCGAGAGATATACATCAGAGGACGTGACAACAATGCGGACACCGTCGAACAATATGCATCCTGTGAACGGGTTTCTACACACCAAGCAGGAGCGGTGATGGGACACGAGACTCCAGCAGCCAGGCACAGAAGGTCTGAGCAGTAGCAAAAATCGCGTGATGATATTGGGGATAATAAAGTGCATCGTAAAATTCACAAATATCGTGAACAGTGGCAGGGGGACAAATTGAATGTCCTCGTCCACCACACGAGAGACGCGCGAAGGCTCCTTGTTCAAGAATGTCCTAGAGAACAGAAAGTGAATAGGTGGTTGAAATCCCGTTATCGTCGTAAGTCGGTGAACTGCGAACATAGTGACTAGCATATGTACCGCTGATTAAGTAAGCACGCTACGAGCGATTCACATTCCAACATGGGTGATCAACAGGAAGGTGAATGACTTACATGAGGGTGATGAGACATATAGAGCGCTGGGGTTAAAGCCAAGGCAGATGACAGAAAGATATGACCACGCCACGTACGGTGAAGATGACACAGACAGATGACATGAACGCTGGCTGACATAATGTTTCCCACAGGATTTTTTGTAGAGAAAAATATATTTCTTGCAAACAGAACCCAGACTTGTCGTCGGGAAAGTACCCAGCAGAAGCCACGTTTCATGACCCTTTTTCGAGGGGTGGAGAAATATCCATAAGCGGTCACTATACTGTAAACACCGTCCAGGTCGAGCTGAACGACGCCGACGCCATGTTATTCGATGTCAATGTAAGTTCCAGAGCCTGTCTATCTTCATAAATCTAATCTAGACATGACAAGCGAAAATTATTCTCTCGATCCGACCGGGTCAAAGGCGCTGATTTCCACCCTACTGAGCCATGGCTGCTAACAGGTCTGTACAACGGTTCCGTCAACATCTACAACCACGAAACTGGCGCACTTGTCAAAACTTTCGAGGTCTCTTCTGTCCCTGTACGCTGTGTCAAGTTCATTCCCCGAAAAAACTGGTTTGTTGCTGGCTCGGACGACTTCCAGCTGCGCGTCTTCAATTACAATACGCATGAGAAGGTCGTCGCGTTCGAGGCCCACCCTGATTATATACGATGTCTCACCGTACACCCAACCGCGAGCATCGTGCTCACTGGGAGTGATGACATGACTATCAAAGCTTGGGATTGGGACAAGCAGTGGAAATGTATTCAGGTGTGCTATCATGATTCGGTCTACACTCATGCTCAACTCGCGCCAGGTCTATGAAGGCCATACCCACTACATAATGAACATCACTTTTAACCCAAAAGATTCGAATACCTTCGCATCTGCTTGTCTTGACCGGACTGTTAAGATGTGGTCCCTTGGCTCACCTACAGCTAACTTTACTATGGACGCGCATGACAAGGGAGTCAACTACGTTGACTTCTACCCTGGCTCTGATAAGCCATACCTGGTCACGACAGGTGACGACCGGACTATCAAAATCTGGGACTACCTCAGCAAAAGCTGTGTGCAAACGATGGAAGGACACACAAACAACCCAAGTTTCGCTGTATTCCACCCCAACTTGCCTATCATCATCAGCGGTAGTGAAGATGGCACCGTGAAAATATGGAATAGCAATACTTACCGTTTGGAGAACACCCTCAGTTATGCACTCGAGCGCGCATGGTGCGTCTCGCTACGCCGAGATGCGAATGAGGTGGCTGTTGGCTTCGATGAGGGTGTCGTCGTAATCAAGGTCTGTTTGTATCATTTACACGCTCTGCATATCTGATGCCTCTCAAGCTTGGCCGGGATGAGCCCACATACAGCATGGACCCATCAGGCAAATTGATATACACGAAGAACCAAATTGTGCTATCTGGAAACCTTGCCACGCTTTCTGACATCTCCACGGCAGACGGTAACCGCATCCCCTTGTCGATCAAGGAGATCGGTACTACAGAGATCTTCGCGACGGCGTTATTACACTCGCCGAATGGACGCTTTGTGACTGTTGTTGGTGATGGGGAATACATTATCTATACGGCGCTCGCATGGCGGAACAAGGCGTTTGGGTCGGGTACAGGTTTCGCATGGGCAGGTGACTCGAACACATACGCTGTATTGGAAAACAAGGTGAAACTCCGTGTGTTCAAGAACTTCAAGGAACGCGGCGGTGCGGGGATGAAAGGTGCAGGAAGCTGGGCAGTGGATGCTATTTATGGAGGTCCGGTGCTTGGTGCACGCGGAAAGGGTTTTGTGATCTTTTGGGATTGGGAAAGTGAGGATATTGTGAGGCGGATTGATGTGGATGCGAAGAATGTAAGTTCCGACATGGGTTGGATGTTTATGATGCTAATACTTTGATAGATTTTTTGGTCGACGACAGGGACGCTCGTGGCGATTGTATCGGACGACTCTTACTATATCCTCAAATTTGATCGAGATGCTTACAATTCCAAACTAGAGGAGGGCGCAGAAATCACGGATGAGGGTGTCGAGGAAGCATTTGAAGTTGTTGCTGAGATTTCGGACAGGTGCAGTCTTATCAGCAGAAGTTTCGTCCCCAACTGATTATATTTTTTATCAGCGTAAAGACGGCGAAATGGATAGGTGACTGCTTTATTTACACTACGGCTGGAAACCGCCTCAACTACTTCGTGGGCAATGAATCGTACACGATCAGCCCATCCGATACGTGCGTACATGATGTGCTTTGATCATCACTTTGAACTGACACTGCTACAGCTCGATGTATATACTAGGATACATACCCGCACACAATCGAGTGTACCTTGCGGACAAGGACATGAATATCTTCGGGTATTCGTTGTCATTGAGCGTTGTTGAATACCAGACAGCTGTCCTCCGTGGTGACATGGACTCGGCAGCCGAAATCTTACCGACTTTGCCCAAGGAGCAGCTAAACAAAGTTGCTCGGTTCCTAGAGGGTCGAGGTATGCATATTTTAATTACGTATCAGGGCCCAGGATTCACTCTTTCTTTAGACCTCAAGGAGCTTGCTCTGCAGGTCACGACAGACCCTGATCACAAGTTCGACCTGTCATTGCAACTGGATGACCTAGACACGGCGGTCAAGATTGCCCGCTCTGTCTCAGAGCCAGAGGCGGAGGCAAAGTGGAAATCGATCGGCGATCGTGCCCTTACAGTATGGCAATTCGACCTGGCTCGGGAGGCGTTCGAAAAGGCGGGTGATTTGAGTGCGCTGATGCTACTTCTGCTTTCGACGGGTGATCGGGAGGGGCTGCAGAAGCTTGCGGCGACGGCTGAACAGAAGGGTGCGAACAATTTGGCATTTGCGACGCTGTTCCAGCTGGGCGATGCGAAACCCTGTGTGGATCTACTTTTGAAGACGAATCGTGCACCAGAAGCTGCGCTTTTTGCACGAACATACGCACCAAGGTAAGCGTAGTCCATCCGTGTATGTCATATTTGATACTAATTTCGGGGTAGCGAAGTACCGAAGGTAGTTGACGTGTGGCGAGGCGAGCTGCGGGCTAAAAATAAGGGCAAGATCGCAGGGAGCATCGTGCACCCATCTGAGCATGCCGAGCTATTTGAGGAAGGTTGGGAAGAGGCTCTTGCACGCGAGGCTGGTGGGCCTGTAGATGTGAATTCCGGAGATTCCGGTAAGTCATGTTTGGGATTTGTCGGGCGCTTGTTTCAATGACTGATTGGAATTTAGACATTTCCCCGAATGAGAGTGAGGAGGCATGATCATGAGATTGGGGCAGTGGGATGACGATCAGTCTACTTATAGCATACGACGGCTGCTGCGCATGTCTAAACACTTCTGTTCTTTACACTATGACGTTGAACTCGACGCTATGTGATGATGATGACGATAAGTTATAGAACGGAGTTTATGGTTGGTCGGTTGCCGTCCACAAGAGGGTCTAGAACCCTGACCCATTTGGGTGGATGACACGATCGGGTCGGCTGCCACACTTTGGATTTTTACCTGCTCTTGCAAGACAAGGCTGCTTTTTTCCTTCTGGCATCTCTTGTCCTTGATCCTTCTTTCATTTTCAGTCTTTTTGTCCTTCATTTGAGGGCCAGTAATGGCCTCCGGCTCGCTTGCCAACCACGCCGTCAACTCTGGAGACCTTGTCGACCTCGTTTCTTCGTCATCCTCTGCAACGGTGTACCCCAACGACGATGCCATCGTCACCGTACTCAACACCCGTTTTCGTGCCGACTTACCGTATACAAGGATAGCCACCACCAACTTGCTCGTCGTCAATCCATTCAAAACACTCGCCAACGTCAACGACATCAGTGCCAAGGAGTATGAAGAACGTTGCTACAAGGATACCAGCCTGCCACTCGCGAGCTCTCGGTTACTCCAACCGCATCTCTATGAGTTTGCAGCGCAGATGTACCTCCTCATGCGTCGGCGGAACGAGTCCCAGTCCGTCATCACCCGGTTCGTATGCTACATTGTCTATTATTGTCTACCTACTAACCGTGTTAATAAAAACAGAGGCATCACCGGCTCAGGCAAGTCGAACAGTACCCGTCTCCTAGTTGACCAGCTTCTTCGGCTCTCTGCACGCTCAAAGAAGGAAAAACGCATCGCAGGCCAAATCAAGGCGTTCTCCACGTTACTCGACTCATTTGGGAATGCCAAAACTCTCCTGAACCCAAACGCCTCGCGTCATGCGCGCTACTTGGAGCTTCATTTCAATACCCGCGGTCGCATTGAGTCGGCCAAAGTTCTTGCGTTCGCGCTTGACAAATCCCGTCTTACTCGCCTCACTCATGAGGAGCGTACGTTCCATATTTTTTACCAGTTTCTAGCCGGTGCTACACCCCAGGAGCGGGACCACTTTGCGCTCGAGGACCCTTCGGATTATTCGTTGTTGGCATCGTCGGGGTGCTATCGCCTACCGAGTGGCCCCTTCAGCGATGATGCCATTGCGATGCAGGAAGTGCTTGCGGCGATGCGTACCTTGGGCTTCAAGGCGAAGCATATTTCATCGATATTCACCTTGCTCGTTGCGATTCTCCTGCTGAGCAACATCCAGTTCTCAGAAGCAGACGCACGCGATGTTTCAGCATATGTTGCTAATACGCCTGTGCTGGAGCAGGTGGCCAAGCTCCTTGGTGTGTCTTCGGAGGATCTTACACTGATTTTGACGACAAGGACGAGCTATGTCCGCAAGGAGCTTTATACCGTTCTCCTGAACGTGGAGCAGAGTGCAGCCCAGCGTGACCAGTTCATGCGTGATCTATATGCTATACTCTTTGCATACGTCGTCGAAACCTCGAACCACAAGATCATTCGCCCCAATCAGGAGGAGCTCCCAAACTCACAGATTGTGATCTTTGATCAACCTGGATTCCAGTCTCGTGGGCCGACTGGTAGTGGCTCGATGTCATTTACGGGGACTGCTCCTTTGATTTCAGCATATGGACAGAACGGGTTCGATGAGTTTTGCATCAACTTTGCGGATGAAG